TGATGTACATGATATGCGGGCATCGCCCCGCAAATCGAACTCAACACAACTTACACTAAAAGTAACTAATACAAACAAAAAGTGCGAATAAAGCAAACTGTCTGTATCTGAAAAGCAAGTAAATTTCAATTTTCAGTCGATTTGGTGGCTTCAATCACTCGTTTGGCACATTTTCTGTCTCTCTCTTTCTCTCTCTCTCTCTCTCACTGCTATTTTTTTGATTAAATTTAAATATTTAAAGTGCGCTGCTAAATATTTCAATAAATGTCTGCGAATGAGCTGTTGGGAATCCTTCCAATGATAATATACAAGCTGAAGACATGACACTTTCCGGTTCCTGACAGCACTCTGTTGAGAAACGTCAACATCAGGTAATAAGCATGCCCTTACCGCTTCCTGTTTATACCACAATATTCCCAAGACTGGCATTTCAGCAAGTCAAAAAGTGGATTTCTAGCCAGCAATAGACAACAGCCACTGTTGGCAGTCAGCCAAGCAGCAACAACTTCTTCTTTGCCTCTTTACTTCCATGTGTTGCGTTGCAATGTGCACGTTGCAAGTGTTGCTTGTATAGAGTATGTAGTTTTCGGTTCTTTTTTGGTTGCAAGACAAATGACGTTGCAAAGTGAAAAATGTCTGGGATGTGAAATTTTTTGGTAATACTGCTGATAAGCAGCTGTATGCAAATCAACCAAGTGTCTTAGTGCAATAACACGTTTACTAGTGCTAAGCATTAAGCACGTGGCTGCTGCTGCTAAGCCAAAAACCTCATAACCCAATAATTCGCCAAGTGTCAATAGACGACAAATAGATTTTCTCTTTCTTCTTTTTTTGTGAGGCGTTGTTTATGTTTCTGACAAAATAAAAATTAAGCTGAATACACAAAAATCTGGGAACATAAAAAGAAAGTAATACTTAAGTGAAATATGCCATCAGAACGCAGTGTTCAAGAAACAAAAAAAACAAATCTCGCATGTGGACAATGGATCCCCTTTTGATCAGCCCAGTCAGCACTCAACACTTTATTCTTTATAATCTCTTAAGGGCCGTCTGCCGCATCTTTTGTCGATTGTTGATATTGCCATTCTCGTCATTGTTGCCATGCGGGGCAATGTCTCTTGTTTCTGTCTGGAAAAGTGTTCATCTTTACTTCTTTGCGCTACTGTTTAATGCTGGTCAAGTAAACAAAGCGCTTGAGCTTAAAGGCCCACGTACGCCCCCTTTTCCTATGCAATGGTTTATTGCACTTTGTTTAATGTTCTGCTCCTAAAGTGTGCGGGTGGGTCGCCAAGTGAATGGACTGGATAACAAGGGTTCGCAGCTACTTTTGCTACTGTATTATTTTTATATTTATTATGATTAGGTCAAATGTTTTGCACCCGGAAAAGTGGTGAAAGTTTAGCCGAGAAGGAGCACAGTTTAATAATCATCAGTACCTTTTTATATAAATACCTCAACTATTCTGACCAGCTTAAACAGTCGCTATATTTATTAAATTTAGTGCACTTAATCACATTCAACTAACGTCACCTCAACTAATGGCCATAATTGCATCTGTGTATAAACAGTTATATAATTATATATTTCTTCAGAGCGCATCATGTATAATTGCATACTCGAGGAGATACTACAATTATCTTTGCCCGGCATCACGCATGCAATTTAATTTAATACCAACGTATAAAGCATTTGCAAACTTGCAAACCGTTCAACTATTTCAATTAAATGCTGCATAGATATCAAATTTGTATGTATATCAAGTCGCAATCAACATAAATGCATTTTTGCTGTACTCTCAGATTGTTTGCTCAATATTCGCTGTCGTCACATTGCGTATGCGTAATATTCACCAGGATTAATGCAATATTAACGATGCTTCTAAGTGAAAATTTAAAGAGGGTGGCAAAACATGAATACTGATCAAATCTGCACTGTATATATCTATCTTCGCCCATGCATATGCTTTTGGAATGATGCTGGCAGCAAGCCGCTGTTGATGATGGGATGTGATGAGCAAAAATCTTAACGCTGGCTGGTTTTGACCTTGCAGTTGGCATTGCACAGAATAAAATGCATACGTAATTTGCATATTGTTTTCGCTGCAGCTTTGACTGGGTTTGTTGTTTTTGCTTTTATTGCGCACACATATGTTGCTAAGTTCCTCTGCCAATGTAGAGGAGTAACTGATTTATTTCAAGTATTTTGCCCCAACGGAGTCTGGGTGGACGCACATGACATGGCGAAATGAAATATTGATCCATTTAACGGTTCTAGCCGGGTAAGCAAAAACTTTTTATGTCACATAAACTTTTTACCAGGCGACGATTCAGGCACAACTTTGTCAACCCATATAAATCCTCAGGTCACAGCATACATGTATTGAAATTTTTTGGCTATGCTCATTGATATATTGTAGGTAATTTCAAGGCAGGCTAGACGCACACATTACGTGTCTCATTTGATAGTGAAAAAGGTCTTAATGTGGGCTAAGCGCATAGTCATTTATTTTGTGCATCACCCGTTTGGATTATCACATTCTGAGCACACATGCCAAGCCTCGTCATCGACTTCGTAATCGTCTTTTATAGAATCTTTTAGGTAAACGCAAACTTATTCGAATGTTTGTTAAAAGCTGTAAATTGTTACACTTCCCGTAGTAAAAATTGATTAATTTATGATTTATATACTCAAACCCACAACAAAAATGCAGCACATGTGGCTTATGTGTTACATTTTATTCTCCCGAAGAAAGCATTAGGAAGAACAAGAGTAATTTATGCAAAGCTCACTTTAAGCATCCACTTGGCCTGTTAAGTGTGTTCAGCTGTTAAACTCCTCGAGCAATTTATTTAAATGGTACAAAGAAAAAGTGAAAGCGACGCCATTCACAAGAGTTTCTGTTCTTAACCAAAGAAGCCACAGACAGTCTCAGACTGGCAACAGACATAGCAGAGCTCAAGCAGCCAGCCAAATTGCGGTTACACTGGGACAAAGACTGTTATCATTTTCTTTGCTGAGCTGTTGGGATCAAGCCACAGTAGACAATTACCGTCTCACGGACAGTTGAACAAAAACTAACTAGCTCAACTGAAGCGATAATTCTTATGAACTTGACCACGGTAAAAAGTTTGTTGTTGTTTGATGCGCCTCATTGAAATCATTGCAGAAGAGAGAAAAGGAGGGAGTCAAAGCCAAAGTCACGACTCTACAATTACATAGGCTATTGACATTTGACATGCGGGCTGTGACTGTGATGAATACGTCAGACAACTCTGCGAACATTAGAGAGCCGAATTTATGGCCACATTCATTCATTGCCGGCTGAAAGGTACCCCGTAATTACAAGCATTTCGAAAAAGGGTATCTCAATGCTGTGGAAATATATGTCAGATAGCAATAACCATGTAGGTTATTTCAAATTATTCTATAAATCTCTGATACTTTAATATCAGCTAAAGTCTTTATATTCATATATTTTAAATTGTTAACTAACACATATCGAAAATCTTACTAGAAATAATTTACTGCTAGTTAAACCCTTGTAAGTAGAGTAACACCAGTCTGCTTATTTTTTTTGTAAATAAATTTATGTTTGAAAAACTTGGTATCCTCCAGTCGATCACACTCGTCTGGGACATTGGTAACGGCTGCACTAATTTATGGTCTTGCTTTGTCGCCAGAAAAATTGTGTTGAAATAAATGTGTCAGCAGTGAAAAAGTCAATTAAAACTAACGACCATCTTCTCATTAATGTCTTACGTCTTTGATCATTTTATGCATATAGAAATAATATACGAAAAACACATATTGTGGCTCTTATTGACAGAAATTCGGAATGTTTGCATAAATAAGGAGCGGCATGTGCTGTGAAAAAGAAAGGCTTGCATTAAGTTAAGTCAACTTGCGAACGGCAATTTCCTTTTGGGAAATTAGAAAACTTTTCGCTATCTCCGTGCTAACTGGCCAAGTATTTCGGCAAACAAACAAACCTTTCATGCATTGTAAATTGTGTTAGGTCACCCATTTCATTTGTTGTGCTTTGGTTATTTTCTGGCCTTTGTTATACAAATTTCTCGACTCACTCTCGACTTTTATTGTGCGGCCATAAAAAAAGAAACAACACACAGAAGCAAGGAGATAGAATCTAACAGAAGTATAAAAATGTCAGGTTTATATGTTTCAAGTCGGCGTTGGTTGGTTTCTACTTTATGTAGTGTTGTCCTATAGCTTTTACAGTCGCTAGTTTTCCATTTTTTCAGTTAAATCTTGACTCCTTCATTTTTTTAGATACGTACAAAATGAAAATGATTTTTATGACTTTCAAGAAAGTTGTACAAATGATGTGAGTCACTTTTATTGTGGATTTGTTGCGCAGCGACTATAGACTATAAAAAAGTATATTTTATGAATTCGCATAAATTTTATTTACACTTTCCGCAGAAAACTATACCCCAGTTGCTAGTTGTGCGCGTTGGGTCGTTTAGGGTACTTCGATTGCACATTTGTGGCCACATCGATCATAAAGAATAACCAAGAATATACTTATGTGGCTGTCGATACTAAAATGGCCATGAGTGTAGCATGCGGCTGGCTGATAAGAATGGATAAATGATAAACTTTTGTCTTACGTAAGGGCAATGCAATGAACGACTTATAAAGTATTAAAGCAATCAACTACTATTCAGTTAAAGCTTATTATCTAAACTCTTCCATTTTGGAATAACAGCAACAAAACAGTAAGGCATAATTCATTGCATAAATATGAATATAAATAAATATTCAAAATTCAATGTCGTCCACAAATTTCAATTTAAAACTAGATAGTTTTATAAGCACTTTGGGCCAATGGCCATGAGTAGAGCGCTGTTAAATGGATTTTAGAAGCCCTCAATCCCTTGTAAGACAACTTTGTGAACTTTTCAAAAAGTTTTAAGCTCGTGCTTAAACCAAGACTCACCTCACCGGCACACACAAAAACTGAAGAATAGAGTTTCACTTACAGCCGCGTGAAATGGTGTTTACCCGATTTCAACTGAAGTCAACAAACGAACCATCACTTATCATCTTTGTTTTGTTAAAAAATCACTTAAATTTTATATCAGTAGCAGCCATAATTTTGCCCAGATGTTGTAATGTGATAAATTTTAGTTGATTGCTTCTTTTTTTCTTAAGTTTTGTGTCACGCACAAATGGCGCATCGCATCGCAAGACGTGAACAGAAATAACGATGAAGAAATATAAACTGAGCTACTAATATCCAGATGCAGACCCGTGGCGTTGCCGAGACACGTGCGTGCGGCGCCGCAATGAAGAACCAACTGAATAAGCTGGAATATCTGTGACCAGCTGTTGGACGCACTGAAGGCAATTTCCTGTGCGCCTGTCGAAAGTGTTGCCAGTACGATGGCATTGGCAGCGGCGGCGTCGGTGGCAGCGCAAAACAGCTGTTCTTGCGTTCCACAAGGCGCAACTGGTGTGCCAGTTGGGGTCCACAGCTACAGCTGACAGACTTGTTGACGCTGCAAAGCGCTCTCTCACATCCAGTCTCTCTCTCGCTCTCAGTGATTTGCAGCCATTTTGTTTTTGCGTGCGTTTGCAATGTGGATTGCATTTGTACATTGTTTTCATGAATGGAAACCTCACACTTCAGTTGTAACTTCCCACTCTCATTTTTTGCTGTGATTCTGCCTTATTTATTTCTAGCAAACTTCATGCTACACTCTATTTATGAGAATAACAGGAATTTTAACAAACTGACAAACATGCCTAGTTGACTGGCTACTTTCGTTCCACAAACAAGATTCGCAAGGAGTAATAAATCATCAAATGGAATGATTTAGTGCATACCATTTTTACCAACAAAATAAGAACAACAAGAAAAGGAACCGGTGAAAATAATACAATTTTTATGCTCTTGAAAAGACAGTGTGAAAAAATGTTTAAATCCTTTTTTGAGTGGTCATAAACCGTTTTTATATTTTATATGCTTGTTGTTCTGTCTGCTCGCTTTCTTTTATTATTTATTTATATATTTTTTTTACACACTTTTCTAACCGTTTCACTGTTAGATTAGTGTTGATATAGTCAGACACACACACACACACACATACAGATACATATACACAAATGTATGCACGTTTTGGATTATATTATTTGTCATTTAGGTATACATGCATGTGTCTGTGTGTGTGTGCCTGTGATTCAATTTGCATTTGGTTTGGTTATTTTTCTTGCGCTTCGAGCTCAGATTTTCCGCTGTTATTTTTTGCATTCCCATTTCTACATTCTGATAAGCTTAAGTGCTTGACAATGCTGTTCTCAAAATGGTTTATATTAATGGAAATATATATTTTTAGTTTATTAAAGTGTCAAACTATAAAGACTTAGTTTTACGAATTATATATAAGACTTTAAAATACGTTTCGAATTACGTATGCAATAAAGAAGACTAAGCAGCGTTAGATGTGCACAAATGTACAATATCAAATTTCATCTATTAAATATCATAGCAACGTTGTAGTACCCCTTTTTTTGAGGGCGTGGTGTGTGGATAGAAGGAATGTAAATTACACAAAAAATGTCCATGTGAATTGAAAGGATTATCAAGGAGCGGTTGGCAGCCCAAAATGGTTTTTGGTTTTTGCGGTTAAGCGAACAGTTGCCGTGGCAGCTGCTGTTCTCTGATTTTGGTAAGCTGGTAATGGGAATGAGTGTGCGTAACCATGGGAATATGGCGCCGTCAACTCAGCATTTCCGGGCACTTTGACTGTCACACGCACACACAAAACACACAGGGGATATATATTGGAGTGCTTCAGTTAAGGAATCTGGGACGCTTTAATGCAAAGTAGCTCAATTGGTTTTGATTTGGTATGGCACTCAAGTGAGTGAAATATTTAGAAGGCGGCACAACAAAATGGCTGCTAAATAACTTCCGGCTAGTGTTCGCTTTAATTCTGTGGGGTCACGTACAAATTTAAGACACTAAAAATCAATATAGTGTGCTGCCTTCCTAAATCCGTCGAACTCGTCCTCGTCCTCGCACTCGCACCCCCAGCGGCCCCGCTGTCGCCAAACGCATTGTCGAATGTCTTGCTGTCATTTTGTGTAGCAGATTTGATTTTGTCCTGGAGCTGCTTTGGTGAAGGAACCTTAAAACTGTTCAGCACAAATCGATGCAATTGAAAAATAATTGAACGCTTTGAAATGTTTATTGAATGTCAGTTCAGTTGAGTTGAGTTGTAATGTGTGAGCAGCCATTACCACCCAGGGGCTGTTTCTTTCCTTCAATATGCCTTTGCATATCTAATGGGTCTGCTCCATTCAGTCTTCGTGTCTGTTTTTATGTCTGTGGCTTGCGATTCCTCGCATTCCTCATGCCATGCACGTCTGTCTTGTGTGATGAATAAAAAAAAATAATAATAATAAGAAAAATAAACAGAAAGAGCATTATTGATTGGATTTTTAGCAGTTGCTGCTTTAACGGCACTTAGGCTCATAATTGTGGACCAGATATGTGTACATGGAATGGTTCACTCACAATGGGATGCCATCCCCATACAAATTCTCGCGATAATGGTTTTAAGCTAATTCTGACACTGTTAGGAATATTCAAAGACTTCCATCCTTGTCAACCAGTAACCTTGCCAGTAACTTTGTCAAACTGGAATCGATTTGTTAGCAGAAAGTTTTTTTTAGATATTAATCAGAATCTTTTGAGTTGTTATAAGCTAACTTATAATACAAATAAGTTCAAATTTTTCACAATTTTCATTTTTAATTTTTTTTTATATATGTATTCATTCACAGCCCGCTTCAAATTGCCAAGTTAGGCAGTCAGTTGAGACAGTGGCCTAAGTTTTCACTCAAGTCAATCAGTTAACCGTTGTGTGGAAAATGGAAAATAAATACTTAAGGATTTAGATAAGGCAACTGTCATCACTGCTTAATAGCAATTTCATGCGGTTTACTGACAGCCTTAAAAATCAAAGGTGAAGCTCTTCAACCAAGTTCGAAATCAAGTTCATTATGGCAGGAACTTTGGCAAGTTGATAGATCTGATAAAACTCAGAACAGGCTAAACTGAATGAGCCAGGAAATAGCACAAAAATCTGCATAATTCACCTGCAGATATGTGAGCAACTTTGGATAGCAGTTCTCGTAACAAAGCAAAACTGACTGAATTATTCACAAGTATAGATACTAAAGTTAATGAAACTTTTCGTGCAGTGCAAATTCATTTTCATAAATCTTTATCTTTGTCTTTATCGTTCCTTTTACTTTCTTTTTGCGTTATTAAGTTATACCAAGTTTTTGTCAAAGACGATGATGAGATGGATTATTAGATTTCGCTTTTGTTTATTTCAAAAATAATACTCAAGCTTTGACCAATTTACCTGATTGCTTGTTTTTTGTTTCAGTATAACTGACGTCAATAATAAAACCAATTGAAAACCACAATTGCTTCGAATTTGGGATGAATTTACATCATAGACATTGATTAATTTATATTTCACTTCCTCCTGAACGTAACCAGGGAATGAATGCTCTTCGCTCACAGTTTATTTATATTTCATTATCAAAACAGTTATTTTATTTTTGGTTTGATACATTTTTGCTCAGTTTGTTTTAGTTTTGGCTGTGAAAATATTTATGTGTCTGGCGCTCGATTGTTGATATTGCTATTTATTTTTTTTTTGGTTTGTTGCTTTTTCTTATTGGGCGAGTTGGGCAAAAAACAGTTCACTTTGTAAATCAAACTCAGAGAGACAAGTTTATCGCTGGCTTTACCCCAACTCCTGGCATTGTCAGCTGTTTCAAGTCCCAAGCAGCAACAATTTTCGGCTCTTTTTTTATTCAATATTTTTTTTTTCATTTTTTTTTTGGGAGTTTTGTGCATGTGGAGGTAACAGCTGAAAAACAAAATTTATTATGGTTAATATTTGTGTGGCTGTCGCTGACACATTTATGATAAACATGTGTGTTTGGGACCTGCTTTCATTGCAGCGGGCACGTTTTCATTTTCATTCGCGTTGCCTATTTGGCGGCGTGAAGCCTTTGAGCTGTCGAAATTTCAATTGTAATCACACACAAGCCCACACATCTAAAAATATACATATGCAAATGGCAAGCTATTTGCTAAATGAGCTCATCAATTTTATTTATTTCATTGCGGCAGCCATAGAAGCGCACGCAATCATCAGACCAGATCAAAGGTCAACAGGCAACAGAAGCCCAACGTGCAGAAGTGCAGCTCATTAATTGATTTATTATTGAAAAATACTCAACGCCTCAGCGTCGCCAAATGACGCTAGGCGACATTCTTAAGGGTAGAGCGAGAGAGAGAGAGAGAGAGAGAGACGGAGAGTGGCGCCCAAGGACGACACAGAAGCAGTCCAGCTATACAAATGGGCAACTAGCATGCAATTTATCACGAAATTCCCCAATTAGCACGAGTTAAAGTTGAAACGGGTACTCGCGAATCTCTGGCGCAATTAACTCGTAGTCTGCATGGCTCTTGATGCGCCAAAAGGGTGGTGGCTGTTACCCTTGAAATATACTGTAATCAGCGCAAGTGTATTAAGGGCCTTGGCAATCCATTATCATTACAACTGCTTGCACATAATGTGGAGCGCTCAGTCATGTTAATTAACTCGTTGAATATAAAGCCGAATCGAAAAATGTGGGGATGGATTGTGAATGCGAGTCATTCCTTAACATCAGATAAAGATACGATTTAAGCAATTTTCATTTTAATTGCTTAGGAAATTGAATCATTATTGCATCAGTTATAAATGGAGTTTAAGAAGTAGACCCAGAAAGCTGTTCAGTTAAAGGAAGATATATAGTTGCCAAATAATTGAACACAAGAATTGAATTAAGGTTCGCATACTTTATACTTGTGCTTTAATCCATTTGTAGATATATTTATAACCTTTAATCGAGGCTATTATGACTATTGATTAACAGTTTTTCAAGTTTCTTTATCAAATTACCAAAACAATTGTCAAGCACGTATATATAATATGTATTTAGGCACTTAACTTGGTCTGTTTTAAGTTGATTTATTTCTGATTAGCATAAAGTTAATTGACCCCAAAAGAATAGCTACTATCAGCAAATTTCTGTGCAATGCTGAGTAAATAATATTTGCTTGAACGTCAGTTGAATGCACTCATTTTACCCCATCGAGTGACAAGTGAAAGATGAATGCCAGTTGAATAAACTCAATTTCATTGAGACCAACAAAACTGTAAATAGCTTGAAATTTGATAAAAAGTAAAAGAGATATCCTTAAGTAGCAGCGCCACTTGACTATGACAGAGTTAAATGATTTCATTTCTATGCACATTCTTCCAATTGACTGGCGCTGCAGGATGCTTCAATGCTAAGGATATGAAGAATGTAAAGAAATAAAGAACACTCGATGCCAATTCAAATGTACAGCTGAGAACTGTTTATTGCTTAACTTAGTTAACAATAACAACAAGCAAAGAGTAACTAACTAAAGACGCTAGTTTATGTACAAAAATGCAAATCCATTCTATGAATCAACGGATGGAACTCTTGACGATTTGCCAGTTATTGCTGCAACTGCAATTTCAGAAGCTTTTGCCGCAAAGCCAGCGTAGTAGCAACAACAACCACTAAGGGTGTAAGTGTGTGTGTGTGTGTGAAATTGTCTGTATGTGTGTTAGTCTGCTTATGTGTGGGCGTGTGTGTGTGTGTGCGTGTGTGTGTGTGTGTGTGTGTGTGTGTGTGTGTGTGTGTGTGTGTGTGTTGTGACTACCAACAGCCTTGCATATGGTTGAGCTGCTGAATAGCACCGCATCCGATACGATTTTGCATATAATCCGGAAAATTGCTCTGCAGCACTCGCATCGTATTCCGTTTGTAATCGGGAACTGCGTGGGTGACCAACTGGCATGTCTGACTGCGATAGACTGGCTTGAAGTTGGCCTCCACAAACGTGGAGTTGGTGTCCCAGCGATAGACTTCCGCATCCCCCTCGTTGCGGAAGAATATGGCGGAGCCATTGTCCGTGCCAATGATGACCATGCGGCTCGGCTTTTTGCCCAGATCTGCAAATACGTACAACAGCCAATTAAAAACTGCAAGCTGTCAACCAAAATAAAAAAAAGAAGAAATCTCACCTAAAATGCGTCCATCGGCGACACCGCTGCGCAGATATTCGGATTTCAGTGAAAAAAGTTTGCTGGTGCTTAGATAGGTAAAGTAGAGTTCCGTGGTGCCGCAATCGCGACGTATTAGCGCTATGTAGAGCACATCCCGGGACCGGCATCCCGCAGATACGGCCTTGGGCAGGACTACACGAAAGCCGCGATCCGCTTGCAGATTATAAACGATAATCGCACGATTTGCCGCATCGCTGACATAGATGAAGCAGCCGCCATCCGGCGCATAATCCACCACTAGATACTGCAGACGGGAACTGCTCGAGGTGAGACCCTCCAGCGAGACAGTCTTCAGCACCTTGCCCGTCTTCACGGACATTGCAACCACTTTGGGCGCACACTTGCGCACCGGCGTCTCCAGGGTATTCACGATGCCTGTGTCTAGCACCCAGAGCACCTCATTCTGATCTACCACAAGATCGACAACAGATTGCAATGCCTTGCAGTTGCCCTCCTCCTGCAGATCCCAGCAGGGGTACGGCTTGAAGGTTGTCGAACAGGTGCCCGGCAGCACATTGGACTTCACCAGCGTCGCGGGGACACCTTTCCGATAGCGTGGCAATGCCAGATAGATGGTATCACCAATCAGTTGAGCACGAGTGGCAATCACATTCTTTGCGATATATTTGCCGGAGCTTTTAAATAGCGATTTGGTGCTGGCACAGGGGAACTCAAATTGACCGCCCGTCCACTGGATAGGCTGGGCATCGGAATGAGCCCGATCCGGAGTCCACAAACCGTACCTGGTGCCCTGGCCAAGAGCGTGTGGGGCAATGCAAATGGCCAGGAGCAGCCCCAGCCAATCGGCTACGTGAAATTGCATCTCTCTGTGTGCGTCTTGGGTTGCTTAACGTGATAAAATATATATATTGACTGCACTCCAAGTTGGGCGATGTTTCGTGTCTTATATAAGCCATCGAAACGGTCAGAAATGTACGACGTGCCACAAGCCAATTTCTCAGATTGCAAACAACTTTTTGGTGAAAGAACCTTGGGCGTGACAGCAGAAAAAAAAATCAAAACAAACTATTCGAAAAGTTGCTGCTTGGTTGTGCGTATGTCTATGTGTCTGGGTGTGTTTGTGTGTGACAGTCAGTTGCATTAAAAAGTAATTGAAATGCTTCACTGGCAGAAGCCGCAGCATAGCAGGCAAAACTGAACGCAACACGATATATGCATATAGTATAGACAAAATGTACACATTACAAAATGTGAGTTTCAATTAAATTTCGTGTCATATGTATTTATATTTAGTTTAGCAAACAGAAAAAGTTTGATTCAATTTCTCAATTTATCTAAAAAGTAATTAAAAGATAGGCAAACATTAAAAACTAAGCAATGTTTTGTTGACTCAGTTTAATTATCAATTACAGCTTGCATTTATTAAATTATTTACAGTGTAGAATATATATCAAAAGCTCGCTCTGAGTTGTCTCACATTGCAATTAGAGTGTCATACACACACACACCCACACAAAACGCATACATCCACATATAAACCCGGGCACAGTTGGAAGCCAAGTGTGTCCTGATTGCAACCTACTTAAAAGGATATTTGTAGCTAATTGCTTGTATGCACCGCAAATTGGGTGATATGGTAATTTGCCACAACAGAATACAAACTAATTGGCCAATTACCTATTCAAATTGTGATTGAAATATTAAATTACATATAATTTAAATGCCTTTCTCATAACTCAATCATCAATATAAGCCCCATCGAGCTCAGTTGCAATGTTATTAATAGAGTTAACTTATCATCTGATAGATATAAGTACAGCATTTCCCTCAAGCACATCAGCTGCGCCTTTCCCAAAAAAAAAAAATATATATATATTCAAAAATAGCATACAAGACAACGCCCGAAGTGTTTCCAGCAACGTGACATGTTTGGCATGCCAAAATGACAGTTAAGACCCGCAAGTGAATGTGTATGTGTGTGGGGCGGGGTAGCGGGCGGGAGGTTATGTGTGTTGCCAACAAATCCCCTTCCGACATATACTGTCGTGATTTATTTGCGCACTTTTACACATCCCACACTCTGTCTAGTTGGGAGCTAGGGAAAAAATATTGATGACAAGCACTTCCGGGCTGTTTTCCGTCTTGCCTTACATAATTTATGCAAACATTAGCTTACCGCCCGGAGAGATAAGATACGACAACTGAGACGAAAACTGACCGACAGTGAAATCATCCACATAAAACCTCCCTAGTCGACACGGCACAAATCCTGACCTCAAGCTATTTGCCCTCCGATCATTTGGACAGTTTTTATTGCCTGTTTAACGAGGCGTATGTGTCATGTGCAGAAATGCCACTTGGCCAAAGGCAGACGACCATTGACAATCGAGAGTTGGCAATTTGGCCCAAATTTTTGTATAACGAAATGGTTGTTTAAAATACACCAAATATACCTAATAAAAGTCCAATTGAATACGCAAATTGTACGTTGGCTTCGTATTTGTTTATCCAAACACACAGTCTTTCCTGTGCCTTTTTTAGAAGGCAAAAAAAAAAAACAAAAAATAAAATAAAATCACTTCAAATAAATATTGACTGTGGTCAAGTTTGGCGTCGTTCTCTGTTAAATGGGTCGTTAAACTTGCTGGACTCGGCAATTTTTGTTTCGTTGTGCCGGGGTAGTGGAAAATGCACATAAATTATAATAATATTTCAACTTTCTGGCTACTGATTTGCGGATTGCATTTTTTTGTTCTTGTTTATCGAGGGTATCAAAGGCGACTTTGGGTCACCGTTGGCTATGAAAGACACATTGTTATTTTAGTTAGGATGAGTTTTTTTATTTAATTTTTCTATCTGGTGACAGTTGAGAAATTTTAATAATAATTAATTAATCAAATTAATAAATGATTATCAAATATAAATCGATTTTTGATTACGTGCAAGAAGTACGAAAAAAAAACATTAAGGTTTTTTCTAGGGTATTTAATAAGTTCAGCAGTGGTTTAGTGTTAAGTTGGATGGTTTCTTTGCTATTTAGCTTGCCACATAATTTATGTGCCATGCTGCTGTGTGTTGTTTTTGCTTTCGCTTTCTGGTTGTCTCGTTTTTTCGTATTCTGACTTTTTTTGGCCAGTAAAGTTTTAGTGTTTACGTTAGCTTAAAGTTTTATACAATTTGGGCACAAACTCGATTGGTTGACTTTAATGATTTGCCATATTTTAAAGAGCAATTCATTATAATTGTATTTCGCTTAAATCGTTGCACAATTGAACTGTGTGGAAAAGTAATTTCAATTTTCGTTGACTTGTCTGCAAATTGTAATGCCATGTACGGAATATATTTGCCATTTATGACGGCCAGACCATAACAATACGCATATGCATACTTCGACGCATATGGCAGACCTTATTTATAAATATGACTTGCATTTTACACTCGATTCACGTATGGCAAATTTTTTTATATTTATTATTGCTTTTATTTATGAAATCGCATAAATATTTATCTATAGCTCGTGCAGATCTCGAGTGATGGCACAGAAATGCGAAACGCCCACACACACATACAGTCACAGTCACAGCCACAGCCACAGACACAGATGCCTTTGGCCCTGTGTGTGTGTGTGTCGCATTATAAATTTTCAGATTACCATCAAAAAAAGGCAACTTATGACAGTTTATTAAAATGAATTTCACACAAATTCAATCTGCATGTCATTTAACATTGTGCTCGGCTCGAGAGATTGGGAGATTGGAGGGGGCCAAAGACCGGCTGCCTTCACCGGAAGGGTCAGCACAATGCTTTGACAAGCTTTTAAATTTTGGACTGTCTTTTATTGTGGTTAAATTTAAGAGGAGCCAAACTACGGCCACTCTTGACCATAATTCAATGCATATGCTGTCCACCCAGGGGCCAGGACCCATGACTAAACAAAGCTAAACAGCACCCCACGGCTGGACCCAGCCAATATTTTCCATCACATTATGTCCACACGCTGCTACTTATTTGCTTTGTGCTGGGAAAAGATACTGGTAAAATGGAAAGATAATCAGGCAGCAGCGATGCTTAAGGACGGGTCACGCGTTGTTTACGATGCCCCAATCTCACACAAGAGGTCAACGCCACATATTTAACTAGAAAAAAAAAGAAATCAAATTCCAGGGGGCACCCGGATTTGAACCGGGGACCTCTCGATCTGCAGTCGAATGCTCTACCCCTGAGCTATACCCCCCAATGAAATATACGCAGTTAGAGCTGCAATTGACATACAAATCTAAGATAAATTAAATTTCAAAATAGAAGTCTCTATTACTTGCTTATCAATATTCAAAGAGTTATCAGCACAACTTTCAATTGAATGGAGTGGCAGTAGTTGCTTTAAATTTGTATTAAATATTTGCACAAAATATGTTTAAAATAGTTTGCTCAAAAGTTGTCTCAAACTTCATAACAAACTACTCTCTCTCTCTCCGCTCATACACTCAATTTCCTGATAAATATGATGAACACATGTTTTACCTCACCTAACTACAAAATCAAACTGAAACTTTATTAATTAACTAGTCGAGAAACTTTGCTTTTCACGGCAAGTTTTTGACAATAGTTTTCGACCCAAATGAACAGGCAAATTTGTGCTGTTGAAACTTCTTGTTAATAGATATGCGCGCAGTTTAATTGAAGGCACATCATTGCACGGAGCATCATCAATTTAAAATTGAATTGCTTAAATTGCACACACGCTTGAAATAGATTTTTTATTGTTCAGTGTCTACTTCCGCAAAGTGCAACATGTTTGCTGTGCAGTGGTGTGGGTGTTGGGTGGTGGGGTGGCTGTGGATTGAGAAGTGGGGTGTTAGCACGCCGCTTCCGCTATGTTGCCAAATGGTGTGGAGCATACGTGCTGACTGGCCAGCAATTGTAGTGTGTGTGTGTTTGGGTTTGTATTTGTGTTCGTGTTTAAGTTGGGCGAGACACATGTTTCCTCATGTTTACCAGACGACCTTGCCCTGTGGCAGATGCGTCAAAAGAACACGCGCCAAAATGCCACAAATCAGACAACGACTATAAATATAAATGTGCCAAGCTCTGCAACTGTTTTAAATAATCTAAAAGCAGCTAAAGACAAAGCAGCACCGTCTACAGTTAGTAACATAAAGTGATATATTAAGAAAGAATGGCTTCATTGCTGCCATTATTGCTGGTCACCTCCCTGATAGCTGTGACATGTGCCGGCTATAGCTCCACGATGGGCGGCGACTCATCGAGCAGCTCCAACTCGATTAGCAGCTCGAAATGTGATAAGAATCCGTTGACAGAGCTCACCTTCCAGCTGAGTGGAAGCAACCTTCACTGGCCCTGTGACTCCACCAAGAACATCTATGTCCAATCGGGTCGCTATGTGCCCAGAAATGTGATTGTAACGCGCGCACAACTGCAGCGAGATTCGGCATTTGTGGCGTTGCCCCGTTACAAGCAGGGCGTACCTTTTACCCTCGGCAAGGTGAATCTGAAGAAGGGCGAATGCTTGACCAAGATTGCACCATATCCCTGCTGGGCCATACAGGAGGAGGGCAACTGTCAGGCACTGCAATCCGTTGTCGATGTTGCCGTGGATCAAAATGTGAGTAATACTATTTTTAGTCATCCTTGAATGGTTTATTTCACTGTTTATTTTGTACGCGCAATAACAACAAGTCAATTAATCGGGAAAGCAATTTGCTTGCCGTTAAAATGTATTTTTTATTTATTCTTTTTGTATGCAGTTTCCGCATTTAATGCATACAAGAATTTATAAAAATGCATATGTGCATGCTCTACAAAAACTTGTTTACTACTGAGCCCAACTGCTTTTTTAATTAAAAACAAAAAATAACAAATTAGTGGCAGGCACCCAACAAAAAATTGTGCATGTAAATGGAATATTATAAAAGATTGCACGAAGTACACAATCCAAAAATCCCCTTTAGTTCAAGGTAAACAATTTCAATGAACCGAATAAAACATGCTGATAAATACACAGCTCGTCTTTCAATTGAAATTCGATTCCGTTAAAATTTAATTTGAAGTTCAATAAATTATCGTCATATTGTTGATGTTGTACTTTTTTAAGCTACAAGAAGAACATTCTGTTAATTGAAAAATTTTCTCCATTTTTATTATTATATTTTTGAGTTTATTTCATTTGTTTGGCAATTGAGTTAAATTCATACATTTGTAAATAAGTTGTATTTATATTTCTCTGTTGATTTTAAATTCATTTTTTCGTACGTCGTTATTCATTTAAAAGCCATTTACCAAATGCGTTTCTGTAAAACAATTCAGCATTTCATTTAGGCAAAAGTCAACAAGCAGCAACAACAATTACAACAACATCATCATCTATATGTAACAATAACAACAATTGCCACGCAAATTTATTTACATTTGAGAAACTCTACTCAATTTGCATGCATTGTTTATTATTGTTGTTTTTGCTGTTTTCTTATTTATTTTTCTGACGCGCATAAAAAATATTGAATTTTCAAGCGAGTTAACACTTAAATGTTTGGGCTCGTTAAAATTCCAGCTGTATCTCAATTAAAATGGAAATATTTCGAATTCCATATCACTTATAAAAGCATCATCCTTGTGTTATTATTATTTGCAGGGTCTGCTGTGGGCCTTGGATGTGGGCATTGTCAATACACTGGAGCAGCCAATACGCCGCTGCAGTCCCAAAATTGTGGCCATTAACACGGCCAACAATAAGGTGGTCAAGAGCATTGATCTGAGCGATCTGGTGACCTCTGAGAGCCGCTTGCAGTTTATTGTCGTTGACTACTCCAAGGATAACAAACCCTTCGTGTAAGTTGATATACTTGATTACATAACGAAGAATCTAAGATTGTGGAGAGCACAAATATGTATTTTTGATTAATTGCTGTAAGTAAATGCGATTTCTTGGAATAGAATTGTTATTGATAAGCCATGTGTTCAAATGTAAATGCAACATTACTCTAGCTTTAACTTCGAAAATCGAATAAGTTGTAAAAATGTAGGGAAAGTGGGAAAATTGGTCACCTTTCGATAAGCGATTAGTTTTTGGGTCACAGATGTCTTTCTCAATGCGTTACACGTTTCATGACAAAATAATAATACCCTTAAAAACCCGGTTAAAGAAGAGAAACGGAAATCTTATCAGAGTGCACGGCATTTGGAGTCTTGATAAGCACAGCGAAAGTTTCAACAAAAAACTGCCTCATTAATTGTTTTTGAATCGAAGTGTAGTCATTTTGAACTGATATCCAATTACAATCTTTCAACTCTTTCACTCATTCACAGCTATGTGGCCGATGCTGGAGCGCGTAGCATTCTTGTCTATGACATTACCAGCAGCAAATCGTATCGCATTGTACTGCCCCGAGCAACAGCACCGACTAATGATGTACTCTATGTGGCACTGACAGCCAAGCCTGATGGCACCTCAACGCTCTTCTTCAGCTATTTGAGCTCACCGCGCTTGTACTCGATTAAGGGCGAATATTTAAGGGTGGGCCAGGGCGCCGGCTCCATCATAGATGTGGGACCCAAACCATTTGGCAAGCAGGCAGTGCTGCTGGGCGCCGATGGCGGCACTTCGCTCTTTTTCCGCTACAAGGGCGAGAATGACATATATTTGTGGGACTCGCAGACATGCTTCAAGGCATCCAATCTACAGGAGGTGCAACGCGGCGGCGACTGTCGTCTATCCACACAGGTGCTGCCGGGACATAAAAGATTCATGTGGGCGCTGGAGAGCAATTTCCATGATTTCATTTCGGATCGCACCGGTTGCAATGGTGCCTCCATTGTCCTGCATCCCGTTGTGCGCGAATGCGATGATTAAATGGGACAACTAACACTTTTATTAGATCTAAGTTTTGTTAACGTATAAATTAAAGTTTCACAAAGTTTAACATTTGCCTGGAACACACGAAAACTTGGTCAGATCAAATATCTGATTCGGTGGGCAATCGCCACGTTTCAAATCGGCTCCTTTCCTATCGCAGTGATAATAACGACTGCAATCGGTCAAATCACCAGTCATACCACCACGTTGACAAACTCCAGACTTGTCCAGACTTGTGTCCGTGTTAGTCTGCTGGCCATGGCGACACATGAGAAATGTGGCATCAAAGTAAGTGCCAACTGGACAGGGCTCATACTGTGGTTCCCCATTAATGCAGTAGTAATAGGAAAACGGTGGATCTGCCGGATAAAGCATTCCATTTTCACATGGCACATCTTTGGCTACAACTCCTGTGTCCTGACAGCCAGTTAGGATGCTCAGCAACAGTATCAGCAACAACCTAAATCCACTCATTCTATGAAGAATATTGATTCTTGAGCTCTTCGAGCAACAGTTTAAATAACATGAGATAAGCACGAGCCCCGAAATGTTAAGGGTACTAATTAAAAGCGATTGCACAAATTATAAAAATCATCCATGTATTTGATAAGAATGTGTAATGTGTCATCCCTGATATGAGAGCCAGACTAATGCAAATTATGAACTAATTTAATGTTTTGCTTTAATGACTTTATTGTGAAAATATTTTAATATACACATACATATATTAATCAACATAATGTGGTTTGCATATGCCACTATGCCCATCAAAGGTGGTACCTACGGGGCATGTATAAGAGGTTAGTTCTCCATTGTGACACAGAAGATACCCATGCAGGCTTTCTGTAGGATACATTTTGAGTTCCTCGCAGAGCTCTGCCTTCTCCGGTGTCATTAGTGAACTGGGTTCTATGAACTTAATGTTGGGCACACAGCTATGTCCATTGAAACTGTAGTCATCGCTGCATTTCATCATTAGCGGATAAAAGACATCTTGATCGCCTTGCCTATCCTTCTGGCAGATATAGTAGTAGTTGCTGTTCGAGAGCCAAACGCCCGTTTGACCCACATAATTGCACTCGTATTGCTTCTCAGTGCACTGCTCACTCTCTCGGGGCAAGCTGCAGCTGTTTGCAAGCAGTGAGTAGGCGGCTCCATTGGTACATTGATGGCGTGTATCCACATTCTGCTCGTTGCACACATGATAGTTGCGACAGTCGTACGGATCCGGAAAGATGCCAGGTGATTGGCAGAAGAACTTGCCGCGCACCGGCACTTGACACTTGGGCTGCCAGGTGCACCCAAAGGTACCCTCATCGCTGCAGTAGAAGCCACGCTCCGTCTGACACTCGGTTATGGAGACCGTCTGCCACTGGTCATCGACATGCGAACAGAAGCCGAGCGTCGAACAATCGACGCAGATGAATCCACCGAGGCGCACATCCTGGCACGGATTACTTACAAGGTCAGCTGAATCAATGGCTAAGCTATTATTAACCACTTGCGGATTGGCCTGGCTGCCAGCAACGAGGCAACCAAAAACCACTAGCAACAACTTAATACAAATCATTTTTAAGACTGTTGTCTGCAGATGCCTCAGGCAGCTGCTTAAATAGCCAAAGATAAGCATTCGATGGAAATGTAAAACTCATAATTAAAAGATAAAGACTCAATTGGGTAGTTCATTAATATATGTATAGAAAGATTGACAATTCACTTAAGATACTGTTTAGAATGCGTTTAGCATGTGCCCAGCACGCAGGCGGATTGCTCCGGTCGATAGTGGGTGCCCGCAGGACACTCCAGATGACGCATCTGGCCATTCAAGGCGGAGCAATAATAATACTTGCGACAGTCATCCATATCGGCGATGAGACCCACATGCTCGCATTGGATGGGCATCACGGTGAAACCATTGTCATTCGGATCCACAGGATCCACAGGATCCACAGGAGGCGGCAGCATGCCGCCGTTGCCCGGACTGCAAACGAAGTTCGAAAAGATTTCACCATCATTGCAGCGATGCAGTGAAGGATAAATGACAACGGTATCGTTCAGATTCTGATTCACCGTTGACTTGCACACGTAGAAGATGTTGGGATTACTCGGCCAGGCGGCCACAAAGCCGACCTTGGGACAATAATACTGCGGCTGAGTGCACACGCTGCTCTGCAACGTCATCGAGCATTGACCGGTCCGGGCATCGAATGCCTTGTCATTGCCACAGTCGACGGCAGCTGCGACCAAAGTTGCGCCCACAAAATAACACATGTGATACTTCTGGCAATCGTATGGATCTGGAAAGATGCCCTGCGAGGTGCACTGAAAGTTGCCAACAATACCAATTGGATGACAGGGCCCAGTCGCATTAGAGCAGGCGCCCAGCCGAAGATTGCAATAGTAACCGTTGGCCACATCACATGATTCGACGGGTATGTTAACCCAGCCATTGGAGTGCTGCACACAGGTGGCCAGCAGTTCGCAGGATTCACAAATAGGTCCCAGTGTCTGGCGGCCCTCACAGCTGCTCGTCTCGCGCGGCTGAATGATTCGCGTTGTGACCCTGGCAGCTGACAGCAAACTAATGATGTTGAACAGCAGCTATAGAAATCATGAGAGGATTTATAGTTGCATAATTTCAATAGAAATTGTAAATTAATCACAACACAGCAACTTACCAAGCTTAAAGAGAGCATATCGAAGGACATGTTGATCACTTTCAATTTCGGAGCACGTCTAATTGCTGGGAGTTACTCGAACTATCTAAATTGATACAATAAAAATGGAAAAGAACTCACACAGTTTTGAGTCACAACCCAAATATAGCAGAGATACAGATATGTGCAGATATCTTTTACTATGGCAATGGATGGTTCGGGAGACACTCTTTATATCAAATAGATGTGTGAGTGACTAACATCTTGCGAAAGTGAGAAGTTGGGCAAAGAACAAAAAGCGTGAGCATTACAAACACCAGCGATTACAACAACAAGGAAAAATAGTTGATTGGAATGCTGGTCTGATGGGTAAATGAGTTCATATTTACACAGTAAAAACATTGTGGCAAAATCTTGGTTTGCTTAACAGTTTCTCTCGGCAAACATGAGCCACTTAAAAATTGTGTGCGCTTTTAGAAAAATCAAATATATGCTTAACAATTGTTTAGTTTACTACATTTGTTACGCTCTTGCTTTATAAATATTGAAAACTAGCGCGCAGCTTAATCGATATCAGATAGGAGAACGACATCGATTACAAAAATCAGCTGTTTTGGTATTTTACTCATCAATAGAATTTCTATTGAGTTTCGGTATTTTTGGTATTGCTACTGCTGGGTTCAAACAGGCACACTGACAGATAACTCGCCGTAACAGCTTTGTTATTATTTTAACAAATTTCTAATGGATTTCATACACGAATCTGTGGCGCTTGGCGTCGATTTACTCATACTCGGACTCTGTGTACGCGAATATGCTAGCTACAAGAACACCGTCAAGGTGTTGAAGGTAAGATGTATCCAGCATTGCATTGCATGTGTAATCCTAATCATAACAATGTTCGGATTATTGCAGGCGGCGCCACAATACAACATAGATGGTGAGCTGAAGAACATTGTGGCACGGCAACATGACAAAAAGATACCATATGCCGTTATACGAGGCACAGTCACGCCCATTGGCGTGCCACTGCGCAGCTCATTTGTGCCCACTGTGAGCGGCGTACTGCAAATTGTGAAGCTGCACGAGCATCGCGTGATGCGCGCCTTTGCCGGCTTCTGGGCAGAGCAGCGCAAGCTGCTGCACGAGAGCACCAATGAGATGCCCTTCGAGCTGTGCAATCAGCAACATGGCGTGGAGATTGTCGATGCAATCAGTGCCGCTGTCCTGGACGTAGACGTTGTCTACGATAACTATGAGTCCACATCTCTGTCATTCTTCGATCACGTCTTTGGCTTCTTTACGGGTGTGCGGCAGAAAGGACTGCAGACTACGGAACAAGTGCTTCGCGATGGCAGCTTCCTGACCGCCATCGGTGAGCTGGAAATGGATGGTCAAACGCTACGCATGCAGCCCTCCAAGCAGGGACCACTCTTCCTAACCACTGCCACCAAATCGACCCTGATTAAACGATTTGAAGATGCCAAGTCCTCTACTCTGTAAGCTAAACCATAGATACTTAGACCCTTCTCGGATATGAATCGCCTTTCTTTGCAGTTTTAAGATTATATTGTGTAGCAGCGTATCCATTGTCCTGGTTGGCCTCATCGTGCGCAAGGTCTATCGCAAGAAGAGACAGGAACGTGAGGAAGCTAAGATACGCACCCGCCTGGAGTCGGAGCGACGGGAGCGACGTGCACGCAGCCGTCCGCATACTCTGACGCAGGATCAGCTCTGTGTTGTGTGCTCCACAAATCCCAAAGAGGTAAGCTAATCGATAGACTTACAGAAGCGCACTCTAACTTTTACATATCTAGATCATTCTGTTGCCCTGCGGTCATGTGTGCCTGTGCGAGGATTGTGCCCAAAAAATCGACGTTACTTGCCCCGTTTGCCGCAGCAAAATTGGCTCGAAGGCGGCCGCATTTATTGCCTAGTTGTTGTGTTATCCAGCTCAGTTAGAATCACCTGTATGTAACTGTCTCGATAAGTGTTTGTTACTGAGCTACTTTAGTGTGCAATTTTCCATATTGATAAAATTCGTTTCATGTGTTGTCCAAGCCAATCTAAGCACTGTTTCCCTGCATAATGTTTCTATACTCTCGCTGATGCTCCAGCAGCCTCAGAAAGACCTTGTATTTTCGATTGTGCAGCTCCACAGTGTTGGGATTCGGCATCAACAGCTGCCCAGTGCCACCCATTGCCTTCGAAGCGCTCTATAAAAACACAGATGCGAATTTCGTTAATATTCATCTTGCAGACGTGAGTTAGTTCTGCTGCAGACAAACCTCAAGGCTGTCGTAGTGACCGGCAGCAGCAGCGCCCAAAACGGCTGCACCCACCAGCACCATTTCCTGCTCGTCGGGAATCAGGGCAGGCAGATTGCAAGCATCCGCATGGCATTGCACATAGAGTGGATTCTTGGCCAAGCCGCCGCAAAAGAGCAGCGTCTGAAATGCGGCCCGCTTGTGCTGATAAAGATTCTCAATGATGTGTCGGGTGCCGTACTAAAAATTGATCAAGTGTGAATAAATAAACGGATTTAAACTAAATCGTTCATATTCAACTCACAGCCAGTGCCTGTACAAAAGCGAGATATTTAATTGCCAGAGATTCAACGCCGCGTGTCATGTCCAGGCCAGTGATCTGTTTAGGACAAAAGACTGGATTTATAAATGATTTTGATGGACTGCATCCCTTACTTACTATTCCGCGCAGTGTGGGATCCGCAACAGGCGAACGATTGCCATGCAAATCCGGCCAAACATGGACATCCTGCGTCAAGCAACTAAGGTCGGTGAGACCTCGTCTCTCGGCCAACTCAGGCAGCAACTTGTTCAGATATTGGTAGATGTGTCTATGAGAAACAAAGATAAATTGTGGTTCTCATGTCGAGGTGGACTTTACTCACTTATCTCCGCCCAATTTCTCATGCAACTCGGAATAGCTTTCGTGCGTCTTGAGCACATGATCCAGCAGATGGCCGGCAATCGATTGACCACCCTCGTTCAGAAAGTAACCCGGAATGATAGCATCTTGATAAGGACCCCACACTCCCTGGGCAAAGCAGGCATCACGCGTGATGCTCATGTGGCAGGTGGATGTGCCCGCTATTAATGCCATTTTGCCCTGCACATCATCACCATCGTTTGCATCATCGGCACGACAACCAAACATACCCAAGGCGCCGGCATGTGCATCAATTAGGGATGTGCTGACCACAGTGCCCACGGCCAGCCCCAGTTCAGAGGCAGCGCTCTGAGAAAGACCATTTCCCACAGGTTTGCCCGGCGGCTGGACATCGCTGCCCAATGCCGCAAATTTCTCACGCGTCAGCTCCTCTAGGTTGGCGCCGCGTAGAAATTCAGTGTTCCAACTGTGGGCGGCTGCATCATAGTTCCATTTACACACCACGGAGCACAGGGATCGCGTGTCGACACCTGTTGCCCGCCACGTGAGAAAGTCAGGCAGATCGAAGGCACGCCAAATGCTTCCATAAGTCTTGGGCAGCTTGCGCTTCAGCCACAACAGCTTGGGTATCTCCATCTCCAGCGATACCTGTCCACCAACATATTTAAGCAGCGAATGCTTGCCGGCATTTATCTCGGCCGTCTCCAGTTCGGCTCGATGATCCATCCATAATATTATATTCTGTTCGGCTACGCCACTCTTGCTAACCGTCAACGGGGCTCCATTGGCGCCCAAGATGACCAGAGAGCAGGTGGCATCGAACCCAATGCCCTTGACTTGCGTCTTACTAACACCAGCAGTGACTTGCTGCAATTAATAATTAATCTAATCTTTAGAGGTTATCAGCAAACATGTTTTATTTCTGTAATCCATTCATACCTTCACGACCTTACAGATTGCACGCCAGATATCCTCACTCGATTGCTCGTAGTAGTCCGGCTCTGGTGTCCATGTTTTGATCATCTCCACCGCCTGCGCCTCCACACGTCCCTTGGCGTCCACCAGCGCTGCTCTCGCACTGCCCGTGCCCACATCCACGCCCACAAAGTACGCCCGCAGAGACATGATGTGCCCCTCTCCTGCTCCTTGGCTGCTACTATTGCTCTTTGCGGTCAAATAAAGGTTCTCAAACCGAACGAGATTAGCGCATAACGTTGACTGATAAGAAACTCGAGCTGTCTGTGGATTTGCGGAGCTTATACCGGTTTCTCGAAGATCTCCAGCAATCTGTGGTGAATAGCCGGAATGAGGTAGGTTGAGTGGTGTTAATGAGAATGATACTGTGCCTAATAATGATGGCAGTGCTTCTGTTTAATGCCGACCTTTTTTTTTAAACAAACACTTGACGATCGTATTAAAATGACTCGCCTCAAACTAAACACATTTATTTAGCATGCATATGTGTATAAATAACTTTGCTAAGCTGAATAACGCTGCCGAGATGGAATTTTGTTTACTTACTTTTCACACTTTTTACACCTACAGCAGTCGCTCGCCGACTGAAGACTCGTTCTCCAGTGCGACTTTTATTATTCAAATGGCAATCAACTCAAATTACCGCGCGCATTTTTCTCTCACTCTCTCACTCTCACTCTCACTCTCTCTCTCTCTCTCACTCTCTCTCTCTCCCTCTCTCTCTTTCCCTGACACACTCACACACAATGCAACAGTTGCTCAAGGCCATTTGCTTTTCACGATCAAGTCGTTTAAATAGCCATCAACATTGCCAATCACAAATACAAGCGAACTCTTTCCAACAGTCTGGCAACACCACAGAGCAACCAGCTTTTATTTATTGTGGTTTTTGTTTACAATGGTTCGCATTAAAAATCGGTAGGTTTATTAAATAATTGTTATTATTTATGACATGCAGATGTATTAATAACCACCCACGTCGCTTATCAGATACATTGCTGTGCAGATTGTGCCATATGCGCCGGTGAAAACACTGCGGCTCAACGACCACACTTTGACCAAATGCCTGCTGCAAAATGTAGAGAAATATTACGGCGTGTTCGGATTGGGACTCTTGGAGCACGGTTTCCGTGTGAAGTACTGCAATGAGCGAACGAAAATTGCAATCATACGCTGCCTGCATCGCGGACAGCGCTACGTATCCAGCATATTGCCCCTGATAACGTTGGCAAGTAGAAATATACTATATTATTCTATATAAATGTGTATGTCTGTATATTAAAGACTATATTGATTGCAGATTGGCGATGTGCGCGGCAAGTTTCGCACTCTTTACACGGGCGCAACAATCATCCAGTGCAATAAGTTTATCATCAGGCATCAGCGACAGTTTCTGGATCGCATGATGGGCCAAGTGGCATCGGCCAAGGAGCGTCAGGATCTCTTCAAGCGCGTCATGGAGTTCGACATGGACAGATAGATTATAATTTTTGCAAAAGGATTTACTTTTATACTTAAGCATGTAGTATATAGTTTTTTTGTACAATAAATGTTTGTTTCCAATTCGACTAAAAGTTAAATTTATAATATTTTTTGGTACGCAGGATCCTTAAACCTCGATGAGGAATTTGCGACTTGGCGAGCGTGAAAGTCTCGCACTGAATTGCTTGAGTCTGTGCTGCAAATCCGTAAAGGTCAATTTGTTCTTCTTGCTGTAGACATTCAGATAAATACCCAACACAACGATCAATCCCGACCAGATATATCTATTGAGAGAAGAAGCGTTGCAGTTTAATACAGAGAATTAGAGATGATGCAACGCATCTACTTACTGCACTGTGAATGGTTTGCTAAAGAGTAGGAAGGAGAAGGCAATGGTCACCGCTTTGCGGGCGGTCGTCACTGTGGCAGCCAGTGGAGCACCACTGCTCCGAACCAGCGCCAGCACAAACTGTATGCCCAAGTAGCCGGAGAGACTAAAGAGGAAGCCGTAGCCGAAAGTCTCCATTGGATGGGCCAAGCAGAAAGCGAATCCGCTGAAGAAGTTTCCAGTGATCAACATGACCACAAACAAATAGACAAAACCCAGTCCATAGGAATAGAAGACCACTTCACTGCTGGGTGCTTTGTGCTCCCGCATTGCCTTCTCCTGCAGATTGCCAATGACGGCATCGCATAACAGGGCTCCTGATATCATGGCCACGCCCAGCGGATTAAAGTTTGGCGACATCTGTGAATCGGCGAGGGTAAACCAGGCGAGACCTATGCACATGGCCGTTGCAGCGGCAAAGTCGAGTGGTCCATAGCGTTTGCCCTGTATAATGATGCTGCCGACAAGCACCGGGATCAGTTTGCAGCACTTGAAGATCACTTGCGTGGGATAGTTGAGATAGCCAAGGCTCGAGTTGGACAGGCCCATTGTGCCGAGTGTTAAGCCGGCAAGGACAAAGTACGTGCGCAGGGGTATGCAACGTGGGGCTGGCTCAACATTCCACAGAGTGGCATCCATCGTCCTGTAGGCCTCCAGGCGACGCTCCACCAATCCAAAGCCAATGTAGTAGCCAAACTGGACAAGAGTGAGAAACCAGCCATAGGGCTTAAAGCCCTCCACGGTGAAGATGAGCTCTTGGAGATACCCGTAGATTATGTAGAGTATAAATACGCCCGAACAGCTCAGCAGAAATTGCGTCGTCCGATTGTAGCGGGTCAGGTCAAAGCAGAGGATTCGCATTTCCCCTGGCGGCGGGGGAGGCGATTTTGATGTTGATGACGCTTTGCGCTGTGTAGCCACAGGGGGCAGAGGTGGGGCATCATTAATTGTTATCCCATTACTGATGTTGTTACTATTGTTGATACTGATAACGTTGTGTCCGTCGTTGTCAACTGGTCGACTGCCACCCAACATTGTGTGTGTGTATGTGTATGTGTCTGTGTAAGTGAGTGTGCTTATATGTTTTTATCACAGTTTCGGTTTTGTATTCTTTCTTAACTATTGCCACGCCACATTATTAAACGTTCACGCTTGCATTTCTGCTTTACACATCATAGGCGTAATTCATAAACGCAGCGCGCAACGTGTTCTTTTTTAATAGCCTTAGCTACGGTTCCGTTGTGTCCAGTTTTTGTTGATGGCCATTCGATAAACATCAGGTTGTATCATTTAAAAAAGCTACATTCTACGCTGCCAGACTGCGTAAATTTCCCAATATATGCATGTTATGGTCACTCAAAATCAGCAAATTGGCCACATTACCAATCGGTCGATAGCTCGAACTGTCTGGCATCCACATGCAGCATAGTCTTAAAAACATCGTTTCGTCATTAAGCAGCTCTCGTTTTGTGTTTCATTTTAAAAATGGCAGACGTAGAAAAGGAGCCTGAGAAGACCATCGCCGAGGATTTGGTTGTTACCAAATATAAATTGGCTGGCGAAATTGTAAATAGTAAGTAAAAAATAATGGAATTGTAAAAAGAAAGTGAAATCCAATTTGTTGGCTTGTACCACACTCGGCCGCTACGTGTAGCCGACAACAATGGAGACAGCGAAGACGTCGGCGCTGACGCTGACGTAGACGTTGACGTTGCTTGCAAGTAGCCACGCGGCGGTGTACGCGGGATATGCCAAAGCGAAGCGTGCATAACCTCAAACTTTTCAGGTGTTGAATTCTTTTTCGAAATGCACTTAAAATGAAAAGACATTTAACACATTCAGCTTTAATTTCAAGCATAGCTAAGCCGGCAAAACTAAATTTCAATGCTAATGTGAGAATTTTGAACAGTGGCAAAACTCGTTTCGCATGGAAATAACTCGACTATTTCTGTTTGAATGCGTTTAATTTTAGAAACACTGAAAACTGTTATTGGACTCTGTGTGAATGATGCCTCCGTCAGGGACATTTGCACCAAGGGCGACAATCTGCTGACCGAAGAAACCGGCAAAGTGAGTTTTGAGTAATCGAACATCATCGTACATATATGGAAAAAAGAAAAGGAAACAAAAAAACAAGTCCAATGATTAAAACAAACGCAATTGAGGGTCGAGCTCTGCGTGCGCCGTTGCTGCGCTGCTGGCTGGCAGCATGTGCGTGTGTGCCGTAAAAAGCCGCATGCTTCCTGCGTGCGTGCGTTCGTGCGTTGAATTTCTGTATTCCACCCACGTGCGCTTTTGGCGCTAGCTGGCTGCGATTGATGCGTGCTTGCTTTGATGAGGCCCAAAGATCAACAGATTATGAGATCTGAGGACACTTTTGGCAGACAGCCAACATTCATTTTGTCATTTTTCTTGATAAATTAATTAAAATACTACTCGCGTGGTTCCTAGGTGTACAAAAAGGAGAAGGAGCTGAAGAAGGGTATCGCATTTCCAACATGCCTGTCGGTCAACAATTGTGTCTGCCACTTCTCGCCAGCTAAGAACGATGCCGACTACACGCTCAAAGTGGGCGATGTGGTTAAAATGTGAGTACGGTTAATACACACCTGCAACTGGCAGCACTCATCGAAAATAAATTGCTTTTCTTTACTTGCCACATAGTGATATGGGCGCCCATATTGATGGCTTCATTGCAGTGGCAGCGCACACAATTGTCATTGGCGATGGCACGGATCAGAAGATAAGCGGACGACAGGCTGATGTCATACTTGCCGCATACTGGGCCGTCCAGGCGGCGTTGCGTCTACTCAAATCCGGCTCCAACGTAAGTGTTTAAGCAAAAATAGACCAATTAGTTTGTTGCAAGCAACGGATTGTCTTGCGTCTATCAAACATCGCCAGCACATCTCAACACTTGCACAAAGCACTGGCGACAATTGGCGATTGCTTGGGTCATCAAATATCAATGGCTCGGCTTCTGCTGATTGTTCACATACATATTTCAATATAGTTTAGTTATCCATCTGCTGCAGGCAACGGATTGTCTGCTGCTTTATAAATACACCTGGCACAGCACAGCTCAACGTCTGCATAAATCAATTGCGGCAATTTCGTGAACTAAACAAGTTTATTTACAGAAATGTTTGGTCTTTACAATTGCACACAAATCGACATATAATAGCCCATAAACCGGCTACGATTTATATTTATAACATATGGTATAACCTGACGTTTGGGTATTTTTGTGTTTTATTTTTGCAGAATTACTCAATCACCGATGCCGTGCAACAGATCAGCGAGTCGTACAAGTGCAAGCCCATTGAGGGCATGCTCAGTCACGAGCTGAAGCAGTTCAAAATCGACGGCGAGAAGACAATCATACAGAACCCGAGCGAGGCGCAACGCAAGGAGCACGAGAAGTGCTCCTTTGAGACGCACGAGGTCTATGCCATCGATGTAATCGTCAGCAGCGGCGAGGGCGTGGTAAGCTCACCGTCTATCAATTTGATCAGCCAACCAACAATTTGTTCAATGATTAAAAACACGCGCATGAGGATTGGCAATTGCAAGGCGATGGGGCTGAACATGTAAGCGCCCTGTGCGCTTGGCAAGCTGGCATTATGCAGCTTGGCACATGTTGGCTTCGGAGCTGCGCTTGCGCTGGCCCAAAGATAGCAAGATTATGAGATCTGAGAACGCCTTGACACATCATGGGAACTGATTTGATTTGTTGGATATATGCAGCATTGCTAAAGTTCGTGTTTGTTGCAGGGACGCGAGAAGGACACAAAGGTATCGATTTACAAGAAATCCGAGGAGAATTACATGCTCAAGCTGAAGGCGTCGCGAGCGCTGCTCGCCGAGGTGAAAACCAAGTATGGCAACATGCCCTTCAACATCCGCAGCTTCGAGGAGGAGACCAAGGCGCGCATGGGAGTCGTCGAATGCGTATCGCACAAGATGATTGAGCCCTTCCAAGTGCTGTACGAGAAGCCTTGTAAGTTTTGACACCTTTGTATGATTTGATTTTTGCAAAACTTAATTCCGGATTTGGTATAACTCTTGAGCTGCCAACTACGGCCAGACATTTTGCTAGAGCAAAGCTCCAAAGGCTTTGGCGTCTTCAGCGGTTGCCTCTAACCTCGGCCTCGGTCTGAACATGCCATTGCTACAAATGAATCTTTGCAAAGATATAGCCTCCCATCCGAATGGTAGACTTAATGTTATTTATATCTTGCACTTGCAGCTGAGATTGTGGCACAGTTCAAGCACACGGTATTGCTCATGCCCAACGGAGTCAATCTGGTCACCGGCATACCCTTCAACGAGGACATCTACGTCAGCGAACACAGCATTGCACAAGCTGAGCTCAAGGTAAATCCATAATCTAAATTAAGCCTTGTCTGCTTTCTAATTTTATGTGTTCTATTATTGTTATTCAGGAACTTGTCGCACAGCCACTGGGACCCGTTAAGGGCAAGGGCAAAGGCAAGAAAGCGGCTGCCAGCAACGTTGCTGCGGCGACAAAAGTGGACGCGGCGCCGGCCGTTGAGACCAAGGCATAGAGTCCTGGGTACACCGTACATAACACGCCGCCTTGAAGCAACAATAATGTGAACAATTGCGCTGCCTACTGCTGCCGCCACATCAGTTTTACTATATAATTCGTTGAGTAGTAAATCAGAGAAACCATTTGACAACATCAACCAACAACAACTCGTTTTCGTTCCAAGAACTTTTCCATTCTAACAAGAACAAAAAAGAAACAAATAAAAATAAATACCACTTATGAGCCTTATAGTTGGGCCTGTAAAGTTGGATTTGCAGCCAGAACTATACTTATTTCCCTCATTTTTTCAAAAAGCGTACTGAATTTTGTCGATTTAATTGTATAAATATCGGTGTGTTAAAAATTGCAACGAAATGAGAAATCGCAAGATTTGTAACATTTTTACAGTAAGCATGATCATGATCTTTGAAATACAAAAACGTTAATATTCACATACAGTAGGTATTAAATAAAATTAACATTTTATACAAAAAGAAAAAAACTAATAAATCTGAACTGAGTTTTTTTTCTTTTTTTTTTTTGGAAACTGTTTTGAAATCATTATGAATTAGAACTGATATAAATAACATTAAAAATAATTCAATTCAATTGATTGACGGAAGAAGAAAAGAACATAACTACAATGATTATTTCCAATACAAATAATTTTTCTTTTATTTTTTTATGATTTATGTATTTAAGTTATGTTCACAATTTTTTGTTTATATAAATTTCTTGCATGTAATTAAAATTGTACACAGTCTCATCTCTGAACTCTTTTGTATTACAAAAGTAGCAAGAATAATATTTGTTATCGTTACTGTTATTAGGACACCCATCCCTGCAACACCCTCATTTTGCCACTTTGCCCATCCAGTCGCCCAGTCGCCAGCCTTCCATCTCGACACGCCAAACGAATATAGTGCCAACAAAATTAAACAACAAAATAAATTACATATTAAATTGCTACGAACTGAACGTATGCAAATTATCAGAACGGGAAACGCACGCGCCCGATTCGCGATTGAAATTGAAATGTGCAAGCAGAATGACGGGCTGCGGCGTCATCAACAGACTCGTAGTTGGACTGAATCAATCGTGTTTGATTAGTTGATGAAATACATGTTGTGCATGTATTTGTGGATCCGGTTATGGAAGCAAGCAAAGCAAGCCTGCAGTTGGCTACGGAACGGGGTAGAACGACAACGATGATTATATGAGCGCCGCTTTAAGGACTTTAGTTATCGGCATGTGCGTCCATGGGCGCCGATGCGGTCACATTGCTTGGCTTCTCCGGCGTGTCCAAGTAGATTTTCAGAGCTCGTTCGCGACGCTGCGAGTAGCGCGTCGTTGAAATGCAACCCAATCGATCCAGACGCGCCTTCTCTTTGTTTGTCAACGAGCGGCGCTCCTCCGTCGTCAACTCTCGCACCGGCACGCTTTTATCTCTGCAATACAAGATCATCAAATAAATGCATTCGAAAGAGATTTCGATTTATCTGGTGAAACACTCACTTGTACAAATACATGTTGCCGCTTTGTGTTGTGTTCAACGGATACATGTCCAGTGCCGCCGGCACAGAGAACCAGTTGACGGCCTCATTAACGCTAACTGCCGATATGCTTGTGCAGGGAAAGCAGCTGTTTACCTGCAGAAGAAAAAGTTATGAGTATTATTCTCACTGCTGTTTGCTGTGCCTGTTGTCGTTTTGCTCTTACCTTCATATAACTTATGCGGTCAATGGTGATATTGCATATGGTTGACAAACAACTTCTGATTTCGCTGTCCTCTGCGAAACGAAGAAAGTTTGTATTGTTAATGCTAATATGATTCACTCATTTGCCAACTTACTGTCCATTGTGATTTCTTGGAATTTTCCAAATTCCCATTTGTCTGGATACCAGCGACGAACGAATATGGTTAACGAGTCATCCTTGGGCTGTGGATCCACGCCTTCCTCGCACTCTTGCAAAATAAACTGGCAAGCAACAAATTGAGACATTAGGTGTGGATAATTTTATATTTGTTGTACTCCTCACCTCAGCGGCAATTGTGGAGCGCATGTCGCAGTAGAGCAAATCCTCGTTGGCGAGTATTTTGATGGGACAACGACCGCCCTTCAGCCAGATGCGACTGTTGTCGACGGTAAGGGACGTGTACTTGGCATCGATGCGATGCAGCTTCGCGACCAGATCCTGTTTGGCCTGCTCCACAGTGGTGGTGGCACTGTACACCCACTCACAGGCGCAGGGCAGCTTGGCGGTCTCATTGTCCACATCCGCCAGGCGCAAAAAGTATATCTTGGTCTTGTACTCATCCGGCAGCAGTGTCTTGCCCAGCTCCACGGTCAGCGTCTCACCCTCATTGAGAAAGACTAGCGAATTGGTCTGACTGTTCGATATGGTGTTCTCATGTTTGCGCTGCAGCTTAAAGTAGGCGCCAGGCACTCGGATCAGTTGCTCGATGTGCCGCTTGAAGGTGCCCATGCGCATGTGGGTGCCAGCGAGTAGCTTATAGGCGTGCGTCGGCTTACGCAGCTGCGCCTCGTCATCGGATTGGTGGCCACTCGTGCTGCTGGTGGTGGCCACATCCACGCTGTCGATTTTGATGGCATGGAAAAAGTGTGTGGTTGTGCTATGGGGCAGGGAGCTGTTGTCGCCAGCTTCGCTGTCATAACTGCCATTGCCATTGCAGTAGGCATGAACGCGCATCATGGCGTCTTGGGAGGCTGCCTCGTCCTCGGGACTGGACAGCTGTGGCGAGTGGCTGGTGGAGCTCACTTGACTATCGCCGCCGCCGCGATGCTGCAGACTATTCTCAACCAGCGTACGATCGCCGTCACTCAGGCTGCTGTCCTCCGAGTTGGACTCGTGGCCGGGCGTTGCAAGCGGCGCCAGAGAATCGGGCTGATCGCGCTTATAGCGACGCCAATCACAGTCGTTGTTGCCGGCGCTGCCACCCTCTGGCGTTGCCTTGCCGCTTGCGCCATTAATGCCGTTCATCATGGCCGCATCGACAACATCAGCACCGGCAGCGCTGCCATTGACTGTCTGCAAATGGGAAAAGAATTACTTGAACATTGACACTCTGCTCTTCAATACTTGCATTTAACAACAATTCGGTATTTCGAGATATATAATTTGATGGGACTGATGGGGAACCTAGAACATACCTCGATGGGAGCTGCAATGGACTCGGTGCTGGGCACGCCCATCATTTCGAGGCTGGTGGCGTCGGTGTTAGGCACGTTTAAGTAAAAGTATGTGATATATTTGAATTGTGAGTTGGCCAGTTGCTGCAGATGCTGTTGCGCCTCCGGTGTCGGTTGCGGATCATAGGCGACAAACGCTTTGCCCCGCACGGTCGCCAGTAGGAACTGCTGCTCGTTAATGTGTAGGCGTGTTGCGATCGAGTGACGCAGCGCATCGTCTCGCGCTGCTGAGTAAACCAGGAAGGGACCGTCCATCGCCATGGTCGAGAGATCTACTTTAAACACATACCACGTAGTGCCATCGCCGGCATAGTTCTCAAACTGCTGATCCTCGGCCCGATACTCCAGCAAAAAGTCCAGATTGTAGTTATGCGCGGCACGCAGTTCCGTCAGCGCCGGATCCGTGCTATTCTCCAGTGACTGCAGAATTGTATCCATTGATGAATCGTATGCAACCAGGCGACAGCGCGACAACGGCGCAAACTGATCCACATTAAGCATCTCGTGTGCCGAAATCAACACCAGCTTCACATCAAAACTCTGCGACACATACACACGCGTCATCTTCAGCTTCTTGAGCGACGGATTATAGAAGTAGACGCGTGGCTTGTACAGATCCGGCAGTGCCAGATCTGTTACGGTGATGTGTCTGCCCAGGCGTGTCACGCGCGTCTCCTCCTCCGCGTGCAGCTTGGGCAGCAGCGACTTGATGTGCTCCGGAAAGTCACCACACTTGGCCACAGGCTCGTTGCGCTTGGCGTCCACCTGGCGATACATCAGCATATAAGCATTCGTGCTGGACGTATACGCACTCGAATAGTAACTTCCATTCGGTCCGCCAAAGGAGCGCTGGATGTCCTCCTGTGTGATCTTCAAAATGAACAGATACGGTTTCAATTAGATAATGTCGTCTGGTAATGAAACTGGATTATTGGCTACCTACCGAAGACACATTTTGATCGTTGAAGCAAAACCAATCCTGGCTCTCGAAGTCCTTGATATACGCATAGTAATGACCGCCCGATGCGCTGCCCGAGTGTATCATGATTGCAAAGAGCTCATAGTTATACGGACCCGCTAGCGACTCCAGTTTGAGTCGCGCCTCCATGTTAGCGCTCTTGCCGGTGCTGCTGCTCATGTCAATCCCCTCGTCCTCATCGTTTATGTCATTCTCGTGCTGACTGGAGCTGGCCGTGGTCACCACACCACTGCTTAAATTATCCTCCTCCATGGCCGAGCCACTGTCCGCTGTGCTGCAATCGTCCACATTGCTGCTGCCGTTCATTTGATATTGCTCACCCTGACCGCAGCGATTAACAAAGCTGTTCAGGTTCAGCTTCTGCGGAAAGGTCACTCTGTGACAAACACAAAGAGATTAGTATGGGTAGGAGATGCTGGTAAGCTGGAGTTTAAGACATACCTGTCATTCAGCTTGATGCGATGCATGGTCTGATAGTCAAAGTCGAAGCGCTTCAGATGCAGCGTCAGTATGTACGGGAAGGACTTGAAGTGCAGTCCCTTGTGAGCGTCGCACTTCTTTTTACACTTCTCGCACAGATACTGATTGTTGCCGTCGAGCGTCTCGGGTTGAACGAAGGCACGCAGTGCTTCCTCGATGCTGCCGTAGGCGGAACTGCTGCCAAACGGACGCACCGGCAACGGTATATCGAGGAAAGTATCCTCGCGCGTCTTCTCCGTATTGCACTCCAAGCATTTGACATAATCGTTCATTTTGCCCTCATACAGATTTGAAATGAGATTAGCCTGTTTGGTGTTCTTGAACTTGTGCTCCAGCGCATCGAACATGACGCGGCACAGCTCCTGGATGTCGTGCTGTTGCCAGGCCTCGGACGAGTCCCAGCCAAAGCTGCGCGTCAAGTCCGTCGTCTCCACCGATGATTTGGGCGATGTCTGCAGATTGAGGAACAGCTTTTGCAGTTGATATGGTATGTTCTTAGCCTCGTTGTCATTGTCAAACTCCCAGCGATACAAGGCATTGCGAAACTCCGGTGTCATGTAGAGTGCCTGCAGCAGACTGTTTAGGTAGCAGGTCATCGCCTGATTGACCAGTCCCACATAGCTGCGTGGACCGCCGCCATTGCGATGCGTCTCCGTTTCTGTGTTGGCTGAGGCCACAAATTCTGCGGCGGCACTGTTGGAGAGCTGCCAAGCGGGCACCTCATCGTACTTGCGGCCAAAGAATTTGCTATACTCCAGCTCTTTTCTATTGTCACCTTCTGCCTCAGCACTGCTGTCTGCGCCAGCAGCAAGCGCATCGGTGCCAGATTCAGTTGCAGCCAACAGTTCGCCTACGGTTGGACCGGCGCTGACAAAGTCGTACTGCACAAGTGGATCCATTAGCGTGGGACTTGCCGAGGCGCCCAAAGCCAAATCATCGTCCGACAGTTGTTCAGCATCGGAGACGGGACTAATGTTGAACAGCTCGGGTGCAGCATCATCCACAGGTGATATGAGGATCCTATTTTGGGGCAACTGCTGTTGCAGCTGCTCTTTTATTTCAACTTTGGTTTGCTCATCCATGGATACGCCGATTGGTGAGCTTGACAGCTCCACTTCCTCGACCACTTGTTCTGTGTCCTTCTTGACAACCTTATCGTTGCTTACGCTGGGCTTGGTTTTTACTTTAGTGCTGATCTTGGTGGGCGTTGTGGGCGTCGAAGTTGCGCTCGGTGCTATTGGCTCAGCTGTTGTGGTTGCTGTTGTGGTTGCTGTTGTGGTTGCTGTTGTGGTTGCTGTTGCGGTTTCTGTTGTGGTTTCTGTTGTGGTTACTGTTGTTTTTTCCGTTGTAGGACTGACGCTTGTTTTGGTTTTGCTCGGCGATTTTTTCTTTTTCTCGCCTGTTGTCGTTGTGCGCTTTTTTTTCTCGCCGGTTTTTATTGTTGTCGTCGATGCTGTTGTTGTTGTGCCATCTGCTGCCTCTAACCGCTTGCTGGCCGTTGAAGCTGACTTTTTCATGACCAGTTCGTAGCGTTTAGCCACATTGCCGTCCCAGGTGCCATCGGGCAGCAGCACCAGATTGTTCTTCAACTTACGTTCAAAACCAGGCACATCGAACAGCAGCTGCGCATCCAGTGTGTTCAAATGGACCTAAAGCATTTGATTAGTAATGAGAGAATTGATGACAAGACTTTTTGTTTACTCACCAGATCCTTGTCGCCGTGCGGCTGTAGCAGCAGCTCAAATTTGCCATAGGCAAACTGTGTGCCAATCAGGTTGATGACTTGCTTCACCGTAAAATGGGCACGCACAACGAGATTGATTTTCTTCTGCTGGGAGCCGGGTGTCTGATCAAAGACGGCGCACTGTGTGCTGCACTCGTTGTCCTTGTCCTTGTTGTTCTGCTCAGCCATGTTCTGGCGCGTGTTGTCAACCAAATGTTAAATGGCCTGTAAGTTGGGAGTAAAAATAGCGTTTAATTTCAGAATTTTGAATGTTTGTGCAAAAGAAATGCCTGAAAGTAATAAAGAAAATAAATAAAAAATGAAGAAAGAAACATAAACTACTGACATTTGATTGAGAAGTCAATTTTGACAATATCCGCTGAGCAAGACAAGGAACCCAAATTCATACGTGCTGTTCATTGCTCCCATCCGTTCCCCAACGACGCCCTCAACACCCACCGCAGACCTCAATTCGAAAATAAACCAAAATCGCATTTGCTGTTTCGGCGATTTGCGTTTTTCGCGCCTTATTTGTATGCGCGGCCCCACGAAAAATCGACATAACATGAGTCAGTTAGTACGGAATTTCATAAACAAATTGAGGCCGGAGGCAGCTTCTAGAAGCGTTCTGATTCCATTTTCAGTTGCTGCTGCTGCTGTTGCTGCTGCTTCTGCTACTGTTGCTGTTTGTGCGTCTGAGTTTTCAGCACCAGCGTCATAATTGCCGCATAAATTGCTCCTACAAATGTCATTCTCCAAGTCGATGGTTGTTGCTTTCTTTGTTGGGCTATTTGGGCAACGGCTGACATTGTAACGGAAGTGTTACAATATTTATATTATATACACATATATGTATCTTTGGCATTTAGCCGCAATGCGCAAAATGTACAAGTTGGTCATCCAAATTTGGGGGCGTGCACAGATATAAGTAAATAAAGTAAATTGCAAAATGGTTTTTGGAAGAACTATAATGCGTTTTGGCATTTTACAGTTTTGGACGACGGCTCATAAAGGAAGCTGTCAGCTGGAAAACAAAATCGACGAAATGTACATGTATGCAATTTCCACGGTATATGCATGTCAATATATTGATATGTGTCAATTTTCTATAGGGAACAGTGCCAGGCACAGCTGTTGCCATCAATCTGTATACATTTGTGATAACGAAACCAAAACACACATTAGATTCTCGGTATGCAGTATTCGACTCCGAACATTCGTTTAGCTCGATTTTAAGGAGCTTATGTTGCACAATTCTTGCGAAAATTTCTATACTGTAAGCTGAAGCCGATGTTTACCGGAAAATTTGCACAAATTCTGGCGCAAATGCGTTCACGGTCTAATTAAGTGTCCAAAGCATTTAGAAAATACGAAATGCGCAATGTTTTTCCAACTGAGATATTCAAAAATAGGCACAAACATTGCAAACTGAGGCGAGGGGCCGGACTGAGGCAATACGACGAGAGATGAGATGTGTTTGTGGCAAGTGCTGTGGCCAAAAGATAAACGCAAATGAGCTGCAATTTCAAACACATTTTGGATGAACGCAAGCATTTATAAGATATATTTTTATATACATATATATATATGTATATATGTATATATGTATATATATATATATACATAGGCGTACGTGGACTGGTACACAAACATCAGCAAGATCGGAATCCAAAAATGCTAATACGCGACCAGCACAAATCAAAATAAAGCTGAAAAAATGGTGCGTCTAAAAATAAAAAAGAGACGACGACGACGGCGATGAAAAATCGCAGAAATTGAAGAAAAAAAAATAAATAACGTCAAAGAAAAAACAAATATGCAAATAGGCAGGGAGCACAAGTATCCGTCAGATACTATCTGGCTATTTGTAAATGCGAAGGTTTCCGTTACCAAACTGTAGGGGAATACTATGTTTATGTCTACAGATCGAAAAACGGAGACGCGTAGAATTCTCATCAATATTTACATTGAGGCTGATCCCCACAAAGCGTGAGGGGTTCGAGGGGCGAAAATTGATATCGAAATTAAACGAAAATCAAGCAAACACATATTTTTCAATTGGATGTTTTTGTCATATGAGTGTGTTAAGTGTTAAGTGTATATGTGTTTAATTTTTTCGCATATAGTTTGCGCTATTTATAAAACTATTTCGGTACATCATTTTAGTTTTTGAGGGCGAGACACATTCCAAATAGCTATACTTCCAATTTCTCGACTATATAGTACACACACACACACACACACACAAATTGAATGAGTTTCGAGTTCGATATTCGAGTTTCCAATGTATACACAAATTATGCAGTTTTCTCTACTCTCTCTATAGTTTTTTATTACGAAAGCGCAATCTATTTTAAATGGATTTTATTTATAGACCAATTTGCTGGGGGATTTGCACGCTTTACGCGACTTAACCAACTCCATTTGAAGCAACAAACACACACAGTGATTATAAATATATATATATATATATATATGATCCATATATGTTTATTTCTACACATATATATATCTTTTATTTTTTTATATGCACACACACACACCGTCTGATTGCTCCCCGAGTTCTTTGCGCCGTGAAAAGCCGCCGTCAACGCAACGACATCGTTTCACGCGTATGCGAGTACTGACCACCACTGCTATGGCGACTATAACACGAACTGGGGCTGGCGCCCCAGAGCACCCGATTGCTCCTCTCCTCTCCTCGCCGCTGCTCTCTTTGCCCAGCCTCGCCCTCCACTCGATGCGATCGCGTTTGCAAATGAATATCCGCCCGGCTGAATGCGCTACAGACTGAATCTGAGTGTGCTCAACTTATTTGATGCAGTTGTTCGCACTGATAACAACAAGATAAATAACAAAAGGCACGGCAACATTGGCTGTTGATAATCACATGTCGAAAAGTATTTGAATGACTAAGTAGCTTTATTGGGGCTGGCAGGTGACACAGCTGTGTAGTTCACCCAGTCGGTGCTTGTATCCTAACCTATACAAAAATAAGACAGTAAGATCGGTCTTCAACTTGAATCCACGAAAGACATGGCTCGGATCTCGATGCTGATCAAGAATATATTGCGTGGTAGACGTTACACACGTCACAAACAAATTGGAAGACCCTCTGCAAAGGGTATTATTACTCAATGAATAGCCGAGTGTGCATTTATTAGAATGCGGAGAGAGCAATGTTTGTAGAAATTTACAGTGGCGAAAGTGCTATTAATGTTTTTTCTTTTTTGTTTTTGTGTTTTCTTAAGATGCCTCTCGACAATTGGCCGAATGAATGACTATTTTTATGCACTGCTTCTCGCCTGTGCCTCGCCAGCGTCTCATGTGTGACTAAGCGCTAACAATGAGTGCCGGCATCGACATAAGTTGCTCTCTTCTCAAAGGGGGAGCAGGCGAGCGAGCGGGTTAACTTTTCATGTTGGCGAATTTTCGTTTGCGCAACACTTAATGGTTGTAGGGGGCCAGGTTTTGGGGGGTGAGCCGCCCGGTGGGCGGTCGGTTGATCGGTCAAGGTTTTGCTTTGGAACGTGACACATGTGACTGTGTTTTGTGTGCGAAAGCAAAACTAGTTCAAGCTGTGCGTCCTTCAACGTCTTGACCAAATGTCGGAAAACTTGCGGCTCCAAAATATGCTCACAAAAAACATACACATATATGTATAGATGTATGTGTGCAATTGAGCGTGTGTGAGTAGGCATACATACAGATACATACATATGTATTCATATGTATGTATGATTTCACTTACCTGAACTGTGAAAATGTTGCAATATTGTGTGTGGGATTTATACACAATCCAGCCCAATGTCTGGGCGAACACAGGGCTTTCGATTTAATGCTATCTAAATTAGTTAAACGGAGGATGGTTGATGTTGGTACCGAGCAGCAACCATTTTTCTAAATGAAACAAATGTTTTTTGTTGTTCGGCTGCGGTTTGGCTGCACTTCTATCGATGACACTACCGATAGGCAACTCCTGCTCTCGATGGTATATCGGTAGTTGAAGTAGATTATTCACGAGAAGCATCGATGCTAGAGTTGTAATTCGATTGCGGCATAATCGATTTTTTTTATATGTTAAAAACACTTTAAATTCGACAAATCAAATACTTCAAATACGTAAAATGTCTATTGCTTGTGAATTACTCAACTAAAATTCAATTGGTTGATTACTAGATAAATTTTGTGTTAATTTTAATTCTGGCGCCCTTTGTTGTCGGAACGCAATATTCCGGATGCAACCCTACCTTACGAGAAGCATCGAGAATTTTCGACAAGCAGACTGCCCGAAGTCTATATAAGGGTGACGTACGCTACCACTTCGATTTATTTAGCAAAAATTAAGACGAGTGTTCAGAGGGTGTGTACCCAAAACAAGAGAGAACCGAAAGAAATAATTGATTGAAAATTATATAGTACATAAAATATTTCAAGACAATTGTGCGTTTTCAAAAGTGCATTTTACATCAAGTAAACTTAGAAATTTTATAGTACATTCAACAGAAGTACAAGTGAAATACATAAATAAATTTTTGCTGCACAGCTGCAAAACAAATAAGGTAAGTGGGCAAACAATCATAATAATTGTTGCTTAAATTATCATGCTTTCAAGTTGTGTGACCCTCAAAAATATAGATAAGCGAAAATCAAAACATTCTAAAATACAATAGTATATAAAATTCTAATCCCAAACACGGATCCGACGTCAACGTCACGCATATATACTATTTGTGTGTATGTAGAATGACAACACAGCAGCAGAAATGAAATTCGTTGTCGTTGCACAACTCGAAAGCTTCTAGCAAATTCCATTGAGCGTCGCGCGTTCGAGAGAGGAAAAGAAAAGCAGTTGTTGCTTTTGCTTCGTTTCGATTTTCGTATCAGTATGATAATTGTGTGCTTTCTTTTGTTTATTTGCAGTTGAGTACGCGGCGCTAAAGTAAAGCAAAGCAAAATGGGTAAAGATTTCTACAAGATTCTGGGCATTGACAAGAAGGCCACAGACGATGACATTAAGAAGGCGTATCGAAAATTGGCACTCAAATACCATCCGGATAAGAACAAGAGTCCGCAGGCCGAGGAGCGTTTCAAGGAGATTGCCGAGGCCTATGAGGTGCTCTCCGATAAGAAGAAGCGCGACATATTTGATCAGTATGGCGAGGATGGGCTGAAGGGCGGACCACCCGGATCCGAAGGCGGCGGACAACCGGGTGCCTACTCCTATCAGTTCCATGGTGATCCACGCGCCACATTCGCCCAGTTCTTTGGCTCGCAGAATATCTTTGGAGCGTCAGATCCGTTTGGCGCTTTCTTTGGCGGTGGTGGCGGCGGCAACGGTGATGGCACCGAACAAATCTTCATGAATATTGGCGGCGATGAGATGTTTGCTGGCGGCGGTTTTGGAGGTAACCCCATGGGCGCCTTCCGTTCACAATCATTCAATGCACAGGTGCCCAGTCGGAAGCGTCAGCAACAGGACCCACCGATCGAGCATGATTTGTATGTAACGCTGGAGGAGGTCGACAGAGGCTGCACAAAGAAGATGAAAATCTCGCGCATGTCAATGACAACGGGCACAGCGCGCAAAGAGGAAAAGGTGCTAAGCATCACTGTTAAGCCTGGCTGGAAGGCCGGCACCAAGATCACATTCCCCAACGAAGGCGACCAGGCACCACAAAAGCTGCCGGCAGACATCATCTTCATCATACGCGACAAGCCGCACTCGCAATTCAAGCGCGAGGGCAGCGACTTGCGCTACAATTCTCAGATCAGTCTCAAGCAAGCGCTGTTGGGCACCTCAGTGACGGTGCCAACGCTGCATGGCGAACGCATACAAGTCAATACGCAAGGCGAAGTCATAAAACCCAACACAGTGAAGCGCTTCAGTGGGCGTGGACTACCCTTCCCCAAGGAGCCGTCGCGACGTGGCGATCTGATCGTCGCCTTCGACATCAGATTTCCGGATAAGATTCCAAACAGCTTAAGAACAGTGCTAGCGGAATCGCTGCCAAACTAAATGTGATGGTCGACTCGGTTGTCTTGTACAATGTTTAGCTTTGTACTCTATCATAAAATCTGTAAAGTATGTTTTTAGTTTAAGTTTCTAATTAAGTTTACCCATAATATATATTTTCCTATGTATAGGACGCAAAATTAATTTTTCTGTGTAGGCTTGAAAAATTATGTTACCTTTTCAAACGTGTGTTTAGGAATTCGATGTTAATGTTGATAAATGCAAAACCTTAGAATTGAATTTTCGCGATAAGATAAAAAATCAATATACAAATCACTGAATACAACTACACACACATACATGTAGTATGTACGAGATAGCTGAACGTGTTTTGTGCTGGAGACTGATCGGTTACTGAATTATATATATTTTTTGTATCATATTCTAAACAATAAACCAAAGTAATTAATGATATTGCAAATTGTTAAAATATATTCACGTCGTTACTACTGTAAAGCATATGTATCCCCGGACCAATCCAACTCGGCTCCCACAAGACACTGCAGGACTTCCGTACACTAATACACGCGGCTATTATATTGTAAGGCAGATCACACCTACATTATATGAAAGCAATAGAAGTAGTACGTTTTAGTACCATAATTATATATTTACGTGAAAAAAGTATTTAATAAACTAATTCAAAACAAACAAACCTTTTGCCGTACTTTAATTGATTTGGGATTGGGTTACAGGAACATGCTGAAAAAGGATTCTACCAGAAAGTCAACCCAATTAAAAACAGATTTTATTGATTTTTTTTTTTAATTTCACATTTCATTTTGTTTTTTATTTTTGTTCACTTCAAAGGGATTTTTGTAATTTATTCATTTTCACATATTTTCACTTTCCTTACTTTGAGTGTTAATTTGCATTTGCAATTGTATAATAATGTTTTTTTTTCTTTGTGTATTTTTTTCTTGTATATTTTTTCATCGTTTCAAAAATTATTAACATCGATTGCATGTTGTTGTTGCAGCTGTTAATTATCATAATAAAAATGGAATTCTTTAATGCTTGTTCATTTTGTTCGTTATAACTAGAATTGTTTCTGTTTAACTTGTTGTTACTATTGTGTGTTACAAATGGTTCATTATTATTTGAATTTCGATTTCATAAATTTGTTTATGCTTGTGTTTTCTGTTTGTTGTTATTGTTGACTTATAACTGTAATACATTTACCAACTTTTACTGTTCATTACTGCTTCTGCTTCTCTTCCCAAAGTAAACGTGATACAAAAAATAAAAAATGAATAGACTAACAATTGTATTAACAAATTAAATATCCATTAACAATTTGTTAAACATGATACGCGCACCTTTTTCTGAGGCAGAGAGAAGCGGCCTGAACTAAACTAGGTAAATAAGTACATGTGTTTTTTATACATGGTATAATAATAATACATATATTAATATATACATCTATTAATATATGTATATTTTTAAAATGCATTAAAAATAGTCAAATGTGTACAAAAAGTTCATACTATTTCGAATGATTTATATTCTTAACCATCTTTAAATGAGCTTAATAATTTAACTATTTCATTGACTAAAGTTTCCGGCAACAATTACTCCTGACTGCTCTTCGCTTTTGGTTTATTTATTATTATTATTATTTGTATTGTTTTTTTATTTTTTATTTTTTATCCTCAAACTTATATAAACAGTAAAAATTATGTTAAAATGTTGTGATTTGGTTTTTTGTTTGATTAACATTCATTCATTTATCAATTAGACTGTTGTATACTTTTTAGAATTTCTGTTGACTCGATTCTTGCATTTTGCTTGTTATTACTGTCTGTTTTAATTAAAGTTTACATTGTATATTATTTAATTCAATTTGATTGGAAACCTAAAAATGTTTTGATTATGTTTCGATTTTTGCTACTTGTGTGTTTTCAATGAGATTGAGAAATGAATACATGATACGAGTACTGTTTCTCGTACACTGAAAACAAAACCTATTCGCAAATGCCAGTACAGTGTACGCCTGGTAAATGAGCTGGTTAGTGCATTGATTAAATCATTCAGCAATTGGGTGAGTTCTTTTTCCTGATTTGAATAACTTCCAAGCTGCATTCACAACCAATATAATTATTATTTTAATCTTCTTGTAGAACTTTACGGAAAACTTCGCGTCTTGTTTCCATTTTGAAAACCCATTTTAAGAAACAAACAAATTATAAAAAAATAATCAAAATTTGTGCTCAATATTTGGTTTTTTTCTTCTTGTTTGTCATCTATGGAATTTAGCTATGCATGTAATTTGTTTGCTTCGTGTTTTTTGTTTTTTCATCTTTTGTAAGTGTTTGAGTGAAGATCTTAATTATTATATTATTGTTATTAAGCTAGAAGAGTGTTTCATTATCTTTTTATTTTTGTTTTCTCTTGTTGTTGTGTGTATGTAGTGTTGTTGCCGTGTTCACGCTTATATATTTATATACTTTTTTTGTTTAGTTTATTTAAATGTTTGCTCGCGTTTAACATGTTAGGTTTTGCTGTATTTGGCGCTGAATTCTGCAATTAACCGTTGTTATCTTGGATTTGTAATCCCCAACTCATTTATATTTAGTGTGTTTATAAATATGTGTTTGTTTAAGTGTATGGAATTCTTTTTTGTTAGTTAGTATTACTTGTTAGTTTACCATTTAACATTTTGACTAAATTTTTGCTATTTTGTTTTTTAAATGTGTGTGTGTTTTTAAATGTATTTTATGTGGTATCTGTATGGTATTTTCTTATTCGGTTTTTTTCAGTGTACTTCCTACAAACTAAACACTTTGCATTGCAGCTTTAATTTAATTCGAGTGTGTGTGTTGATTTGCTGTTCGTGTTGCTTAACTGTCTAAAGATTTCTTTCTTATTTATGTTTGTATCTTTTTGTTTTTTTCTTTTTTTGTATGTTAGAACGTTTGTTTAAAGTTGCATTTTTTAATATATTTGGTTTTTGGGTTTCACTTGCGATTATTTTTATTTATTTTTAAATTCACTAATCCTAAATACAATCAATGTTTCAATTTGTTCACGTTTTCTCCTCAATAAATGTATTTAAATCGAAATTTGTTTTCAAGTCTTTTTCAGCGACAAATGCATTTGAATTTGTTCACATATTTTTGTTTTGTTTTCTTTAATTCTTATTAAATTTTTTCAAAATCCTTTGCTTTAATTATACGTTTATTATATGTTTTGCACATTAAATACAATCGATAATATAAATCAAAGTCTTGTTTTAAAAAAGATGTGCATGTTACCATCTTTTTGCTCTCATTAAAAACGTAAACAAAAAACAACAAACGTTTTTTTCTCCTTCATTCGATGTTTTTGTGATGCTTAAAAACAATTCGAAACTATTCACTTTTTCGAAAGCAACATTAACATTTTGACACACTTGTTTCAGTATTAATTAATTAATTAATTAATTAATAATAAATAAAGTTGTATTTATTTCTTTTATTATTTTTTTGGATTTGCTGTAAGTTGCTTGATTCGGGGGAAGGGGGAAAAAGTGTTAGTTCGTATTGTTTCTGTGTTGTGTTCTTTGATTGAACTGCTGTCGTTTCATACAACACTTGATTAGTTAAAATTTAACAAAAGAAATTAGTTAAGAGTTCTTATGTTTGCTTAGCTTCATACTAAATGTATTGTTTTGCTTTTTCTGATTTAATTTTTCACATCGTCTTTGCGGGTTGTTGACTGTGGATCTGTGCCTAAATTTATCATGTCTCGTGGTTTCCACACCGGGGACCCTACAATTAAATGAAAGAAAAGAAAAGATACAATGGAAACCATATATGAAAAAATATGAAATTTTTCGTATTCTCGTTTTTTGTTCGTTTTTGGCGGTCAAACAAGAATCTAAAATTTAATTTGTAGTTTTAGTAGTATATAAAGAGAAGAAGAGAAAAGTTCTCCATTTTGTGGTAATTAACAATTGGGTGTATAGTTTGTTTTCGTTAATCAAGTGGTAGCCAATGGTAGTGTTCAAAATTCAGATTATTTACTTCAAAACATGCAAGCAACCCGTTCAAAGTACTTGACAAAAGTCAAATACTTTCAACGTTTTCATCTTAAACAAAATGTAAGCAAAACTAATTATTGTTTTATTTTTTGTTTGTTTTATTTAAATGTTTAATGAGCACTACTTTTAAGCTGCTTTTGCTACTTAAGAAGAGGATCGTAGGTGGGTGAAGAAGATTTAGGGGGATTGGAATTCAACAGCTAGGCTAAAACAACTAAGTAAGAATTTGTATAAAGTTAAGTTTTTGATATTTGTTGAGGGATTGGAGCAGTGTGGGATAAAGTTTAAGTTGGGTTAAAATGTTGACATCGCTTGGTTTTTCATAATATTTGCTTTCTTTTCATTTCATTGTTAAGTTGTATTAAAATATTGGACAAATGTTCGAATTTCATAAAACAGTTTTGCATTTTATGCCAACATTTTTCGTAAGTTTCGTGTTTAGGTCAAATGAAATGAAAATTAAAATAGGTGTAAATTTCTTAATTAATCTTTTCCACGATTGATGATAAATGTTTTACACAACTAAAGTGCAGCTCCAATTTGCCAGTTAACTTGATAATTGGGTATGCGTGTGATGCCGCACATTAATTTTAATCATAAAAAGTTTTCAGCTAGTTTCGGAAAATAGTTTTGGAAAAGAAGAAAAGTTTTGTTGTTGGAAAATATTTAGCGTGATTAAAAACGATGAGAACTTTGTGCTATTTGAGGTATGAGGTACAGAAAAATGCAATGCAAAAACGTTGTACGAATAGCGAAAATAAATTTATTTAGTTTTCTTTGTTTCGAAAAATTGTTAAACATATCGAATTAATTGAAAGAGAGGGGAAATGTTTAGATGGACTTGTTACTTGTTTTCATTATTTGGTTGGTTGTGGGGGCACGTGTGTGTAACCATAAGACATTTATATAAATATTTCGATTATATTTGCATATTATAAATTGCTGTTTTTATCATTGGCACTAAATTACCATAATCATAATCATAGCATTTAAAACATTACGTTATTTTTGGCACAGTTGTTTCATTTGTTGTTTGTTGTTGTTGTTGTTATTGTTGTTTGTATGTAGTTTGTTAAGAAAATGCAAAACGGATTATTATTGAAATGACGAAAGTGGTTAAGAGAAAACTTGCAAAATCGTCAAAAGCGCACCAAAAATTCTATTTCATTGAATTTATTGTTTATTAATATTAATTAATCAAGCGATGCCAACTAATTATACTTAGGTTTTGTTGTTGTTGGTTGTTCTTTGGTTGTTGTTTTAAGCTATCAAGTATTTGCAACAGATACAACAGATATGCACTGTACGACTGGGAATGTTGTTGTATGTATCGCCTACAGAGCTTAAGCATGTATATATTATATCCTTATAAGTAGAGACATTAATATTTCTGCATTTTAGAAGGAATTCTGATACTGTGTTCGCATTGTTTTGAGCTGTTTGCGTGTATTTTTTTTGTTTTTTTTTGTTGATTATTTTTTATTTATCTTCAAGATAATTTGTAATAACAAAATTAAATATCACCCGTTTAATTGTTTAATCGCTAATTCAATATATAATTTATAATTTATTTCTAAACGCACCTAAGTTACAAAAAGGAAAATACGCACTTACCTGCTAAAATGTGACTAAATTAATTTAAATTTGCCAAATTCATAACTAATTGTGTTGGGCGCCTAAACATACGATACAATACAGATACAGTACAAACTCTGGGTTCACTAGCTGTCCTTATGTGTGGTGTGTCAAAGGTGGAGGGGAAGTCGTGGCAGGGTGGGGTCTGCATCGATTACTGTCATTTTGTCGCTGTCCAAAGAGCTCATTGACATTAATTTGAATTGTTGTGTAATTAGCTTTCCTCTTTGTTTACTTTTCAATATTCGTTATTTAAATTTTACGAGCATAATTATCATTTTATTTGCCGTCGCATTTGATTTTTGTGTCTCTTAATGTTTTGTGATTTTTACTCTGTTGATTATTTGGTTTGATTATTTATTTAGTGGTACATTTATATAAAATGCATTTTGCATATGCATTAATGACATTTTGTAGTATTTTCCTTTACTTTTGTTTGAATAAAGTTTATAGGCATTTACGAGCTTGTTGAGCTTTGTTTAGAATTTATTTTATTATTTTTATTTAATTGTAGTGTATTTGCTTGTAGTTTTTATTTTATTTTATTTTTATGTATATTTATGCTTTGTATATAGTTAGTATATTTCAGGATTTTGTCGTTTGTCCTATAAGTTGTATGTTGTATATATTTTGATTTCTTTTTCTTTGCAATTTGAATGTATTTTTGATTTTACTGCTGTGAAGCCCAGTGTAAACTGTAAACATTTGTTTTTATATTGTAGATATCTTAAGAATTATTTTGACTATTTTGCATTTAGCATGAACAACCTGACATTTGATCTTTAAGTCCGTCTTGGGTCTCTATATGTACTAAGTATATGCCTGCAGTTACTAGACACCCAAACTTAGCCTAATTATGTAAGTTGGTTTGTTTTTCTTTGTTTTTCTTTGTTTTGTTTTTTTTTTTTTGTATATGTGTATGTGAGCGAGGCAAGCGGAAATCAGTAGTCAAAGGAAAATTCATGAAAATCATGAGTGAGTCTGTGGAAATTGGGAATTGCTTACACTTGCCTGCCCTTTCTTGTTTAGTGTATTATTTATGTATATAGCCGCATATATACGTAACTCTAGGTATTATCCTTTAATATAATATGCCTATATGCAATTTGTTGTATGTATTTAATACTGAACATTGAGGTACGACTTACGATTATCATTCTTCAATACATTTATTTGCATTTGATTTTATTGTATTTGTTAATTTGTTAAAATTCATAAACGAGAAAATGAACTAAGTATAATATGATTTGCATTTGCTGATTATTCTGGTAAATTAAAAATTTCAAATAAAAATTAAAAAATTATTTGTCACAACACGCACAAATATATTTTTTGACATTTATTCTAACTAACTATGTAAATATTCATCGTATTTAATGTTTTCTTCACTTTTCGGTTTTAGGTAGTATGTATAATGTTAACCTATAGAATGTTGCCAACCCGCATTTTTCATTTTGACTTACAACTAAAAAATACACACCCGAATATAGTATATTTTCCCCCGGAGGCAGCTGCAATCATTTTTCATCTTTTGCAGGCCATGTAATTAAAAACTTTTCCTTACGATTCCGGAAATGCCAGTGACACAGTTTGCGCAGCTAATAGTTGCTACATCTGACATTACCTACAACTTTTAACCCATTTATGTATGTAAGTACCCTTCCTTTTTTAGTTTTGTGTTTTTGTTTTTGTTGTTGTTCTTGTTGTTTTTGGAGTGTGTGTATGTGTGTGTGTGTGGTTGTTAGTATGCATGCATGTCTCTTAGTTTACTTGAGTGCGAGTATGAATTTCAACTTTAGTTTTTCGTCGTAATTACGCAACTTGAGCGTTGTGTGCAACGCGGCGTATGCGTCATCTGTGTATACGTATTTTTGTGTAAATCATAGCCTTAAAAACTATGCACTCTCTATTTTCCCTCATTCTTCTCTCCCTCTCTCTCTCTATCTCTCTCTCACTCTCTCTTTATCTCTCTTTCAATCTACGTTTGTCTCGGTGTACAACTAAAATAATTAACCTGAAATGTGACACACACACACACACTTGCAATTGCAGCTGCAACATCTTAGCGCAACCCAGAAAAAAGAATGTCTAAGGATTTTATTGGCTGTTCATAAGGACTATGTGAAGAGCTTGCTGACTTAATCTAACACTTAAACTTTTCTGTGCTGTCTGTGTGTGTGTGTGTGTGTGTGTGTAAGTATTTGTTTTCAATCCCTTATGTTCAAGTTTTGATTAATATTTTCTTTATATAGTTTGCATCTTGAAGTTTACGTATATGTTTAGTATTTGTTGTAGAGCTGAGTGGTATTTTCTTTTGTAAATTTATTTTTTTATTTATTTATTTTTTGTAAAATTACTTTGTGAGGCATTTCGGGTTGCTGTTGTTGTTATCTTTTATGTTATCTTTGGTTGCGTTGTTGCTAAGACTATTCAAAGTTTTAGTTCAACTGTCTCATAAAATCCCTGTTTATGTATCTCGAACTCTCTCTTTCTCATTCTCCTCCTATCTCTGTCTCTCTCACTGTTTTGTTTCTCCTCTAGCTTTAGACGTGTATCTCGAAATAATCATGGCAATCGACACAGCCGCCAATTTGATCGCTGCTCATGTCCTGCATGTAGGCAATGCCGGGACCACCAGCTGTTGGCTGTGTACTAATCACCATATTTGTTGGCATGCCACGTGGCGTCTTCTTCCGCGTGCGACTTTGCCGCACGCGGGACTTATGCTAGGAGGGTCGTTTCTGATACAGACAATCAATGCATGTGGTATATTCTGGTGCCGACGAACTCATCTGATAAGCGGCCTGCTCATGGGGGCAGCTGGGAGGCGGCTGTTGTGGCAGCGGTGCATCATAGCCCATCATTTCCATTTCCTGCATATAGTTAATCATCGGCATATATTGCTGTGGAGCTTGCCGCGGCAATGCATCGTAAATGGGCTGCGAGAATGTGTTTTCCGCAGACTGCGATCGAAGCGGTCCAGAGCTGTACACCACATAGCTGGGACGTTCCGGTGAAACGCCATATGCGCGATAGGAGCTGCTCGTCGTTGTGCTATCCCGCGAAGTGGAGCGCTCCAGTGATTTGCTCAGCCGGCTGCGATTGTTACCAGAGCTGGTGTAACGACTGGTGGTCGGAGCAGCAGCGACATAGTGATCACTGCAGGTCTGATTGTCATAGACCGGATAATACTGATATGGCTCCTGGGTATTCCCTTTGTTGATGTTGCCCGTCTCAAAGCTGCCATGGGCAGACATGCTGCGCTTGCGGGAAGCATATGGTACATCTAAATTGTGATCGGAGCCGCCATGGCTATCGAAGCTACTGCGCGGCGAATGTCGATGGCAAATGCTCGCCCGATCTGGCGATAAGTGATCCACGCTGCCTCTAGGCGAGATGCGTGGCGATAAGGTTGTCTCACAGACATGTGAGGGGCCACCCTTCTTCAGGCAGCTGCGATCGGGACTCTTCGATTTGGCTGGACTAGCCGGTGGCTTCAATATGCCCGACGCTGGAGTTGTGTGCTTCAGAATGCCACCACCCTCGGAGCTGCGACGTGGACTGGGCGTACGCCTGCCACCCGAAAGCCGATCCTGTGAGTTGTCGCGACTGGAGCAGATGCTCAAACGTTTGCCCTGCTCGCTGATGCTCTGCCGCGGCGACTTGATCTTAATAATACGCACCGGTGAGCTACCCTGCGATTTGCAGCGATCCGGCGAAATGTAAATGCTCTGACGGCTTCTCGATCCGCTCTTTGGCTTGCTGCCCGTTGACGAGCCTGTGGGCCGCTCAGGGGACTTGGTCTTGAACACCTTGTCCACCTTCTTATCGATGACAACAATGTGCGAGGCCAACGAGCTAGTAGGTTCATCCTCTGTCTCATCACCCGATCGCTCCGAGGGTCCAGTTGTATTCCCAGTACTATCGGATTCGGTTGTGGGTCGCGACGACGGCGACTCAATGTCCACGGTGACGGTGACAATCTGTTGTGTATTCTCCACAACTGTTTGTGGCTCTGGCGAAAGACTCGAATCATTTTGCTGTTGATCGGCTGCCTCATCATCACAAATATCCGAGGGATCGAAGGCCTTCTCGCGCAGACTGGCCATATAGGCGACAATGTCGCAAGTACCAGCTGCCAGATGCTCCTGCTCCAGCTCGCACAAATGCTTGTCCATGTAACGAGCCGTTGCATCCGTTGTAGTCATTACGTTGGAGTCGCGATCGCGTTTTCTTTGTTGCCCCGAATGCTGATGGACTACAGCAACCTGCTGCGAGGCCGCCAAGCGTTCTGATTCGCTCTCAAAGATCTCAATTACCTCGATTTCCTGTTTGGGTGACTGACGTGGCGACTGTCGCGGGGACAAGTGTCTCTGAGTTTGGGTCAGTGTCTGGTTTTGGTTTTGGGTCTGGGTCTGAGTCAGATTTGTATCGTTATTGGCAAATAAGCTACCACTACTGCCTAGACTTAGATTAAACGTGGCTGCCACGTGTGCGGCATGCGCCTCGGATTCCGATTCGAGCTCGGATTCGCTGGCAACTACGTCTAGGCTGCTCTTACCTAGATCCTTCATCAGCACCGGCTGATAGCTGGCCGGCGGATGCGATGATTGTATCAAGCGCGCCTGGCTGCCAGTGCTGCCCACCGAAAGCGTCGATGTTGTGCTACATGATAAAAATTAATAAAAATATAGAAAGAGCAATAAGTCGAGCAATAAGCGAGCGTTACTAGAAAGTTGTATAAATAACTACGACTGTATTATGTTGTCAATGTAAGTGCTAAGCTGCTTTCAATAAGATTATCATTCATCAGTTACCATGAGTCCCAATGCTTTTCAAGAACTAAGGCTTCTTAATCATGGTTCGATCTACAGATCAAAAATATATTTAAATTTTAATTCGCGATATTTAATCAAAATTCATGTAGAAATGTTGACCTTAAAAGTACTTTGTGGGACTGGTAAACAACACAAACCCATAACTTTGTCAAAAATATTCAGATTTTCGAAACCCAGGGCTTTTTAATTGTGGTTTGACTTCTAGACCAATCAATCATTTAAAGTTTCAAATTCTTAGTTCAAATTCATGTTAAATGATGACCTGTAAAAGTCCGACTGGTAATAATTTTGCAAGCCTAACTATGTCAAATGTGATTAGATTTTCAATAACCAGCGATTCTTAATTATGGTTTTGACCTCTAGATACATACATAATACGTTAAATTGTTACTCTGTGTGCTTTGTGAGATTCGGGACTTACCTGAGCGTCAGGTGATTGGGCGTGCGGCCCAGGGTGGCCTTGGGCCTGATTGTGCCCTGCTGTGAGTCTTCTTCGCCCTCAGATTTGGTGCCCGGATCAATGCGTTCAATGTCGCTGCTGTGATGATGCAAATGCGGCTGCCTAATGGGAGGCGGCGGCGGCTCACGTGGATGTGGATGTGGATGCGGCGCCACCGATTGTTGCTGCAACTGTTGCTGTTGTTGTTGCTGCGGATCTATGGAGGAGTAAATGATTTCTTTATGGCATGAAGCGATGCAATGATAATTTTGGTTTAGTTTTGGCAAGTGATTTATAGCTGCTTCGGCTTCTCTTCTTAACTTACCTGTAACATCACCCAGCGTCTTGCTGCGACTGCGAAAGCCGCCCGGTTGCTGCTGCTGTTGTTGTTGTTGCTGCTGCAGCTGTTGTGTGTGTGCCGCATAGTGGACCACGCCCACGCTGGGCGGCAGATCATCGCCCTCCTGACTACCCGACAGATTGTCGTAGTCAATGTTCCCAGCCGAGTGGCGTTGTGATCCCGACTTCTTCTTTGGCTTGCCCAGCGTATGCGAACCATGAGCAATGGTGATCTGAGTAAATGAAACAATTGTTTAGTTGCTGACTGGAATTAGGATTCGTGGTTAGCTAACCTGCTGCTTGGGCCGCTCCAGCGTTTGTGAGTTGCCCGCATATCCACCCATTTGTGAGGACATACCCGAAACGGAACCAGAGCTGCCGCCAAAGTTCTTCATCGGAATTGACATATTCCGTACGCTCTCTCGTATTATCTGCCGTATGGTCTTGAGGAATGCATTGCGAAAATCGGCTGTGCTATTGGAGAGCACATAAACCTTCTCGGGACGGCGTTGCAGTTGAGAACGCAAGTGAATTAGCTCCCAGAGAAAATGCGAATCCATATCCTTGGCCGAGCTGGCACGCACCTGAACCTCGGTGACGGGTATTAATACCTGATAACGTATAATTTCCACCTCATTCGGTGCATTCTTGCTCGAAACGCCCTAAACGTATGCGGTTGTAGATGAAAAGAGATTTGCAGTTGCATCTTTCATTTACTTACCATTAACTTTTTCTTTTGACGCAAGCGCTCCTTGCAAAGGAAGACAACGGCCGATTTGAATACAAAGCACATGGCATGTAGCTCGAGACCCTTCTTGATCTTGCCCAGAAAATCGGAAATGTTCAGCCACTCGACGCCACCATAGTAGAGCAGATCGCCTGGGAATGCGCAGCATTGCGGGGGAGGGGGAGCATTTGGAGCATTTGCATTGGCATTGGCATTTGAAGCTTGTGTTGCTATTGAATGCTTTTGCTGTAACCCACCTGGACTCAAATCAATTGGCTGCTTGCATGACTTCTGATGCTGTCTGAATAGATGATCAAATATCGCGCCATATTCCTCATGGATGCGCTGCATTTCATTTATATGCTCCGCTACCTTTTCCATGCCCTTGAGTGCCTCTGTGACAGAGAAGGAAAGGAACAATATAAGTACAAGCTCTCCAAGATACAGGATACAGAAGACAATATTTGCTTACCGCACAGATGCATATGCTCATCGGCGCGCGAATCTGTTAGATTGCGCATTTGCTGAAGGAGCAACGGATATTTGAGTATACGCTGTATGGGCTTGATCAGATACGATTCCAGGGTGCTGCTGTGCTGCTGCTTGGGATTGCGTGATGCAAGGAACTCCTGCAGGGCATGATTACCCTCATCTGGAAAATAATTGAGATAATTGCAAAATTGAGACATTTGGCAAATGATTTGATTTCAATGCACGCTTCAATTCCCATTAATTGTAAAACCTTACGCACGACCGTGACAAGGCATAGTGGAATAGGTAAATTGGGGCATGGTGTTGCGTTCTGTCAGTTACAACGATAAGCAGTTACTGGGTTGTGTCTGCGGCAGGTTAGCGACGCCAACAAGAAAATGTCATTAACTTGTTCTTATTGTCAGAAGCTGAGAAGCTTTGATAAAGGCACCGTCAAAGCCTGTCTGTTGCACGGATTTGCGTTTAATGGCCAACCCCCCCACGCACCCCCCTTTTAGCTATGGTAGCGTTATTCGTACTCCTGCTTTTGGCTGCTGGCTGTCTGCTGCTTGTAACGAAGGCACTTAAGTGCACTTCTTGCTATAATTAATTATCCTTTCAACTTTTTGCATAAAATTGCATGCAACAGCCAAGCAGCAGAAACAGCAGCATCAGTTTGAGTGGCTGCCTCAACGTAAAGCTGTAACTTAAGTTGGCACAAGCTGCTTCTGAAGCTACAGCTTCTGCTCCTGCTCCTGTCCCCGCTTCTATTCCTGGTTTCTCCTGGTAGCAGTTTAGCCTGCCATTGATTACAAATATTGCAACGCTTTACGTGCTTTTGCTAACCGTCAGTTGCCTTGTTATGTAGTTGTTAAACACTTGCCACGCCTCAAATATCTCTTTTACTTTCTCTCTTTTTTTCTCTTCCTCATTGCATAATCATATTGTCAAGAAATATGCTGTGTTATTAAGTACACAGATTTTGGTCAGTCCGCCTTTCTTTTCAAGCTTATCTCTTTGTTTTCAAACAATTTTAATGAAAACTTGGCATTATTGCTATTTTATGCTGCATCTGAGCGTATTGGATTATTGATTGTGATATCAATTAAATTTTTATAAGTGGTAAACGAATTTGATAATAAGTTTCAATAATCTATCAATCTAATTATAGATAATATAGAAACAGTCCCCCATTTCTAACTGAAGAGCATTTTGCTTACTAAATATCTGAATAATTTTTATATCAAATTATTTGTTATTCTTTTAGCTGTTAAAAGCAATTTACTTAATGCAATTGAAGTGTTTGTAAACTGGAAATGTAAGCATAAGTCAAACTCTACACAGTTTATTAATCAACTCATACAGATTACCCAAGTACTTTGCAGATATGCCCTATATTTAGTAAAGGGTATTTACTATTCCACATTCCCACTGACAACTATGGCTTTTTGTTTGCTATTACTGTGCGTCTGCGTCTCATTTGTGTGCAACGCCTGTGTTTGCTCGAGTGTTTTTAAGCTGCCACTAAGTCTAATTTAATTATGACATGCTGTTGCCTAAGCCTGAATCACAGCCGACTCTCAACGCTGGAGTCTCTCTCTAGATTCTCGTCTCCAGTTTGCTAGTCCCGAGCCACAGCTGCTTTAAAAAGTGGCAACTTTGCTGCCTATTATGCGGCTCGTTGCCGGTGGCAACTGCGTGGCATAGTTTTTTTTTTTTTTGGCAGCGCCTGCTTGCCTATTTGCCTACTTGCAGGCGTGTCATAATTCTGCAAGTTTAATTAACAAAAGATACTTGACAGTTTGCTGCCACGGCATGAATACGAATATGCCACGCCTCCAGCACACCTCCACCCGCTGTGCCTGGGAATTGCGCGCATCTCATATCTTTCGCCACGTCTACACATTTGTGGCTGTAATTATTCATTTAACTTGCAAATCATGTGAGAAGGGGAGAGGCGATGGGAAAAGAGAAGCAACCACCTCTGACAACAATTGAAGCGCATAGTTTGCCAATTGTTCGTAACTTGTCGCTTGTTTGACTTTTACAACTTTCCCCAAACTCGCCCGCCATTTCCTCTCCAACAAACTTTAAACTCAAATAGACTTTGACGCTTCACGCTGATTGCAATAGTTGAGCTCACACCCGACACACTCACATGTCTCACACATCTATACATCTAGATACACAAATGACTCATAATATATGTATTTATGCATATGGCAAACACTTTTCTTTTGATTTGTCACACAACACGTCTATAAATTTGACTATGGCTTTAAATTTAAGTTTCCCCATATGCAAATTATTCCCTATGCGACCGAAAAGAATGCAGTGATTTTCTTTTTGTCGAAGCCCACTGGGCGTATGAGTAATCAAATGGTAATCTATGAAAGGGTTTGATGATTTCTCATATTTTTCAAATTGGAAAGCAGAATTATTGCTGAGAACAAACAATGGCCAAAATTGGACATCAGTTGAGCATTAACATATGAATGAGATTTTACATTTTATGTGAAAAACAAACCAAATTTGTGTGATTCTTTTTAACGAATTTTGGCAACAAAAAATATGTTGAAATCTCTTTCAAGCAAGCATTTTGTAATCATTTAAAACAAAGAACGATCTCAGCATATTAGTTGATTTTTAATCAATTTATTTACCACGATTTTAAAATGAATTTTGATGTGTTACTTACTTGGGTGTAAAACCTTTTGGGCCTTGCTGTGGCTGGCACAGAACGACGAGTAGAGCTTGAAGTGATTGACATAATAGAGAAAAGCGGAGCCAATTGCAAACAATACGTTCTGCAAAGACAAGAGGAAGAAGATAAGCACATCAAAACATATTAAATGAATAGAGATTTTTATTGAGCAGCCAAGTCACGCACTTGAAAGGCACTGATGCCAAAACTTACCCTAAACTGGCCGCAGTGCTCGAACTTATTGAATTCCGGCTCAAGTTCCAGCGCCTCTTCCAGATTTTGGAGGAACTGGCGCTGGAATGTAACAATCTCATGTATGTTACCAAAGAGCGCATTAATTTCCGCATTCGACAGAAATGTTTCGCGTTTCATGGGTTCCAGATAATGCTCCAGCAGATTGTTCAAGTGCTGCACAAGGAAATAATTCAGATATTGTTGGTGTTGTTGTTCAATAAATTCAAATTTGTTGACACATAAAAAATGAAAAATGAGAAAAAGAGAAAAAAAAATACACCAAAATGCATAAATTAAATTAAAAAATCAGAAGCAGACTACCAAAAAAAAATAAAAAAAAAAAACAAACCACCCAACTCCCAGTTGAGCTGAGCAGAGCTGAGCTGGTGACCGGTTCTCAGTTCTGGACAACTTTTTAGTTTGCCCGACAACAACGAAAAAAGAAAAACGAAGAAGCAAAAAGTAAATAAAAATATGGGCAAAAACTGTAGCATAGCCGCAGGCGCGCGCTTTCATTTGGAACAATACTTCCGGCCAGCGGATAGAGCGGGGCATCCGCGGTAGTCGCTGGCGGGAGGAAGGCAGGTCGGTACAGGGGGCTACAAGCAGAGATAAGGCTCGCCAACGTTGCCGCAGCGGCGCGGCGCTTTACATAATTTCTAAATTATAATAATTATTTGTATGCTTCCTGGCCAACTCGGGCGATTGCTCGACTGATGCGACTGTGGCTTAAAGCCAGGAAAAAAACACAGCCGCATGGTTAAGGGATTAAAATTTGCATTTTTAATTGCAAGCCAGGACTAATGAATGGAATGTGTAATGACTGCCAGGCAAGGCCAACCAGCCGAATAGTTTTCACCAGATTGCGAATGCTTAAATACCCTTGTGGATATAGTTATTTGATCTGGCTATAGGTATTATAAATGTTGTATTTTGATATATTTTGTGTATAACATTTTCATATTTTACTTGAAGACTAAATACAAATCAGCTTTGGAGCTTAAGGATACATACAAAAAACGTTGCAATGCTTGTAACAAAGTGGAAAATACCCTATGAAAAGAGTACACAACAATAGATGGCCAAGTGATTTAATAGATATATGTGTATATATATATATAGTTATGGGTAAAACTCACCTTAACGTATGTTCGCTCCGTGTCCACCAGTTCCATGATGACTTTGCGCAGTTTCTCGGCGTCGGTCAGCTGGCGCGACGGCGTCAGCGCTGTGGTCGAGACCGATGATGTGACTGAACCCGTGGGGCTCGATTTGCGCGTTTCCTGAGGTGAACGACAAAATCCGGTAACCTTAACAGGTCAGGGTTCGTTTGGGTTGGTTGGTTGGTAGATTGTGTTATGTTGTTGTGTTTGTTGTTGTTGTTGTTGTTGTAGTTGTTGTTGCATGACGAGGATCGTGAAACGAAACAAACGAAACGAAAACGAGCGAAGCGACCACAAAAAAGAGACACGAAAAATAAATGACAATAAACAAAAATGAAGTTAGCATGACAGAGATAGATAGACAGTGATAGTTAGAAAGGGGGCGTGGGGGGGGGGTCGAGTTGTGGCAAGAGGTTGGGTGGTGGTGCCTTTGGACTGGGTCAAACTGTTTGGCATGGGTCGCGCTCGGCTGGGTGGTTGGCTGACTGACTGAGTGGTTGGTGGTTGGGTGGTTTTTACTGTGCAACTCGCGGCAGCCACTTTAAACAGACAGACACATAAACGTGTAGCCCCAGCGACAACGACGACGACGACGACGACGACGGCGACAACGACGACGTCAGCTGCGGTTCTAAATGACTGTCACGTCCTTGTCGTAAGTCCAAGTTGGGGGCGTCGTTTTACTGTGTTGTTGTTCTTGTGTTTTGTCCTCGCCAATGTTGTTGCTGATGCTGTTGGTGTTGCTGTTTGTGTGCGGTTACAAGCACATTTGGCACTGACAGTTGACGCTTGACGGTTGACATAGAGGGTGTGTGCATACACCTACACTATTCAAACACACACACACACACAGCTTACCACACAACCGCATTTTGCATAAAGTGTAGAGGTGCGCAAATCTTCAGCCTTCTTATGTCACTTGCACAGTGGCTTTAGGTCTCTATCTCTCTCTCTCTCTCTCTCTGTCTCTCTCTCTCTCTTTCACACACTCTTTGCTTAGGTTTTGTTTTTAACTTCATATTATTATTCTTAACTGACTGTTTTTTTGGTTTTCTTTTTCTGTGTTGCTGCTAGTAGAAAGTGTTAAATGGCGCGTTGACCGGAAGTAAAATAAATTGACTTGGCCACGCCCAATCTTGCTGACAAAATATTGAACGAATTTGCATTGTAAATGCCTAAACAAATATTTTTATGCGCCCCAAACTGGGTTTCTGTGTGTCTATCTGGGTGTGTATTTGAGTGCTGTGCAATTTGCAAAAGGTCAGAGTTTAAATCAACAGAGCGGCAAACTGTAAACAGCAAACAGACAGAGACAGATATAGAGATGGTGCATAAGCCTTCCCCACTGTGCCTAACAGCGTTAAGAATGCGTTGGGCTTGGAAGACGCAGACCATCGATTGATGGTGTCAGCGTGATTAAAGTCAACGGCTTAAACTGGACACGGCTTTCAACTTTAAGATACCTGATATAAATGTACAGCTCAATGAGAATTCAAAAATGGAATGAGCTAAAAGCTAAAAGCTGAGAGCCATAATTGACAATACAAATGCAAATTTATATTTAACATAACTTGAAATCCATTTTTGTATTGCATTTTCTTGGCTCTGTTAGAAGTTCATGTTATGTATACATACATATATTTCTCAATTTACAGAAATCTAAATTTCAATTGCAAATTTCAATTTCTTTTTGCTAGCATCCTTTGTTGTTTGTTGGCAGCATCATTAATCAAATAAAAGTATGTTGCAAGTGCTGCCAGAGCACAAAATAAACAGCCTGAAGCTGCAAATGAACTTTAAGTGTAAATTATTTTATCGCTTTCGCCAGACTGTAAATTGAGCAAAATACACAGCGAATGATGTAACATCATGAAATATAGCTCTATTAACAGCCTGAAGCTACAATGTACATGTATTGTAGTTCCAAAATTATCGTTATCTTCTTTAGCAGCAAACAAAGTGCAGCTAATTTAAAGCAGCTTTCCAGACTCTCGATATATTGCTAAAGATTTTTCTCTCAAATATTTGTGTTGGAATATTCCTTGATGCACATTTTTCGTGACTGATAGTTTTGTCACGTTTTCATCTCTACACATACACATAAGCACAGCTGAAGACTTTGCCACGTAGTCGCAACAACAACAACAACAACAGCAACAATCTCATAAAATTTCAGTTGTCATTGTTCGTGCAACATTCAGATGTATTGTACTTGTAGTTGCTGTTGCCGTTGTTGTTCGCTGGCATTGTGAAAGACATTTCACTTTTATGCAGTTGCACTTTGTGTGTATTATTATTTCGTTCGTTTCGTTACTTGTTCTCTCTCTCTCTCTCTCTCTCTCTCTCTCTCTCTCTCTGGTGTAGTTTGTTCTTTGGCGCTGCTACTGTTGCTGTGCAGCTTGTTCTTGTCTACTTTTAACTGTTTTATTGTTCTGCATTTCTTTCAGTTGCAACGTCGTCGACGGCTGCGCCGCTGATTTGCATAAGCGGCGGCGTCAGTGGCGACAACGGCGGGGGCAGCAGCGACCCAAAACTAACAAAGAGTATGGTACATAGGGGGCAGGGGGGGTTCGGTTGGTGTTCGGTGTGGGTTTTAGTGCCAGGTGAGCGGCTGAGGCAGCTGAGGCGGCTTATGGGCCAGCTGCTGAGTGCCAACATTGTTGTTGCAGCAGCTCTCATTGTTTGTTGTTGTTGTCGGTTTTGCTGCTGCTGCTGGCGTCATGCCCCAAAGATGAAAAATTTGAAAATTTCTTGAAATTCTTTCTTGCTGCTGTGCGAAATGTCAACTTGAATTAAAAGGATTCTTATGTAACGCCCTGACTCTCCAGTTGCTGTCTCGCCTAGCAGTTGCATGTTGTGTTTTTTTCTGTGTGTGTGTGTGTGTGTGTGTGTGTGCTCGGCCTCAGTGTGTTTGTGTGTCACAGTGTTCAAGTATCATTAAATGAAGTGGGTTTCTGCCAGTTTCGAGCACACTTGGGTAAAGCATATCCAGAAACAAAGTGCATTCTGTGGCGTCTTTGGGTTTCCATCTCTTGTCCCTTGTCTGCTGTCTCCTATCATTCTCTCTCTGTCTGTCTGCCCAGCCTGTGGTTCATATTTGTTCTGTATATATATCCTTGATATTTTTATGCCTTTACATTTCTATTTGTGACGTTTATTGTTTGGTGACTTGCAAGCAACAAGACCCAATAGGCCAAATTTGTGAACCCGACATCTTGAGCGGCAACAACTGACAGACAACTGACAGCCACCTAACCGCCACCCATCCTGCAACCACCATCCACTTTACTAAGCTAACCCACTTGAAGAGGTCCTCTCATAGCGCTGGCAATTTCAATTTGTGCACATTTCAATCAGTAGTGCATATGCCCCAAGACCAAGACCAAATCCAAAACCTAACCTACAACCTAACACATTGCAACCAACCCCTATGCGTTGCTTGCTCGAGTTTGGCGCTCGTTTTAATAGTTTCCGTTTCCGCTCAGCGAGTTCAAAGCAATTGGAACTGACTTTGCCCGCTGCCAAGTGCTAAGTTCCGGGGTTTTTCTTCCTCTTTTTTTTTTTTTTTTGGATATCAGGTCTCGGGGCAAGGGTTATAATTTTTTTTTTTTTTGGGTTTGGGTGGACGGGTTTAACGTGTTTGCGTTTTGTTTCTTCTTGGTCATGTTTATATTATACATATATACAGACATTTATATATATGTTGATGTATATTTGGAGAAAGAAAAACAAGGAGTTGAGGCACTGGGTACTTACTTGCTCCGCGGTCTTCAGCAGGTTCTCAATTTCAAAGCTGCTGGTGCGCGATGTTGGCTTGGCCACGCCCAATCCTGAAATGACGCCGCCTGCGCCCACTGCCAATTGCGCCACTGTTGGCTCCACAAATGAGGGCGCCGGCGAGCTTTCCGCCTCCGGTGAGTACAAATCCTTGCCAGTGCCATCTAAAAAGTAGCGAAACAGAGAAAGACAAATAGACCAGAGAGAGAGAGAGATAGAGAGAGACAGAGAAAAGAGGTATGAGTTAAAGATAACACGTTAGTTATGTTTATTATTATTAGTTTTTGGCTGGCTCATAATTAGTTGCCAGTTTGCCGTTGGGCCTGCAGTTGTTGTAGGTGTTGCTGGTGTTGCGGGTGTTTTGCTTGTTGTTGCCACAGGACACAGGCAGCGCTTTAAAGTTCGATTAAGCATTTTATTTATGCTCTTACAGCTTGCTTGTTAATTTTAAATTCCATGTTTGCGCAATAAAAAACAGCAGGAATTTAATACTGGCGGAAATGGCAGCTAAAAAAGGAGAAAAATAAAAAAACAACAAAAACAACAGCCCAACCCAGCCTACTAGCACAAAGCTGAAAGTAATAACAACAAAAATACTGCTAGCAGCAGCCAAAAAAACAACAACGCCAAACAACAACAAAAACAGGCTGTAATGATTATTGCTGCGATGTGTTTGCCACAACGTCCACACATAGCATCAGCGCGGAAGGAGCAAGACATGTGGAATGGGCCATGAGCAGGGACCACACACACACACACACACACACACTCATGCACACATGTGCAAGCGCGGCAAAGATTTAACCAAAAAGAAAGAAATTTATGGCCCATACACATGGCTTGCATAAATATGTAAGCAGCACTGTATGACTATATACATATGTGGGTATATACACACACAGAGTGTGTCTGTATGTGTGTTTGCCAGTTTATGTAGTGGTAGTTTTTGGCAGCGCCAGGAAGCGTTTAAGAATCATGTCCTTGCATGCTGCTTCCCTGTTCCTGCCCCATGTCGCATGCAAATTGGTTACAACAAATTTTATGAGCATTTTGGTTCAAATTTGACACCACACAATTGCTATACATGCCTGTGTGTGTGTGTGTGTTTGAGTGTAAGATATTAAAATTGCCGCCTTATAAATTTGAAGTTGTGGTCTTCTTACAAATTGCACGTAGTCCTCCAGACAAAGCTAGACAACAAAAACAAAGACAACAACTACAACTGGGCTAATAACTTATAGACGTTATAAGTTCGATGTTCTGCGTTCTTTGTTGTTGTTGTTCTTGTTGTTGTTGTTGTTGTGTTATGGGTTGTTGTTGCTTAAGCGAGCCAGTCGAGAACGTGCCAAGCCAAATTTGTGCATTGCCCATAAAATCTAGAGTTTTAGTGGCTTTACTTAAACTATGATGATGGTTTTTGGGCTAGGGGCCATAAGTTTATGTGAAGCTGTTCTGCAAACGTGATGCTGTTAAAAATATCAAATGCAATTGGGCCAGGTGAAGATGAGACTTTTCTTTAAGACAACAATTGATGGCTTATCGAGATTAACTCGAAGCTAAGCAGTTCTTGAATAAGTTATATGCTGAGACTACAAATCTTGTATTATATAGTTGCTATATGAACAAAGTTTCGCAGCAAAAGAGAGAGATCTATATTATTAACTCCAAGAATAATTAAAGTTAATTTTAACTAATTTGGCACAGACCGGCGGCAGCACTAGCCTACAAAGTGAGAGTCTGTGTCTATAACAGCTCAATTATACTCAGCTGCTCCCCAAAATAAGTACGTTAACTTTTACCCAACATTAATTGCAATATAGAGTTACATACAATAATTAAAATTTGTTTCGAGTATGCAGCAATGCTGCTTGGTCGGCTCTCTTGATCAACTCATGTGTGAGTGAGTGTGTGTGTGTGTTGTGTGTCTGTGTGTGTGTCTGATGGGTTTTTCTTTCGCTTCGTGTTCCTCTTCTTCTTCATTTTCTTTATGTTCTTTGACTTGTCTGATAGCAGTGTCCAGCAAATTGTGCATTTAATAAGCTAAAAGTTCTTCAACATCAAGTTGCATGCTCTTGCTGCCCCTCCGCTGCACAAGTCCTTTTCTCTGTTTAATTGGCAAAGTGAAATGTAATCCAGTACTGGTACCCACTCTTTCATCGGGTCTATCTCTCAGTCATGTTGAATGGCATACGCTTTCTGTTGCATATGCCGCCATATCCATAACCATATATGCCACAAATGTCCGTTCATCACAATGAGTGTGCGTATATGTGCACCAAAATGGGGAATATAGTACAAAATACGCAGCACACACACTCACACACACACACACACACATACACACCCAATACATATGCCAGTTGCATGCGAGTCGTTTAATTTTTGCAACATTTTTTTTCAACATTTTTTTTTATAGTTTTTTTGTTCGGTTCCTTTTATTGTGTGTGTGTATTTTACTTTAATTCTTTTTTAGTTTGCTGTGCTTTTTAATTGTTTGCCGCATAAAAATGTTTCATTTTGTGTGGTATAAAAATACACACACGCACACACACATCTGTTGTTCGCATTGTTGTTGTTGTTTTCAGCGTTTGTTGGTTTTTAATTGTTTTGTGTTCTTAGCCACTTCGGCTTTTTGAGTGCAGTGCAGCGTGTGCTTGGGTGGGTGGGTGTGTGTGTGAGTGTGTGTGTGTGTGTGAGTGCAGTTTGTAATCCTGTAATTATGTAGTTGTTACTGAAAAACGAGACGACAGCGTGTGGCAAGCAGGCACGGTGCCACACACACACAGTAAACCTCATCTGATGACTGCTCTCTTTCTGTCTCTTTCTCACTGTCGTTCTCTCTCGGTTAGCACGCTACTTATTGATGTAATTGTTGTGTCGGTTGTTGCATGTTGTATGAAGCACTTGCAACGTGCATTAAACGAAAAATATAAATTACTTTAATGAACTTTACAAATTCGCATGCGCGCCCGGAAATGCGCTTCACATTTCCGCTGCTACATCCAAGCATAGACACTCGCAGACACACACACACACCCACACCCACACACACACACAGAATAGAGAGACCGCACCTTAACCACAACAACAACAAGAAGCAGAATAACCTACAAACGAGCACAACTGCTGTGATTAGTATGCTTCTGTTGTAGCCGTTGATGAATGTTGTGTTGCGGCTTTTAAAATGTTGAAAAACGCCAAAAATGCCACACATATACACACAGACAATTTTTGGTTTTGGTTTTACAGAGATCTTTTTGGTAGCTAAGCCAAAAGTATTTCGAGATTTTGTTTCATTTGGGAGCGGAGGTATATACTTACTCCAACCGGGTGCTGGCACAATCAAACCAGTTATCATCTCCTCACTCATCACTGGAGGATCTGTGGGCGGCGGCGGGCACACCAGGGAATCAATCATATCATCTGTTACACGCATGATACCCACTAGATCTGGCGGCTCGGTACGCGAAGAGCTATAAAAAAAAGGACAAAAGTTTTAAGCAACTTTTTTATTTTTATTTTTTGCATAGAAATTAACATAAATTTTATTAGATTTGATTTTTTGGTTCGGTTCAGTTTTGGGTTTGCCTGCCTTTTAAAAGCAAACACCTGGCTGACCTTTTTCTATGTCAGTGGCAAAAGATGCGGAAAAATGCTCTCCAACGTGCATAATTTGAATGGGATTTACATTGAGCTAGAGCTGGGTGGGGTGCTGATTGGTGGTCGGTGGGAATGGAATGGGTTACAGTTTGTTGCCTCGCAAACGCTTAGCACAAAAGCCACAGCGGCCATAAAGAGCAGCTAATTAGGCTATCAAAATGCCTGGTCCTGAGCCTGAGCTGTAGCCGGAGACTGCGCCCGTAGCAGGGTCGCAGCAGCCAAACGGAACAAGTGTTCAAACCCTCCAGTTCCCTTATCCTAGTCTAACCTATGCTGCCCAAACCCGCACTGCGGCTTCAGTTTTGTTGCTTTTGACTTTGGCATGAAAAACGAAATATTGAAAAAATGCAAAATTGTTAGTCGCTGCCAATTTTTCGTACTAAATTTCACATTTTTGATTTGTTGCGAAACAAAGTTTGTTAGTGTGTGTGTGTGTGTGTGAATATTTTTATTTGCTAGCCTCAGCACTTTTTGGCACAGCTATTGGCCAGCTTCATCAAAAATTTGCAAAAGCTACTCGAACGTTGACATTTTTTGTATGCTTTTAATTTTTTTGTTTGTTTATTTTTGAAAGTTTGATGTGTGCGGTATTCAATATTAAACTCGGCTATGGCTTTAGAATTTTGGGGCCTTTACAGTTATAAAATATTGTGCATATGTTTGCGAAGCACAAATTGGTATCTTTTGCACAATATCTACACATAGGTCAGTAACTATTGAGTGTGCTCGAAAGCCATTATTAAATACTCAGCACAGAATGTCTTCATAGAAAGTCTATTTATTTTGTCGAGTGCGAGAGCATAGCAGGAGCTGTCAGAAAAACTCTCAAAATCAAAAGCTGGGTGAGCGTTAAAAGGACTATTTGCAGTACATATATATTAAGTGAGCATTGTACGCAGGTATCCAATTTTTGCGCTTTAGTTTGTTAAATTTGTAGGAGGGAAATTTTGTCCCAAATTTGGTACACACCATGTTTTAAGTTTACTTGAAACGTGCATATTGCTAAAGCGAATGTCTTACAAATAAAGTTATCGATTCCTTAAAAGGTACTTTATGAGATGCGTAAAAATTACAACTACAATTGTCATTTTTCTAAAGAAACTTTTTAGTTCGTTTCTTTGTAATCTTTTAAAACAATACTTTAAATGATTTTCAATCACAATAACACTATAAAAATATTAGAGTTTCTACTGCCGACTGCTAAAATTTAATATGTTGAGTAATCTTCCACTTAACTTAACTTTAACTTTCCCAAGAGTGAATAGAAATACCAAATTTCAAATTTTCACGCACATTTCGTATACAAAGGTAAACCACACAGCCTGTCGTTGCATACTGAATTGATAATCTGACGGACTGGCAAACCAATCCGTATGAGTTACTGCGTAATTAATTTACGAACAAAAGGTAGCGTGGAGTATTGCTATTGCTATTGTAGCTGATCAACTGAGACACGAAATAGTGATAAATTCTATTGAAAGCCTGCGACTAAAATAGTTAATTAATCTAGGTATCAGCTTAAACAATGCCGTTCCGAATGCAAATACGACAATGGCAGAATGTGTATTTTCAATAGAAATGGCTTTAGGATGATTGGGGGAAGGGGGAGTAACAGCGTTATGCGAGACAGCTACAGCGATTGTTGTTGCAGCAAATGGTTGCACTTAACTGCTGCTAGCAGATGTTTGCGGAACGTGCGAGATAGATAAACAATTGACAAGAAGATGGACAGGCTGGCAGACAGCTTGGATAGGCAGGACTAAAAAGAACTTACCGCATCATCATGCTGAGCGATTGCTCTTCCTGCAGCACACTCTCCAAGTACATCATATCTAGATCAGATACAATCGCACCATTGATGACCATTATTTCGTCTCCTTTGATAATGCCTGCAACGAAATGAAAAGAACAGAAAGAGATAGAGAAAGGGAGAAAGAGAGAGAGAGAAAATCGAGTTAGAAGCGACTTACAGTTTATTATGTTAACTATTGTATAATATACATATGTATAAACTATGCGAACAGACAATGCTGTCCTGTTTTACAGTCCATCAGTTTGGCTAAATGTAATATATGCGAGCACGTTTTGTTATTGTGTTTGCAAGTATTGTGCAAGTATATTGCGGGGCAGTCACATCTTTCGGTAAGATAAGCGCCCATGTCTTTTCGCACAGCGATAAGAACAATAACAACAGCATTGTGGCTATCGCATTGTTCATACGCCACGTTGCCAGTTTTACGTCTAGCAGCTTTGGCCGTTTCTAGCTCATGCGTCTGTGTGTATGTGGGTGTGTGTGTGTGTGTGTGTTTACTACAACATTTATTTCGACCAGGCAGCTTGCTTGTTTGCTGCTTGGCTTCCCTTTTTTTGTGTTGTTGCACGTTATCATTGTTGTTGCAGACTGCATTTGCTTCGCACAGCAACTTCGACGGATATGCATATGTTTATGTGTGTGTGTGTGTGTATGTATGTATATGTAAGTGTGTTGTGGGTTTTTATCTGCCTGACAGTTGTATATTTTATGCAAGACTGTGGCGCACCTTGAAACAGTTGCTAGTAAGCAACCAACCAGCCAGCCAGCCAGCCAGCCAGCCAGCCAGCCAGCCAGCCAGCCAGCCAGCCAGCCAGCCAGCCAACCAGCCAGCAGCACCTTATGCACAATTTTTTGCATTTGCTACAATTTCAAATGGATTTTTCATTTTTGGGTTTTCTTTTTTTATTTTATTTTTTATTTTTTGGAAGGATATGCGTTACGTTTGCGTTTACGTTTCGTTACGTTCTGCTGTGGATTACTTGGCTTTAGCTTTGGCAGCATATGCATTAGACAAATATCTACTCGACTTGCTATTTATTTTGTTTATTTTGCGGTTGCTCTTTTTCCATCTCAGTTTTTCCATATTTCCCTTTTTTCATTTTGTTTATTTTCTTTTTTTTTTTTGGCTGGGTTGTCAACAGCTTTGTTCTTGGCTTAAGCAAATTGTTATTTCTTGTTTGCCAAATACTTTGCCACGTTTGTTTTTCAACACTCGAGTGTGTGCGGCATGCAACTGTTGTGCACATGCTGCCAACAGCAGTAACTTTAGCAGCATCTGCTGCATTTGTGGCCATCATTATTATGGATGACTTTATGGTTGCTCGACTGCCTCTGTTTGTTAACTTGAAAAAGCCAAGCAAACAAGCGCCGAGTCGCAATCGAGAGAGCTGAAAGTTCCACGTTGCCAGTTGAAATAGTTGCTTAAAGCCAATGTGCATCGATTTAAGACACAATTTGTGCACTCATTAAAGTGCTGCCTGTTGGGGTTTCAGAAAATTGGGTAGCCACAGCATTTGCATTTACAGTAGTTGCTGAAACTGCTGCATTTGTGGTTTTATTTGTTTTTGTTTGGTGCCCAAATCTGGTCAGCAACTGCCTTGGCCAGCTCATGCCCAGCTTTGTTTTGTGGTGCCATTAAATTGGTCTTTGGCACTTGCTAATAGGCATTCAATTAATTTGTACAGATGTCCCTGTGGAGAACTTTAAGTTTCCACATTACATGCGAATTGGATTGCTTAATTTATGCAGAAGCACGACACAAAGCTTCCCTTTCATGTTGAGAATATGTGTATTCTCCTTCTTGCTAATATCCTTGAATAATATGCTGATATTGTCACACAGTCTTCGCTTTTTATTATGTATGCATTTGTAGATCGTAGCAACTTTTTTCGATTGTTTATAATTTCAATTACCATGCGACAATGCGTATACGTATTGTGTATTCTGATTTATTGTTATCTAACTGGCATTTTTCACAACAGATTTTATCTAACTATATTTGTAAGTTTCTCAAGTTTTGGCAAAAAATTAAACATGAGTTCCTGCTGGCTGCTGCACTTCAAATAATTGTGCTGCCCCAAAAGTAACTTCTAATAATAATTACAATTTGATTACCCAAATTCTCAACTTTCTGTTACACTAATGCACCTGAATTGAAATGCAGTTCAGCGGACAATTAAAAAAAGGGCGAATAGAATGGAAAGTCATTAGCAAATCTGGCACTTACTACAGCACTTTATTTGCTGCTCATTAAATTCAACACCCTGGCAAAAACTTGTCCAATGGCATTGTTAATGCAGTTTAAATCCACAAAAAATAAAAACAAAGAAAAACTCATAGCAAATTATAAACTAACCGCCAATGGCAGGGCAAACTTTTAAAGGAGTTGCGAATAGAGGTGTGGGGAATGTGATTGGAATGGAAGGGGATAGCAGTGCACTTCATGTCTCACTTTTTGCTAGCTGTTTTCGTGAGCATTGTTTCATGGACTTTTTGATTCGTTGTCGTTGTCGTCGTCGTCGTCGTCGCCACATTCGCAGTCAACGTGCTTAATGAGGTTTCCGCTGCGAAATTTTCTTTCAGGTTCATCACTTTTGCAAGTGCAACCATTGCAGTTTCTCATTTCTTTTTTTTTTTTTGTATTTTTGGCTTGCCAACACCTGGCGAAGAGTAGGTGGGTAGATAGGGTAGTTGGCCCACTGTCAACATCAGGCGACATAATTTAAAGCGCTGCTCTAGTGGCATTTCGACTACAAACACTTGACTGCTAGCTGCTCCCTTCACTCGGCTGCCCCTCCAGGGTGCATGCAAATGCCAACTTAAGTTGATTTTAAGTGATAGAAAAACAACATGATGGGAGCGCGGTGGGAACGGGTAAGAAACAAGAAACGAGAGAACTAAGATGACGCCCGAAAAGCCTTTAAGGACTCAACATGGCGCTATGGCCCTGTGGCTGCCATTACAGGTGCATCAACTACGCACACACACACACGCACGCACATACACATGCACATACACATACACATACAGAGTAGAACTTCGAGTGCTGTTGTTCAACATCAACGTGATCTCTACTCGGTGACAAGCGCTGACTGTTGAGTTTTTATAAAGATGCAGTTGCAGTTGCAGTAGCTGGCCCTGAGGAGCTGCTTTTCAAACTCGCTGCTGCTGTTCACTCCAGTTCTCAACTGTAGAGCTCCAGTGCTTGAATGTGCTTGCTCCACTTGACTCTCGTCTATGCAACCTCAAGCTTTTTTGTGACATAAAAGTGAAAAGCATTTAAATATGAAAGAAGCGCAGTTCTCTTACTCAGTAAAAGCGCATACCCCAACTCCATGCCGAGTGGTTCGTGGCACTTGATAATATTCTTCTGGCAAACATTGTTTCAGTCTCGAGCAACTCAGGTATGTCGCTTGACTTACATAGTTGGTCTGGCAACGGTTTTTAATTCATGATTTCCAATAGCCATTTGGCATTTTGTGTCATAAATTCCAAATTGCAAGTAAGTAAAATTGCGCGAATTTCGCTGAGCTAAGCAGCTGTGCAACTTGCAGTGTTATATACCGCCAATTCAAGTAGGTACTTACCATTGTGCATGGCCACACTTTTGTCCTCGACGCGGCTCACATAGCAGCAGAGTTCGTCTTGTCGTTCGGCGTTCTCAATCAGCTCCGCCTCAACGGAGAATCCCCACATTTGCTCTAAAGTGGTGCGCTGCAGCTCTACCTGGTACAGTATTTTCATGCAGACCTCCACAAATTCGTGATTATGTAGCTGTGAGTTAAAAGCACACGAAAAAATTAGCCAAATGCCAACAAAAATTGACCAAAAAGGTCGCTTTTGTTTTTTCCTGTTCTGCCTGTTCTTTTTTTATTTATTTTTTTTTTATTTTTATTCAGTTTCAATAAATTTTTGCAGACCGAGAGTGGTTTTAATACACAATTTATCGAGCAGCCAAAAAGTTTCCTACAGCTGCACTTTTGACCTGGCAATATTTACAGCTTGTTGTTCAGCCAAAACTTTTTTTCGGGAGTTGAACTAGCAGTTTTGTTGAAGCACTTTGCTACCGGCTTGTTTTTGGGGGGCTGACTTGGCAGTTTGAGAAATGGCATCCTTAGACTAATCGTCTGCTAAGTGACTACGTTGTGTTGTTCGGTACGAAAGCAGACAACGACAAGTGCTAATAGCTTGTGGCTTACACAAAACTGTGATTACATAAATCATAGAGAGCGAGTGTTTGACAGCTAACGGTATTTATGTACTTTAAATAAGATTAAATTACTCAATTGTTTAAATTGAGCAACTATTTAGTTTAATGCTTGTCTAAAAAACACATGAATTGCTGTGACAATTTAATTGTTTTTACCACACATTTCAATTAGGCCAGCTGTAATTGTCGGTGTCATTTTAACAGATTGCTCCACATAATTATGTGATATGTATTTACTCAATTATTGTAATATTTATTCCGCAATAATTGTGAATATTATTTTTGTGTATTCGCTTAGTTAACTCAATTAAATAAGAAGAACTTGCACCTCGTTTGTTCGCCAAAGAAATCGGAATTAATCCTTTTGAATTTGCTGTAATTTCCTGTTCACAGAAAAAGCTGAACCCCTTAATTGCCCTTAATTTTGAACAAACAACAAACACATGCGCAAAGTTCAAAGTTCAATCGAAATTGCCACCCACACAACAGCACACGAGTGTGCTCGAGGTGGCCCTTGAGGCAGAGTTGGGTGGGGCAGTTACTTGGTGTAGGTAACTTACATAATTTTCAATCAGATCATTGCGATGTGGCACAAAGTAATTGTGATCCTCCATGTCACGTCGCTTCTTGACGCGCACAAAGTGCTCCATGGGATTGAGGTTGCGACGGGCGCAGGCGCTGGCAAGGAATTCCTCCACAGACATCGCGTCACGTAGATAAACTGTCGAGTAAGCATTGTCGGGCATTGCAACTTTGAAGGTTTTTTCCGGCTCGTCACGTGAATTCATCTGGAAAAAGGCAGAAAATTCGATTGGATAAACAGGCGAACCAGACGAATATACACACACAGACACACAAACACAGGCAATGTCATTAAGGTTGTTGTTGCCGCACACACACACACCAAGTCATAAGCCATACACACGGAAGTGAAAATTGAAAAATAGCAAAAACACATTTCAACCCCAGCAAATGTAATGAAAAACGTCAGCGGCAGGCAGGCAGCTAGCTGGCAGGCAGGCAGTCGACTGTCAACGGACTCTGACAGACACCAGTTTGAAGAAAACTCAGTTAAAATGCTTAACGGCATCATCATCGTCGTCAGTATGTCGAGCGCCAACTATGGGGTTAACTACAGAGTTGGAGCTGGAGCTGGTTTTAGAGTTGGATACGCGTTGCAGCTGAAGCTCACAGTTTTGGCCAACTGGTAAACGAATCATGCACGCCCAGCTGCCAGTTGTTGCCAGCTGAAAATTGCATTTGTATTGGCAGCCATCGACGATGGTTTTGCTGGATGACTAACTTTGGCTGCAGCTGGCGCCCTGAGGCAAGCTACACAGGTGTAATGCATACATACACACACACACACACACATCACTATCAAATGTTGGTTGTGTGCAGTTGACTACTTTCACGACAATTGAATTAGTTTGGCAGTTACAAAACTGAGACGCACACAGTAACACGCACAGACACACGCAAATTTGCATGAACATCCGTCAGGCTTGCCACACATGTGCAGCTGCAAAAAAGAATCTTTGCATTGCATAACAATTGGGTATCGTTGGCATCCTTTGCGCATATACAGATATATATATATATGTATATGTACGTCTGTATACATGTTTATTACGACACACATCGCTTGCAAAGTCATTATGCCACAGCGAAATCAATAATACATATGTAATGCAATGCATTTTTGGGTGTCAACTTTATATTCATGATTCAGGCAGCCAAAATGGAAATGAATGCATTTGTACTCCTTTTGTGGTTCGACAACGCAATGCTTTATTATGCTCTGTTTGCCCCCGCTGCGAACGTGCTATATAATATTGGAGGCAACAATTGCAGAAATTATTTAATATAGCCATAATCAAGTTATATTATGCCACAGAATGATGGTGCTTGACTTGGGCATACTCCGTATACGATAATGATAATATTGTCATCGCTTAAGTGTTGTTGAAATTATGAACTAACACTCTTCTTCGGGGCTGTCGATTATTGGGCTTTAACTGCTTAATGTCACAATGAGTGGCAGACAGTTGGTTTGAGTCCGCTTTTGTCAAGTCAATTTAAAGTTGTCGCTTTGTTGCGTAATTCAATTTTGTTTTAATGCTTCTCGCCGGGCCACTACAACTACTATAGGCCAATTAAATGCGTCGTGGTAAAAATGGTTTAAGGCACTCCTTCCACTGAGTTTTCGCGGCGCAGCTGACAGTTCGCAGTTCACAGTTTGCAGCTCTATAATTGCCATTTTGAAGTCGCAACGTGCGCTGGTGGATACCTTTAATTTGATTTGATTTCATTTTCAATTGCAATTTCAGCTGCATTGCAGCTGACATGCTGGGTACATGAAAGCCACATCACACACATACTTCACACACCCACATCATACACACATCCCCACGTATTAAACTAAGTTGACTATGCAAAACTATCAAGCAAATCAAATGTACATTTTTCAAATTCATTGAATTTTCAGTGCAAAAAAAAGGAGATGTTTCTCTTTTTGCGTTAGTAACGCTTTATATATATACATATATATATATATACATATATATATATATATTTATGTTTCGTTAGCTTGTTTTTACCATGCATATTTTGGGCTTCACTGCGACGTCGACTGCGATTGCGGCAGCGAAAGCGACCGTAACTGCGGCTGCAATTGTGCAGCGTCGGCAAATTTAATTGGAAATGAAGTGTGTACGCCTCTGTGCACACGTGTTTGTGTGTGTGTGTGTGTGTATGTATATTTCTGCAGCGCACAAGATTATTTTGCCAATAATCGAAACAAATTGAATTTATTAAATGAATTTCATTAAAAACATGAATTACAACCTGCCAATTCTAATTGAAGTTTATCAAATAAGCAGCATGAAACACATAACGAGCCAGAAAATAAAGCAACACAAAATATATCAATAATAGTAAACTCATAATGCTAAAAAAATAAATCTCAATCTACTAAAACAAAGTTAATTCAGTGTGTAACAAATTGCATAGGATATTCGTTTTACCCTTTGGAAGTGTATTAAAAACCTCAACCACACAGATCTCAACGCGACTTCAAGTATCAATTTCTGCAAATTGACTTTATTATTTAATATACTTTAATACTTTTTGATTTCATGCTGCGTTTACTTAATAAACCTTGCAACTTGTGGTGCAATTGAGAAAAAATTGCATGAAATTTCTGTGGATTTTCATTGGTATTTGTGGTTTAAGGTAAGCGAAAATTCACAAATTGAAATTTCAGTATTTACTCATTGGACTATTAAATGAAATACTGAACGAACAGTAAGTGCAATGCTTTTAGTTTGAGATATATTTGTATATTGTAAACTGTTTTCAAAATTTGTGATTTGCGTGCGTTTGTCTGTTCTATCGAGATAAGCTTGGCTATTTTAAACGAGCTGCGTATTTTATGCAAATATTTTTAGAACTTTGGATTGTTATTATTTTTTTGCTTGTGCCATTTGCCTAATGGCTTTCGTGGCTATCTAAAGAATTTGTCTAAAATGTACTTTTTTTTCGCAGGCTACATAAATTTGTTTTTGTAATTCCTAATGGCCATTAAATTTAAATTATAAGTGAAGCGCACAACAATAATAAAAACAAGAAGACAATATACTAAAAATACGCGGCTGCGACCACCACAGAATTATGTCTGTACATGTAGATACATTAGAGGACTCTGTGGTGGACTTGGAAGTCTGGCGACACATTTGGCCGTTCATCTGCGCATTAGCGCTCAATTTGGCTTTTAATGCCGTTTCCGCTGCCTTAAATATAAATTCAATTATTTAAACATACACAAACACGCACACACATACACACACACACACACACATTACAAAAGCCAAACCATAAAATTGGAAACACCCATTGGTGACAACAGTTGCGCCATAAAATCGATTCAAAATTGATATAATTTTATTACGCATACGAGCCAAGGGCCCCAAATCGTATGTATGTATGACTCACCTGCATGGAGCGGCGACTGGAGCCGCTATTGGAGCGGGATAACATCGGAGGTCGTCGCTTGGTAGCCCCACGTCCAGCCAACAGATTATTAAGCAGCGATGGTGACCGGGCGCAGATGAACGCATGGAATGAGGAGACCGTAAAGACTCCCAGCTTATTTAAAGTGTTCTTTGTGGGACGCGACACATGTGTGAGCAGTGACTGCAAAAGAAAGAGATAGAATTAAGCATTAAGATACATTTTTAGATTGTTATTTATTGAAGTAGCAATGAATTTACTCAAAATCTTTAATATCAGCAGAAGAGTTAATTATAAATCCGAGTCCTTAAAGAATGCTTATAAATAGACCAAGGTGGAAAGTTTGCAAGTCGTAAACCTAAAACTTTGTGAGTGTTTCTGATTTAGATTGAACCTGTGTTTAAACTGTCCAAGACAGGTGACTGTAACAAGCAAGTTAAAAGTTGAAAACCGTTCAAAGAGCAACTGGGAGATTCTGATATGACATAATTAATTGCATCATGCATACATACACTACTGCAAAAAGCACATTAAGTGCCGCTTATATGTATGTGTGTGAGTGTGAGTGTGTTTGTCTGGCCGTGTGTATGCTTGGGTTTGCAAGTGTGCTGTGTAAATAGCCTCCGGTGCATGCACTTTCTCGTGTAAGTGGTGCTGCTGAAGTTGTTTGAGTTTTGCGGTTATTAATAATAAATGTGGCTGCTCTTTATGCAAGTTGTGTTGAGTTGAAAACACAACTGCAGTTACTGCCACTACCCCAGTATCCACTTGCTACCAACCAATCCCCACACTGCTGCAATCAACAAGCTATAAAAAGCGCAATTAACTTGCAACCCTTTTTCGTCACCCATCAACTTGGCCTCGCAAATATTTTGAATGGTGTACAAAGTTCGAGCAGCTCTTTTGCTTAAGCATCTTCGTCTTATCGTTGATGTTCTTGGTGTTGCTGTTGTTGTTGCTAGTTTTGTGTAATATCTGCAGTTGCCAGTCAACAGCAGCTGGGTCGCCCTTTTGACCCTTTAAGCTGCAGCTCTTTTAAAACGCTTAAATTGTGTTATGGAAATTAACGGTACACATCTTTGGCTCTCTCAACTACGTAGTTTGAGCAATCGAAATTGCGTTCCAACCAGCCAACCAGCCAACCAGCCATTGCGCAAATATGTAGGTGGAAAGCAATTAAAGACAACAGGGCCAAAAGCTTTTAGTCCAGGACTCTGTTTGGGGCTTTAATTTGGGGCATTATTGAGGATGGAGCTGTCTTGATAATCTCCTTTATGGCCCGTTTTGATGTTTCACAAGTGCGTATGAATGGGTTTTATGTTATGCTTTGGGCTTAGGTATTTTTAATCAATCTCTGCTCCTGTTGTATTGTGTTATTTTTAAGCAGATTATGACAAGACTTGCTTTTAATTAGGTATGGAAATGTTAAAGGTTTGGGACTCTTGTTTACTTGTTATTTATTATTATCAATGCATATGGGATTAAAAGCGACCCAATTAACACAACTACTACACTGAATGAGATATTAATTTTAATTAAATTGCAATTGCAGTTGTTGAAGTTCGGAAGGAGTCTTATCAAAAGTCTTATGTAAAAAGAAACGAAAGTGCAAACGAACGGGATATTTAATAATATTCTGCACCCAACATAATACAGTAGAAGTTTCGCTGGAAATTCAATCATAAAATATTTTCTGTCTTGGCCAAAATGATTTTGAATACTTTGCGAATTTAATAACATAATGTATGCTCTTAACTTTTCTAATAGTCTTACATGCTCTGAAGCGTACACGTAAAAGGGAGGAAGGAATACATCGACTACACAGTATTCTTGCTTCGGTCGTTATGCGCTTACTTTGAGCACAACCTGTTACTTGCCCAAGTTGATCCTGTTATCCTGTGCACTTGACAACTACTTTGCATTGAATAGCAGTTTCAGGTACGCAGTTTATCACCACGCACTCAGCGCGATGCGAGCAGCAAGCAGGATATAGCGGGGGAGAGGACACAGAAGGTAGTAGACGTAGACAAGGGGCAGGACCATCAGCGTCAGAAGCTAAGTAATTCAAATTGACGCAATCTCAGTCACGTAATGTGAACTTTCTGTGGCTTCCGTTAGGTAAAACAAATTGCGTCAATTGCCATTTGCCATTACGGGCCACGCCCATTGGCGGCTGGGCGGTGGTAGGCGAAATGGCGGCGTTGTAATGGTATAATATAACTCACCTTTGGATTGGGCAACTCGCCGCTTTGGAGCGAGGCCATATAGCAACGTAGTCGGAACTGTTCACAGTGCAGACGCTCAAGATTCTCCTCCCATTGCAAAATCTGTGCCTGAATCTGATGGCGTGTCTCCTGATCGGTGACAACTGATTGCTGCAGCTCAGCCATGTGCTTCAGCTTGTGATCCTGCAAATAGAAAAAAAAAACGGAGAAAAAACGACAGACATTAGACAAAAACTATACACAGGAGCTTATGCATGTTTATGTGTGTGTGTGTGTGTGTGTGTGCGTGTGTGTGTATGTATTGTGGTGCAAGGATGCGGCAGTGTCGCACTCGTGACGGTTATCAAAACATCTCTGGCATGGCATCATTAGCATTTCATTGCAGTGCCACAGCAGAAACTATTGCTTGTGATTCTTGTTGTTGCTGCTACTGCTGCTGCTGCTGCGGTGGCTGCCATTTGACGAAAATACATAAATCACGCGTCATGTGCAGCAGCATTTTTCGTTGTCGCAGTTCAAATATCTCTGACCCTCCCCCTCCTGCACCACACATGCCCTACACAATTCTGCTGAAATCCTGTAGCTCCTTTTGCTGCTGAAGTGCGTTGGCAATGCACCAACTTTGGCAAAAACACACACACATTGACATACACACCCACATTGACAAAGACTTTGGCATCGTTAGTCACACATATACACACACACACACACACACATATATATCCAACACATGCCCCTGTTTTCATTACAAATAACGTTTGACTTCCGCCGCAGCGCGTCCCATCAGCAGCAGGAACAGCAGCAGCAGCAGGAGCAGCAGCAATATCAGGATACGCTTCCTAGTTGCGCACTCGCTTCACTACTTTATGCCTCCCCTTTCCCCTTACCCTCACACTTCCACACACACCACGCTCTCCTCTCAACCCTCTCAGTCCCGCTCCCAATGGCATTGCAATCCCACTTTCACGTGCATTTATACACGCTTGCATAGATTTCATGGAGCACGTGATTGTTTCATTTTGGTTGCTAGATTTTTTTCCACTTTGCAGTCGCTGTTGCTGGTGCTGTTTTTGTTATTGTTATTGTTGTTGTTGTTGCTGTTGCTGTTGCATTGCATTGCATTCAGCTCGTGTAAGCTGACAATTATTTGCAGATGCATCTGCTGTTTCTGCTGTGGCGGATACGATGGGCGCAGCCGTGGCAACAACAACCTGAATAGGCACTTTCGATGTTCGACATTTTAATGAATGTTTACACATAAACAGCAGCAGCACCCAGCACGTTAGCACACACACACACACACACACATACGTATGCAAATGTATTTTTTGCCGGCTTATTCAGGTGTCTGCGTAAGCGCATTGTGTGTGTGCATGTGCGTGTATGTGTGTGTGTGTGTGCGTATGTGTGTGTTTTTGTATGTGTGTGAGGGGCACGATACTTGTCAGCTTATGTGTTACTGTTGAGCTTGGCCATTGTTTGTTTTACGTGAAATAAATCATATTTGGTGTATTTGATTTTACAAATTCCCAACATAGGCCAACAAAAAACCAAAAAAAAAAAAAAAAGTCGAATGGGTGTGCTTAGTATAAAAACCATATGCTATGCTAAATAGCACGTAGCTCATAGGTTTATATGTGTGAATGTATTTAGAGCCAAGTACATTATAACTATATTTCTGGTAATAAATAACCACAGAGCAATAGTAGAGTAGTAAATAAAACGAGCTAAGTGAATATTCCCAATAGATTAGATAATTTAATTATCAACTCTTAGTTAAATACGGCAATCGAGTGGCTATCTTTTCAAGTAATGTGTGTGTACTCTCCACTGATCCTTTGACTCCCAAATGGGATGTTATAAACATTGTAACGTTAAACTCGCCTCACCACAGAAAAAGCCATTTCAAATGAGAAGCACACATAAAAGCACTGCAATGCTTGTTGTCAATTTAACGATCAGCAAGAGCAATAAATGGTATATTAGGATTTAATGATTGTACTTTATGTGCTTACAACTTCACAAATCAGGCTTGCAACAAGCAGTACAGATGCTTAACTTGTTGCTGCATTAATTTTATTACAATTTCAAGTACTGGCTCCAGCGGCCCACTCAAGAAAAGGGATAATTAATAGCATAGCTTCGAGACAGGTACAGATACAGAAAGATAGAGAGGGAAAGGTTAGATTGTCGTTATTTGACAAAGATAATTGGCAGGCAAAACATTTGCTAAGTGAATTTCGTAATTATTTACGGTCAAAACAATAAGGCAGCTGGCCAACTGGTCAACTGCTTGTGCTGACCAAGAATCCACACACGCTTAAAATTATATGGCAACATAAATACAATCCAAGCACGTGATGAGTGTGTGTAAGGCTAGAATAAACAGGCATTAATCGTGAGGTCGGCCATTGTTTGTTTGTTTGCTTGTTGCTGCTGTCACGTTGTGCACTTCATGGCTTAATGGCTTCAATGTTAATTGCCATGTAATTGCATGTGATTGCAATATAAACAGCGTGATATGATTATTATCAAAGTGATTATCGATGTGTTTTTTATTAAATTACAGTTCTTATGTTCTTGTTGCAAAATACAAATTGAGAGACCAGCAGTTGTTGTGTTGATAACATTTTTCCTAACTAAAATAAAAAAAATTAATTAAATATTATCATGCTACTGATGTGTCCTAGCAGCTATATAAATAATTGGTCCATTCATTTAAATGAAATATTAAATTGCCATATGAGTTGTTTGTTCTCGTTCCGCTCTTTTTTTGCTTCCTAATGACTCATTTGTGGCAAACATGCAATGCAAGCATTTGTGAAAACTATCTCAACTCGAAATGTTTGACATTTTCTAGCAACTACACGTTATTACCATTACTAAGGGGCCGAGCTAATAGAAATACATATATTTTTATTTTATATTGTGGCCTATGCCAGCTGGCATGCAATTTGGACTGTCATCTCAATTCCCCACTTAATGGCAATATTATTATTGGTATGTTGCTGCCTTTGCTATGTGGTTTTTGTCTCAATGCCCATTGCTCTTTGCTTGGTTTGCTTTGCGCACCGCTGTGGTTCAGTGCTGTTGCTTCTGTGCGGTGGATTGTCTGTTGCGCTTTCATTAAGCGTCACTCGTGTATGGCTCCCCATGCGCACATTTGTGAGCTGCAGTGGGGCAGCCACAGGCTCAAGTAGGCGAACTGTAGTTGAAGTTGTTGGTAGATGTTATGCTGCCTTGCCATTACCACTGCCTCTGACTCTGTATCTGGCATTGCCATTGCCGTTCTTGTTGTCGCCATTGTCGTACTGTCATTTCCGCTTCCTCAGTTTGCCTGCCAGTCTGCCTCACTAAAGTTAAGTTGAGTTCAGTTCAGTTGAGCAGAGCTGAGTTGAGTTGAGTTCATGGTGCGTTCTGTGTTCTGTTGCTGTGATATATGTGTGTTTACCCCGGGAGTACAATTAAAAAATACATTTTTGCTATTGTTGTCATCGTCATCGTCATCGTTGTCAGCGTCATCGTCAGCGTCAGCGTCGCATGACAAGCCAAAGATGCCGCAAATAGCAAAACCACAGTAACCGCAAACCACAACACAACAACAACAACAATAACAACAATAACAGCAGCAACTATAATAACAACAACAATAATAATAACCACACATACTCACAGCACCAGTAGCACCAGTAGCAGCAGCAGCAGCAACAAGCGAGGGCAAGTACGAGTAAAATAATAATAACACCCCAACAATAAAGCGCTGTCTGGCAAAAGGATTCGTGACGGGTATCAGTTTTGCTGCTGCTAATGGCCTCGTCCTTCGATAAGTCAACTGCTCGCACCTCTCTCTCAATTACTCTCTCTCTCTCTCTCTATAAATATTATATTATATATATATATATATATTGTTCTTTTGCTAAAAGAGACAATACCGATCAATTAATACAGCTGCCACCCTTTCAGCTTTAGTTACGGAACTGTTCTGCTGCAACGGACAGCAGTTGCAACAAAATGAAGAACAAAGAAAAAGACAACGAGTAGCGAAACAGTATGCACCGATGTAGATAAATATACAACAAGTAACAGTGCTTAAATAGAGAAGACGCAACCAGAAGTTACACTGTTCTTGGCTCTGCCCTGCCCTAGCATACATTTTAGCTTTATTGTACATTAAAAATAATTATATATTGTGTTATTTATAATATATATATATAACATTTGCCCATCTACATGAGATACCGTTTTTAATAATTTTTAATGAGTCTAGGGTGTGAAAATAGTGTCAAAGTTGAAGTTGTCTGCAGCACAGCGAGTGCGTAGTATGAAATTTTAAATGAACTGCAGCTCAGTTAACCTTATGGTTGAACTTTTGACTTTGCTGTCGCTGGTGGTGCATTAAATACCAGCTCCACCAGCGCTCGCAAAAAGTCAAATTTGAGAACGACCACAAAATGTGGGTGGTGCAAGGGCGTAAATTGTCAACAAAAGGCCTGCAAATTGTACGTGGGCAAATTGTGTGTGTGTGTTTGTGTGTGTGTGTGTGTGCACATGTCCTGCATAAATGCTGACCACAAAATGATGCCACATTATGTAACGAGCGTATGTGTGTGTATGTGTGTGTATTTGGAGATGGGGTTTGCGGTATAGGTGGTGCGTGAAACAAACTAAGCCTAAGCCCAAAAACTAGCGCCTGTTTGTGCTTGTGGCCAGAGTGGCGGACGTATATGAGTGTGTGTGATGGCCATTTGCTATTTCTTTTTCACCGGCAACTGCTATGGCTGTTGACAATTGAATTTGAATTTGGCAGCGGTAGTGGAAAATGCCACGCCCACATGCCAGATGCATAAGGCATATTTCAGCATGCAAAGCCAAAATATACCCAAAAACCGAAAGCAAATCAAAAAACCCGAAAAGCACATTTGGTGAGCACACGAGGAGAGCAGGGATTGTGGGTTAGAGTGGGTGTGGAGTACAAGTTTGCAACACATAGTGTCAGGGCATTAGCTACGGCTCCCAAACTGGTGACTATGCCAGACTATATCCTGTGCAACTTGCGACCGAAAGTTGCAAAAAAATTCGTACGTTTGCTCCAAAACAAAGCCAATACCAGGAGCAGCCAGTATGTGCAGGATTGCAGTAGTTGGTGGCAGTGGGTTGGGGCACGTGAGCAACGGCTCGGACTGGCGACACATGTGTGCGTGCTTTATGACGTTATGACTTGGCTTTGCTCATATTTCTTGCCATAAATTCCGGCCATACAAATATATATGTATATATATATATATATTCGCTATTTTTGGTATTAGTTTATGATATAACCTAACCCCGCCCACATGGCCACAGCGCGAGTGTCTATTTGCCACTTGGCCAGTTACAGCAAGTTCTGCCGGGCAGGCGCACAAAATCGAGCACTAAATTTTGGGGTAATTATAAACTTTATTACAACAAGCATTTAACAATACTGAAAGCTGCTTGTCTGGCTTATTATTTCATCCAAACTTTTTCAAAAAAGGAGTGGAGAAGGATACTGCGTTGAGGATATGCATGTGGCTTTAAGTTGGACAACAGTTTCTGCACGCTAAGAGAATCAAGGCACTACTAATTAACCAAATTGTTAAAAACTTAATCAAACATGTATTTCATTATGTGCGCATCGTTGCAGTTTCTCTGATGTTGCTTTAGAGTTTTTTGTTTTGCAGCTGGATTTTGTTTTTATATAGTTGGCAAACGTGCATTTTATGCACTTAATTTTAAGCTTAATTGGTATGCATGTTGTTCGGAAATTAGTTGAAGTAGTAAATTGAATTTTGAATTTTCTAAGCAACTAATCTCTTAATTATTATATACAGTAAACAGTATCATATATAAGCTCCACACATCTCAATTGCTTGCCTCACAAAAATTAGATTACTCAACTCCATAAAATGTTGGTAATCGTTCAATAAAGGCGCACATGAAAATTGCATGAATTGCGTTTAATAAATTGCAGTCTCAGCAACAAATGAAACATTTAATAAGACCACCGTTTTAAATTTCGATGCAAATCCAAAACAAATATGGAATGGCTAGAAAAACAATTGCTGAACTAGGTGCTGTATGAAAAATTTAAAACCATGCCAGCGACGATTTAAAAACACACAGACCGCATTCGACCAACTATTATAATGGGCTTGGAAGGGGCTGTTCTGCGCTGGGCGTAACTATGGATGGGCTGATGTTGGGTGGGGTGGCGTTTGCTATTGAGCTGAAATGACAGCCGCCATTGCAAATTGAAAGCAGCAGGCAAGTGAGCCTTGTTTAGACTGCGCGCCATGGCAATTGCACACGAGCCACGGCAACTGGGAATAAAAAGCAGTACCAGCGGGGCGAAGCAAGAACTGGGTGCAAGGTATGTGTGTCTGTGTGTGTACGTGTAAGGCAGGACACGTTGGGAACATGGCGAGTGGGAGATGAGGGGGTCTGCTCGTAGGAGTCGTAATTAGAGCGTAAAAACCAGAGCGTACGAAAAACCAAATGCGCTCGGGCAGCTACTACTATTTTTTTTATTTTGTTTTATTTTTTTAGTTCTACGCTTGCATAGTGTGTGTAGGTGTGTAGGTGTGTGTGTGTGTTGGTGTGTGCAAGTGCTTTATGCGAAAAGAAAATAGATAGCTAGCGAAAAACTAGAAAAGCTAAAGCAAACGAAGCGAAGTGCTGCCGCTGTCCCCCACTGACACATATATGATTATTTCCGAAAGGTGACAGCTATAAAAAAGAAAGGGGCAAACAAACAACTGTACGTGGTAGTAGCAGGTGGGCAGATGTTGCATGCAACACCAGCATACACAAAGTAGGCGGCAAAGACAAAAAGCGTAGACAACACTGTTGCTCTTTTCAGCCACGCCTTCGCACCGACCATAAAATTGTGATAGGCAGCAAGCCCAACTCATCCTTGGTACGATTCTTTTATAATTTCATTCAGAGCAACAGCATTTTGGCCGTCTTTTTCTTCTATTTTATGACTTGGGGTCTTTGCTCGGCCTGCGGCACTTTAATATTTGCCAGCACATTATTCTTTCCTTAGTTTGCACACGAAATTAATTAACAACAAATGCGAATGCATATCCAAAATAGTAATGCAAATGCAAATGCACTCCAGCAGCTCATTTAATTAATATTCATCCGGCAAACTTTAGCAAATGACCAGGCACGGAAAAAAAAAACAGAAAACAAACAAAAGGGTGCCCAAGCTGAGGCCCAAGGGAGGCGTGGCACTTGAAAACTAAACTAGCTGACTGTGAAGTGACTCTTGTGACAGTCTCGGACTTTGCCCAGCGACCACATCGCAATAAACCAAAGCAATCCGGAAAAACAGAAAGAAAAGGAAATCATCAACAACAACTAGTTGAAAACTTGAGAGTGGGAAAGTGGACAGAAAAACGCAGCGTTCAAGGAAGTAATTATGGTTTATCCAAAGGGACAGATATCCACGACCAGCCAAGCAACAACTGGAAGGAGAGCAACATCAACAACAACAACAACAAAAATTATAGCGAGAAAATGAAAGGAAAACGAAGACTGTTCATAACATCAAACTTCAACTTTAACGTGTAAGGGAGAAAAAATAAATTAGAAAAGGGTCGAGACGCAAGGGAAATGCGACAGAGACGAATGAATGAAGTCAGCGCAAACTGAAGAGAAGAGAACAGAACAGAATAGAATAGAACAGATAACAGCACGGATAAGATGAACTAAGTAGATGGACCGACAAAATAATTGTCTTTAGTAGTTGCACTAACAAACAACAATAACAACTCACTGAGACAGTCAGTCAGTGGCTGACGGTAAACTATGGCGAGTGCAATTCTCAACAGCAGCATAAATATTGGTTTAGTTGATAGTGCTCGACTAAAAGATACTGTGTGTTGAGATAAAAACTGAAATGTATTTGTGGAAAATTGATATAATATATTGTTAAAATTGCCATAATCAATCAATTGACAATTACGTAATTAAAGCCAGAACATATATAAATCAGATCCAGACTTATGGCAATGGAAATTATAAGGAACATAATTTATGGCACATAGTTATACTCATATATATTTACTAGAAGAAAAACAGCTGTAAATTGCAGGCCAACAAATGGCCGCAAGTTTTTATGCCTGCTGCACTGCAAATGGTAAATAATAAAAAAAAAATACAAAAATAAAATAAGAGATTTTTTATAACTGACGGCGGAGTGTGCTAACAGGACCCTCCACACTCTTCTCAAATACAACTACCTCTCTTGGGAGTTTATTCAGCCATTTATTGTGTGGCAAGTGCAGTTTCTTGTTCTTCCTCTATCTCTCTTCTGCTGCTAAACAGCTTGAGTTCTATTTGGTTTTCTGTTTGTGTTTTTGCTTTCATCTTGGCCTCTCAATTTTGCTACGACTAGGATTTCTTGGGTAGATGCTGTTGTTGCTATTATTGTTGGCCGCAAAGTTGTGCAAATAAATTGCAATGCAGTCGGCGGCAAGAAACAAATGTTGGTGCTGTGAAACCGCGACGCGAAATTGATGGGAAATTGATTTGAAAGCAAATACATAAGCAGGAGCACCAAGAAGCCACCGAAAACAGGCAGCGCATAAATCTTTGGGGAGCGCCATACTGAGAAATTGGCTAGCAATTCTGCTTGTGGCTGAAATTGAGAAATTGGATGGGAGAGTGTGTTGGGCGGCAAGAGGTGAGTTGGGGGTGGTGGCCAAATGCGTTTATTGTGTCTTTGCCTGAAAGTTGGGAGTTGAGTCGAGTTTAGAAATCATCGCGAATTGATGTATTCGTACAATTTGGCTTTGTTGTTGATTACTTTAACGACTGATTAGGTGCTGAAATATACAGAAACATGCTCTGAATATCAATGATGTGCTGGTGTTGCTGTTGCTGTTGCTGCTTGCCTGCTTCTGCTGTGTGCATCTAGCATGAAAGAAATAAAGTTTGCCACAGCTCAAATTGAATGTACATGAGTAGAGCTTGTAGATAATTTTATTGATTGATTTAATGGTTTTACTTGGATTTATTTGTGTTGATCTTTTCGATTGCCACGAATTTGTGAGAGTGCCAGGTGCACATTCTCAATAATGTTTCTACTTGGAAACGCAACTTACAAATAGCATTGGCTACTACAAAGCGTATCAACTAAACTCAGCAATGTAAAATATAAGTGTGTACATCAGTTATGGTTTGGCAGCACTACGACTATTGTTAAGGGCGTTCACCTAAAAGTGAATGTATAATCAAATCAGTGTCAGCAGCGAGTACATATGCCAGCCCGATGAGTTCATAATTCATGGAATTTACATGTCTTCAGACTTTTTTCCATGTCATTTTCATAATAACGCCGTCAGCATTTGAGCATTTGAGTTTGGAAATACTACAGTCGGCAAACAGCTTTTATGCTCAATACACAATTTCAATTCTCATCTCTTGAATTTGCGCTGAAGGCACTCAGCAATTTCCTTGCAAGGTGAAAGTGGACGGCAATAATTCAAGTCAATATACACATCCAAATGCATACACACATACTCAAGGTATGTTCAACAGGAGTAGCAACAACTATTTCCACACGACAGGTAGAGTGATTGGGGGTATGTTGCTGGCATTCACTTACCGATTCAATGGCCTTCTCCAGGCGAAAGATCTCCTCCTGCAGCAGATGCAGTGTGCCCGTTTTGCCGCGATGACGTGCGAATGCAGCGGCACAGGCGCTGTGTATGCTATTCACCCAATTCTCCAGCTCCACCTGCGAAATGAAAGAGTGAAAAAGTCAGAGAGTGTGAGAAAACTGCCGTTGCATTGTGCACATAGAAAAATGGATGCTCTTGAATGTAGGAAATTTCAATTTTTTTGGTTTCTATGGCATACTTTTTCTTTGAGTGTAGTTGTTACAAATTGCAGCGCCAAATGCACCGCAAGCAAATTTGATGCTGCTCCCCAGAGCCAAATGTCAAATTTGTTGCTATCGTCGCTGTTGCTGTCGTCGTCGTTGTTGTTGTTGCTGTCGTTGTCGTTGGTGGCTGACTATCAGTTATGTAAATTTAATGACAAATCACTGTGGCGACCAGGTCAAACGCTGTCAACCTGGCAGCCAGCAAGGTAAATCAGTTTTGGCCTTTGAGACATGTAACAGTTTAGGCACAAGGACCAAGCAGCCAAGCTGCTAGGCAACCAACAACTATTGGTTCTAGGCAATCTGTCCTTTGGCTGTCGAGCGAATCCAACCTCAATCGCACTTTAAGCCTGGCGATTTGCATTTGAGCCATTTTTGTATGTGTGTGTGTGTGTGTGTGTGTGTGTGTGTGTATTGGTGTGTGGCACACATTTTGCATGGCGATTGCGAGTAAGGTTTGTTGGAAGCCCGCGAGCACTGAACTCAACACCACACACACACACACACACACACACACACATATGCGTAGCTGCCAGATGGAAATCCTTGGTATTCTTGCGCAAGCATACGTTCGCTCAATGACTCGACGATGTCGTCCAAGTCCAAGTCTTGTTTGTCAATGTTGTCGTCCTGCTTGGTGCCTGGACAAGGCCAGCTTTTATGAGATATGCTGCCTTTGGGCGATATGGGAGGGAGGCAAATGTCTTCTTTTTTTTTTAATTGCAGCATGGCAAGTCTTACGCTTGAAGGACCTTGTCAGGTTTATTGAGCACACTACGCATCATATCCTGCAGACGGATGCAGCCAACACTTCCACGTTTCACCATTTCTTCGATACTCACCTGACAGGGCGCCTGGAACAGATAGGCATCACCGAATGCGGTGCTCAGACAGAATATATAATCGCGCTTGGGATGCTCCGGTATCGGCTGCATAATTGCGCCGTCCACAATAATTAAATGCTTGGGCGCCGCCTCAACGCTGCGACCCTCGCGCGAATCGCACGGATAGAAGAGGAGCGTGGTACCCTTCAGGCATACCCAATAGCCCTTCCAGCCACGTTTGCGAGCCAGCTCGATTTGATGCTTCTTACGTAGTAACCATTTCTTTACCGATAGAAAGCTGCAAACGGAAAATTAAATTAAATATATACATATATAGTTATAAGCATGCAGCTAATAAGCCGGACGACAAAATGAAATCGAAGAAAAGTTTATAAATATAATTTACTGAAAAGGGGGATAAATTGCTTGCAGCATTTAAAATGCGGCATTCAATCATCAGAAATATATTGCATCAATAAACTATGTACATGCCACAAACAGTTGAAGGATATTTTCTAAGTTTCTAATTTTAAAGATATTGCTTACATTTTTCTTCTATTGAGCATGTTTGAATTCATTTTTATTTAAGATAAGAATGTGGCAACTGAGGGAATAGCTTTTAAGAGAATTTAAAATAAAGTTGTACTATAATCAGCCATCTAATTTAGGGGTTTCCTCTGGTTTATTATATGAACTCGAATTATTACTTTGTATCAAAAGAGAATAGGGAATTTAGGCTAATTAGCTGAAAAGTAACACTAAACGTGCAAGTCGTGTGGCCTCAAAGAGCTCAACTCTTATTACGCTCAAAATCTCCATTTTTGTGGCTGTTTTATAATCTCCATGGATTTGCACAATGTGGGCATACACATACTTTATCATATCTGACTGATAGGGAGAGTGAAATGCGTTTTGCCGTAATCGCTGTAAATGATATGCCAAGCCATTTGCTACTTTATTTATGATGAGTATGCTGTTGCTGCTGTTGGAGCACACACGTGACTGCTACTCGCTGAATGGAATGCCTCGGGGAATACATTCGTGCCACTGATTACTGGTAGTTAGATAAGGATTGGGGTTGGGATTGGGACTGGGGCTGGGGCTGGGGCTGGTGTGCATTACTTAACTTACCCAGCTTTACGCACAGCGCCCGTGCAGTTGAAGGAGGATGCAGCGGTGCCAGTGGCCTTTGCTTTATATGGTGACGCCATGACACTTTCGCCATCATCTTCATCCGATACGGCAGTAGTTAGGCTCATTCGATCATCGTCCGAGATCTGCAAATGGACGCAACGAACAGATAGCGTGTTAAGAATGTGATATCAGCAAATGAATTGCAGCTACAATATATGGTTGTATATTTGTTGTTACTGGCAACGGGCAACGATAAAATTCAATCAACCTGGATAATAATTGAAATAATTAAGTCATAATTAGCAGTGCCAGTCAGGCAAGTTCCTCACACTCAAGCACACACAATCACACAAAAGTCAACCCGACACGAATCGTATCGTCCCGTAAGCTATTTGAAACCAATAATGGTTGACTGGCTCGGCTCCTTGTTGCTGCTGTTGTTGTTGCTGTTGCTGTTGCCGTTGTCACTGCCGACAGCAACATTTGTTACGTATGTCGTCGATAAAGCAATTTGTCTTCTCTCGCTTGCATTTTTAGTGAAGTTGGCAACATGGGACATGGGGAAGCCAGAAGAGAACGCGGTGAAAAAAGAGCGGGCAACGGATGGACAACAATTGACAACTACGAAACGACTCAGAAAACGAATCGAAAAGAAATAGCAGCAGGGAGAAGGAAGTTCAGGCAATGCCAAACAGTTACTTGTTCATTTTATCGAGACAGATACTGACTACACTTTGATAAAGAACCAGCCGCTGAATTTAAAAAGTTTGCTAGAAATAAACTTACGAATTAAAAACTCTCAAGAGATGAAATCCGTGTCGCTTGTCGGCAATCTCAAAACTATATTATAAATATATATTACTGACTTGTAATTTTAAAAGGTAGGTTTTGCTGCCAAAAGTATGGCAATTGTCTAAATTACAGGGTACATATTTTTCGGTAGTCTAGTAGCGAGCATTTCATCAAAAGCCCGGTTCGAGAACCACTGCTCTGCCTCTGCCTCAGCCTCAACCTCAACCTCTCTCTCTGTCACTGCCTTGGCCAACCTCCATGCCGACTTCCTTCCGTTCTCACCACACAGCGCCCAGTGCGCCAATTTCTGCTTTCGCAACAGGAAAACAGTGAGGAGGGACGGAGTGAGGGGGTGGGGAGGGCGGGTGGCAAAGCAAGCGGCGAGCGGCACGTGAGGATAAGGGTGTTTCAGCTGGTCCGTGTGGGAATCAAATTGAGGCAACGAAGCGCTGAGGCCGTAGTGCTGCTATTGCTGCTACTTCTGCTTCTGCTGCTGTTGCTACTGAGCGCTCTACGTGTCCCGCGTGGCAATAAAAATTGGTTTGCCCATTCATTCGTTTCAATTGGGTGGTAGTACACTCTGCCCCACCCATGCCGTCAGCCCGCTTGCCACTTGCCACCCTGCCACCCGGTACGCCCACAATGTCGCTCACTTGCTGGTTCATGCCATTTTTATTTGAGTTCCCAAGGAAATCAATTTACAATGTGTTTATTCGTTTCGTCTTCGCTTCCTGCTGCTGTTTGGACGGAACGACAGAATCGTCAATGCCTTGGCCCAATTTCTTATCTTTCAGTTACTACGATACAACCCACGCACATGCCACGTCCCTCCCCTTTCACGTTTCTGTCAATTTTCAAACATTTTTGCTCATATGCATGTTTTACAAGTTATTTATTTGACTGCCCCGATGCGTCATGGGGGGCCGGCGACTACAGCAAGTTGGCAACTGTCAAGTGGCGTGTGGCGCTTATGTTTGCACAGCAGCCACGCCCCAATGCTCAGCAGTCGTTCGCCCTTTTTGTATGTTGCAAACTCATGTGTGTGCTTAACCCACAAGTGACGTCGTCAACGTTGTCGGCGTCGTCGTCAGTCGTTTGTCGTTGGCCAAGTTTAATCAAATTTTATATTAATCGAAGGAGTGCAAAGGCATGCAAATACCCAAACGTGAGCTGCCTGAGTGACTCTCCGCTCTCTGGCAACATAAATATTTTCTTACTCGAAATTGCCGAAAATAAAAAGGCAAACCCAACCCAAACCAACCCAACCCAGTAGCAGCAGCAGCATCAGATCAAAGCGGCACCTTTTGTGGCAAGAGGTTTTCGGCTTTGGGGCAACCCTCATTGATTCGTATTGAGTTGCATCGCTTGTAACTCTGATTAATTGGGAATGCTATATATAAAGAACATTGGGCAAGAAGTGGGTTGAAATAGTTGCTAAAATATTGTGTGCAACATTGTAAAAATTTTATTTTTCCTGTACGCAATAAATTTTCAACCGGCTCTATTATACATTTTTAACAATGACTCTTTTTAATTAAATACGGCAATTCCGTAACTCTATGACAGTGCTGTAAAACTGAAACTGTTTTCTAAAGTTGATACTGCCAGTTTGCATCAAGTTTCGATTCGATACAGTTTGGACAAAATTATTTTACAACATATTCCATTTCGAGAGATTGTTCTGTTTAAATTACTAGCCGAGTGGCCTCAATCATCATCAAAGAGCACTCCCCATGCACCCACTCCCTCGACCCACCCACTCTGCCGCACTGCCCATTGGGCCAACATTCAACTGACAACATTTATTGCGCCAAATGAAATAGTTTCCGCTTGCTCAATGAAGTTTTTCATGAAATCATCAAGCCGAACGGAAGCTGTCGAGCGGAACTGGTTTGGTTCTGTTGCAAGCAGCAAGTAGATGGCAGCCCAGGCAACCCAGGCAGGAGAGTTGTGCTTCGAATTCTTTCAAATTAAAGATAATAAGCTAACAGTTAGTTGTACTTTTCACAAAAGTCACTCCATCGGTTACTAAGCAGAGCAAAATACTCGGAACAATCGACGCTAATGTAATGGAAAACTCTTTAGAATGCTGCTGTCGAAAGTGGCGACCAGAATGAAAAGGACACAATTCGGTTGAATTAACGAGTTTTGTACCTTTTACAAACGATTACTGTGCATCTACAATTGTGTGTATTATATATATATATATATGTCTGTGTGTATGTGTCTTCACGGACAAACAATGGGCACACCCCAAAAAAGGACACGACAGTTTACAAGCACCAAATCTCGACGTCGACTGATTGGCCTAGCTGAAATGGTTACAATTTGTGCACAGACCCAAAGAGTTTGTCAAATGATTCATGAATTTTTAATTGATATGACCCGACTGTCAGTCCCTCACTCATCGCCGCCACCCATTGTTAAAGCTTTGTCGAATTTCATCAGTTTTGGGCTGACTGGCTGACAATGGGCTGAGCTTGGGGCACACTCTACGTTATGGTCTATGTGTGTCTCACATGGGTAAGCCTAAATGGGCAACCTAAAACACGCACACACACACACACACACACACACCCACACACAACAGATTAAATGCCTATGGTCCTGATCCCCCCATCACTCCCCCTGCTCACCTGATTACTTTGGCCTAATATGCCATATCTCAGCATCAGTGCAAAATCAAAATTCAATTTACGCACACACGCACGAATCCCAGACGGAGGCAGGGACACGCCCACTTGGGGTGACACACCCTTATCCAAGAGCCCCAGACAGGTGAGCCTGAGTCGGAGCTGCGTTTTCTAATCAAGAATTGATTGTGATCCCTCGATGCGGCTGTCGTTCACGTTTCATCCATAATTATCAATGACTTTTGAATGTCAAATGTGAGAGTTGCCTGCCATTGGCACCTACTACATCCCAATCCAAGTCCCAATCCCAATCCCAAGCTGCACACTCCATACTCCTCTCTCCCCGTAACACTCCAACTGCTCGGTAACAGCACACGCCGCAGCTCTGTCCCAAAAAAGGAAAAATCATTTCATTTGTCGCTGTCGCTGTCAAAAATTACAATATTTGATAGAGTGTTTACGATGTTGTTGCTGTTGCTGTTGTTGCTGTTGTTGTTGTTGTTGTTGCTCGTCTGGCACAACAAACATTCACGTTCACATTCGCACAATTTCACATATGTAAGCAAGCATTTGCTTATGTGTAGGGTTGCCAGCTGTCGCGAGAAGAAAAACTGCAAATTCGTGGCACGTTTGCTTAAGTGACTTGAGTGAGACATTAAAGGAAAGTACTTCTAGCGTTGTCAGAAATTCAAAAATGGAAAAGCTGCAGCGCATTGCAAGTGTTAAAACTCTCCCCACGATACATTTTCTTAAGCATTCATTTTCTTTACAGTTTCTTTTTGGGGCAACATCTTAGTCACAAATGAAGCTGTCTAAGCAGATGCCGTCGCAAGCATTCAAATCTGCAGTGCACTGTGCAGAAGCAGCGGGCAAAAGCAATTTGGCATTAACTGTAAGATGGTATTTTGGGATTTTCGGCAATGATTAAAACGGAAATACTCCACCCTCTAGCTAAGCGATTTGGGGGTAAGGCTTAGAGACGTTAGACTTGGCAAGTAGATAATCAAACAGGTAGCTGCCATGTCATTCGCATTTGATTAAATGTGCGCACTGAGAGATGCTTAATAGTAATTGGTTTGAGAAGCGGATGGAAAGCATCGGTTTAGCAACAGATCAATCAAAACTAACAAGGAATTCAGGTGAGATAAAGGTAAGCAGGTGCCACTGGCAGCTTCTATCCACTCTTTAATAACTATATTCTGCTGCCTTCAAACATTGTTGAGCACAAATATTTTATATAATTGATTAAGTTAAAGAAATATGTATATATGTCTTCAAATCCAATTACCATGAATTACTTTGGCTAATTATATTTTTGCCAAGTTCGTATCTTATTCAGAATCTTATCTGTCAAAGGAACGATTGTCATCCTCTCTTATCTAAATTAATAAATCTTTTAGCTCGCCTTATCTCACTATTTTTCAACATGTCTCCCTTTTTGTGTGCTCAAACTGGCAGCTAATAACATTCAATTGAAAGTCAAGAGCCGTAGCATTTGATAATCTAATATCCTTTTTGTTGATCTGGCAATTAATTAATATGCAGCGTGAGATTCAAACTCGTTCTTTTGTGTGTGCTGAATTCAATCTGTGTTTGTTGGCCCCTGTAGTTTCAGTTCGTAGTAGTTACACTCTTTGATATTGGTCAAGTAGTGCCAAGTGAGCTGCACCGTTTGCAAATGCTTGCTCAGTTGCCATGGATACAAGATACTAGTTACCAGCTACCAGATACAAGATACAAGTGCTTTACAAAGCTACACAGTGCAATCGCATGAATGCAGGCACTCATAGATTATGGCATGCCCGTTTGGACAAGTTCTCAAAACCCAATAGATACATGCATAGGTACATATGTATGTACATATATGCTACAAATAGCCTTTATCACTTTGCAACTGTGATTCATGTGAATTCCAATCAATGCCATTCATTATCCAAAAAACTAAATGCGAACAGTAAATGAAAATGCCACCCAATCACCATCCTACCCTTACTTTGTGTGTGTGCGTGTGTGTGTGTGTGTGTGTGTGTGTGTGTGCTAAGAGCTTTTTTGGCTTGGGCTAATGCTTTAATTTATTGCCTGCCTCCTTTGTGAGCACGGCTAGCAAGCAAGCTGCAAGGAGCAGTCAGGAGCAGGAGCAGGAGCAGGAGCTTGTGTTGCCTTGCCTGGTAGCTCGACCGTGAAAAGGATGTTTTGGCTTTGATCAACGTTTTGTTAGGCAGCCAAAATGAATTTGTCGCAGACAGACAAACGGACATCAGACGACAACACCGAACGGAACGTTGCGACAATACATTTAAGTCAAAGAGCTTGAGCAGCTTGAGTGGGGATGGACGGGCACGAGTGTTAGGGTGGGACCACCCCTTGTCACTAGACATTCAAGCGAGAGCTCAAAGTTAAAGCGGCAGTCAACCGATTTGTTCAAGAGTTGAAAATTGAGACAGCTACTTATCAATTTAATATTTTGGGTGATAAGGATTTTAAGTGAAAAGTTAGCAAATTATTGAGAACATATTTCGAAAGGGAAATTGTCAAGAAACTTAACACAAACTGTCAGAAACTGCATAATTAATAGCAACATGTATATCCGTTTATGAGTCAGATTTCTTAAATTTCCATAAAGTTTTTAATGAGCAAGAAAAAACTCTAAAATAATGAATAAGTTCTGGCATCATACAAGTCAGATTATAAGTGACAGTAAAAAGGGTTTCTTAAGTAATTATATAAATGCGCATTGTATCTATTATTATAAATGGTTTAGATAATATTCATATATAAATATAAGATATTCAAATATATATATAATATTCATATATATCAGATATAGCATTAATAACATTTTTGACAAGTTGTAAAGCTAGTTCATAAAAATATATTTGTTGGATTGATTATAATTAAGAGATATATTAAATTTATTTATAAGAAATTTGAAGTGAATCACTGCAAAAGTAGCTGTAAAATCTTTAGTTTGAATTTAGTTTTGAACAACTTTGCTTGAAAATGTATCTGCTTGATACAATTTCACTTAAAATAAAGTTTACCTTGCGAAGGAACATTTCGTTGCACTGCTTGGCGGTGCTGCGCCAGTGTCGATGTCGATACCGTGAGTTGCCCAGCTTGAGGGTGCCCTGCAGATCTGCAGCTTCCTCGACCACCCGCCTGATGCACTGATACCGCAAGCGATTGCAACGATGAATGGGCTGCAGCGCAACAAGTCCATGCTCTGGCTCGGATTCGGCGCCGGACCGCACCTGATCCTCATCATCGTCCACCCAGGCGCTGAGCACACCCTCCACAAAATTGTACAGCAGCTGAATGTTGGCCTTCATGGGTGCCGAGCCCGATGGCACCTGCTCCGTCTTAATCAGCTTGCGATTCTGGCACACTTCACGCAACAGATTCTCGCCAAAGTGGACCGTCTTGTGGCGACGCCTTCGCGAGTTGAGTGACGCAGCCGAGGCGGATTTCATCAGTTTGCCGTTCCCGTTGAGTGCATGATGCAGATGATGCTGTGGCTGTTGCTGCTGCTGTTGAGGATACAAATCTAGCTGCTGAATGGGCTCCAGCCAGCCACGATTTGTTGCCATGCCACAGCTGGAAGCAGTTGAATCGCCACGCTGCAACGTATTCGGTTGCGAGCTACTGCGATAATGCTGCATATGGAAAGTGGGCGAGGCGGGCTGGAACTGCTGCTGCTGCGGCGGTTCCATTTCGAGTGGCGCCGGCTCAATGTCATCCAGCGTTGTGGGTGGCTGGGCGAGTGTGGTGCGCAGACGATTGAAATCGGCGGCACAACGAGGCAGTGAGTTGCACTTGGCGGCATTGAGGCATTTGCGATTCTGGCAGCTGAGCATCGGTGCACACGACCGACACTCATGACAGATGACCAGACGTCGCTCCGTCAACGGAGCAGGTGCATCTGCTAGTGGTTGTGGTGGTTGTGCTCCTGCGACTGCTGTTGCCGTTGGTGGTGGTGGTGTTGCTGTCGTTGAGGGCGTTGTTATATCGGAACCTGCTAATAGATGTGAAGGCACCGCATGCAACTGCACCTGGGCCAACTGCTGATGCCGCGCCAGATTCACGGAGCTCGCGGAGGAGGTGAGACAGCGTCGTCGCTGACACTCCTGGTAGCGGCAGTGCGGATCCGTGCAAATAGGCAGCAGCGGGCAGGCGGGATCCGTGCACGGCGATGGTGAGCGGGAACGTGGAGCACGCTCCGCACTCGAGGATTTGCGCTTATGTGCTGTGGAACGCTGTGCGGACATGTCCGTCACAGTGGCAGAACGTTGAGTCTGATGGCGACGCGAACGCTTGGACTTTGTGGTGCTACTGCTGGTGGTTTGGTGGTCCTTGGGCGGCGTTACTTTGGGCACATACTGATAGCGCTCCTTGTGCGGCTTGGCATACAGACGCTCCAGTCGCTCCTGCTGTCCGCTGCCGCTTGGCGCGGGCGCACCTGCACCTGCTCCTGTTCCTGCTCCGCTGCTGACCACCTCACTGGCGGAGTGACGCAATCGACGCTCGCGAGAGCGTTCCTCGCGCCGGCGCTGCTCCTGGCAGAGCGGCGTATGGGTGGCAGTCAGTGGAGCAGGCACATCATAGCCACTGGGCACGGACACAGGCTGTTTGCCCAGTGATTGCAGCTTGTGCAGCGGATACGCAATCCACTCGAGAGTGGGCATCGCTTGCTGCAACTGCTCCTCCCCACTATCAGCATTGCTGTGACCCAAGGAGTGTCGCTTCCGTTGCAACGTTGCATGATGCACCTGTTCGCTCCCGATCGCAGCAACCTGATCCTCCTGCGAGTTGGATCGGGGTGCAGCGCCGCTGCTGCCATTCCGACGATGATGCGAGCGTCGCGTGGATGATGAGGATTTGCCGCCGCTCACGGCCACAGTTGACTGCATCTTTGTCAGCCACTCGACGATGTCCGTCTTGAGCAAGGATACCTCGCAAGGACCAGAACTCTGGCGCGAGAGTGGCTTCTTCAGCAGCTCTGCAAGAGCTTTCGCATACGCCGAACTCACCGGTTTCTCTGCGGAAGATTGGCGTTCGCGCTGACGCGGCAAATGCTCCAGCAACCAATCGGGCAGTTCGTCCTTGAGCACGGTAATCTCACTGGGGCCGGAGGAAGTGCGCGCGGGCGCTGGAGCCGTTGGCTGTTGCTTCTGCAGCTTGAGCCATTCGATGGTCTCCTCACGCACCTGTCCCCCCTCCGCGGAGCGTGCAGAATGGCGCTGCTGCGCCTTTCTATCGAACCACTCCAGTTGTGGTTCGGGTGCCGCCTGTCGTAACGCACTCTTCGGCATGGTCACCTCTTCGGCGCTTTTCTGCCGTCGTGGCGGCAACTGTGGCCGCTGCTCGGGCAGTCGAACATAGTGTGGCACAGCGGAGCTTTTGCGCTTGATACAACGCTGCTCCATGGTGTCCTCGTCGCGGGCACGCACCCGTCGCGTGATCTCAAAGATGTCTCCATTGATCTGATGATAGAACTTCTCCACCTCGACACCCCGTTCGAATTCCTCGCGCACACTATGCCGAGCCGGGGGGCGTGGCGGCGGCGGTGGCTCCTCTAGCGGGGGTGGCTTCTTCTGCTGCTGCAGCTTCTCATCACTCTCATCGGAGCTAGCGGCAGTCAGCAGTGCACCAGCACCGCCGCCATCAACAACCCAGCTTATGGAACGCTCAGCGCTTGAGTGTTGCTGCTGCTGCGATGATTTCTGTGGCAACTGTTGTTGTTGCTGTTGCAGCAGGCGATCGAGAGAGCCGTGATGCGTTGTTGATTTGAGGGCTGCCGCAGATTCGCCGAGCGATTGCAGCCGACATTGGGCATTGCAGATGCAGACGCCTGTCGAGCGCTTCTTGCTGCCAAAGCGAAATAGTTGACTGGCCAGCTGGGAGACGTTTTCGGTGAGACCCAAGCCGCCGCCGCTGCTGCTGCCGGCAGCGCTGCCACCGGCGCCCGCATCCCTTCCCGAGGCCGTTGTTGCTGTTGTCAAACGTGCCACCGGATGTGAGACGGGTGTAATGTCGACGATCACGCAACAGCAGTGTAGCGAGAAGGATTTCTTGGGATCGGTGGCAACGCTGCTGCTGTTGCTGTTATTGCTGCCGACGTCGACGGCGGCAGCAGCGGCAGCGGCGACTTCAAGTGAAGCGCTGCTGCTGTTGTTCTTGTTGTTGTTGCTTGTGTTGTTGTTTGTTTCACTAGCGTTGCGCTGTTCGTTGTTTGCCTGTTGCTGTAGTTGCTGATGTTGATGTTGTTGGTGTTGTTGTTGAAGTTGTTGTATTGGGGCGGCCAGAATGAATTACAGCAACAACAACAGCGCTGGCAGCTATGACAGTATGTGCGAATGGGCGTGAACGTGGACGTGGACGTGGGCGTGGCTAAATTGCTGTTGCACAGATGCGTTGTTGCTGTTTTTATTATTGTTGCTGTTGTTGTTGCTGTTTGTATTGCGTTTATTGTTGCTGCAGTTGTATTTATTGGATACGTTGTTGTTGTAGTTATTGTTGTTGTTTTGGTTGTTAATGCTGCCATGCATGTGGCTTCAGCTAAGGCACACACACAAGCACTTGCTAAACATGTGTGCGTGTGTGAGTGTGTATTTTGGTAATTTATTTAGTGATTAATTAAACTAAAAGCTCATTTATATAATGCAGTCATTTATTAAACGCTTCTTGTCGTTTTATATTTGTTGGGTTATTTTTATTTTGGCAATTTATTTATTTAACTGCGCATGTGTTTGTGTATGTGTATGTGTGTGTGTGTGGGTGTGTGTGCGTGTATAAATGTGGGTTTGTGTGTCTCACACACGTCGCACACATTTATCTATAATTAATTATTTTTACTTGTTGCGAATTCGCTGAATGGCACCACAGAAAAATTCGCTGAATTATATGAGTACTGAACACATTCGTTTTCGGGATTTTTTGTTGGTGTTGGGATTCGGTTTTTTTTTTTGTTTTTTTTTGGTTTGTTGTTGTATTATTTGTTTGCTTAACTGTTTATCGGTGCGTTGTTGCGTGCGTGTTTGTTGGCTTTGTCTTATTTTTTTTTATTTGTTATCTTATTTACAGTTAATTTAATTATATTTGGCTTTTAATGGCTGTGTTGTCGCTCGTTTGTTGATTTTGTTAAATTTTAATATTTATTTTGCATTTGAGTTGTTGCTATTGTTAATTTGTTATAATGCTTTAATTGCTGCTGTAATTATCGAATCAGACACTCACACAATTTTAATTTATGTGACTGTCAGCAAATACACATTTTGTTGCCTACTTTTCAGCTGGCCAACATTTGAGCAGCTTTCGTTGCCTACTTTTCAGCGCAGCAGCAGCCTTCAAATTTCGTTCTTTTTTCCAGATGCACATATTTCAGGGTTACGCTTTTGTGTGCATTTCGGTTTATTTATATAATATATGCATATATATATATTTTTTTTTATTTATTTATTTTTTTTTGGGCACAAGGACAACTAATCCTGGCCTGTCTGTGTGGGAGTGCGTATGTATGTTTGTGTTCGTATTATATCTGTGTCTACTGCCTTTAATTAGCGTAAAAAAGGACCAAAAGAAAACAAATAACACACACACACGCACACATCAACAAAGACAGCGTGTTGCTTGCTTTGCAAGTTTTTAAATTTAAACTTGCCCCAAAAAAAAAATAAAAATAGGGAAAAAATTGTATTTCAGTTTTATTATTTATTTTTTCATATTTTACACTTGTGTTATTTTAAAGTTTCGTTAGCTGCCTGTGGCTGAGGGGAGCGCAAGGGCAACGTGTATAAAAAAAAGTTTTTGCTCAACTCTTGGTGCGCAAATATTTTGTTTGTTATATTGCTAGCATAAATTTGCTGGCTATCTGCACACACCAGCTAGAGAGAGAGAGAGAGAGAGAGAGAAAGAGAGGGGAGAGAGAGGGGCGAGGGATGTAAGCAAGATGTGCATATATTTATAAGCGCATACATAAATACTTTTCTGGCCTGGCCTGGCGAATGCATAAATTTTCCCAACGTCATGTAGTGTGTGCGAGCCTCCAACTCACATCCTGTGTACCCCCACCACCCTCTTGCATGCTACCCACCTACCCCGGCAGCCCATACTCTTGACTTGTGCTTATGCAAAGCACAACATAGCAGTTGAAAAAGCAGTAGATGCAGAGCAAGAAGAAGAAGAAGCAGTAGCAGCAGAAATGCGCAAAGTTTTTCGGTCTGTTGCCAAAAGTTTGCTTGTTAAGTGAAAGGATTATATGATCCAGTATGATTTTTTTTTATATTTTTATTTGCTTTTTTGTGTTTTTTTTTTATTTTTGTTGTTGTTTAGTTGTTATGCTAGGCCCAGATAGGGGTAAAACTTCAAAAATAAAAAAAGAAGCAAAACTTTTCCTATTTTTATGTTATGCTTATGCCACTTTGTTGTCAGATTGTTGTTACTACTAGTGCTACTGCATCAGAGTGAGCCACATAGTGGGATTCTTGAGAAGAGAGCAACTAGCCACAGGCGCCTCGAGTGCTATGCTGATAGTTTTTATAGCCTACTTTCTTCGACTTAGAAACAAAACACAAACAATAAGAAGAAGACGCTGCAAGTTGCCAAATGCGAAGATGTGAATTAGTGCGTCTTAGTTGCCTGTTGTTGTTGCTGTTTCTTTTGTATTTTTGGAGTTCAGGCAGCAAGAAGGGGCACGATACGTGAGCGCGTGCACACACAAACACAAACACTCACACACACACACAAAGAGCAGCGAACGTTAAAGTTTCGGCCAGCTTGTAGCCGTAAGATGCGAGTTGCCGATAAGTTTAAGTTGCCATGTGTTTAGTTAAGATCTCCCTCGCACTCTCCCTCTCTCTATCTCTCTCTATCTTCACTGCACGTGTGTGTGAGCGTGTGGCAAAGCTCAACTAGTTGGCAACTTTGCTTGCGGAGGGCAGGGACTAGTACGCCTTCCCCGCACTTGAAAAGGTGCTTCAACGCATTTGTTTAGCAATTTTCTCTTGATTCGCCCAATAAAGTTAATTTCTGCGACCAAAGTTTTAGCCCCTCCAGCCTTAAATGACATTTTTATATGCGTGTGTGTGTGTGTTTTTTGTCTTTTTTTTCTGTTGTTTTGTATCTATGCAACAGTAATAAATTATTTCGATTGTTTTAGAAACACAAAAGTTTTTGGCAGTTTCCTTGGCGTCTATTTGCCAATAGGCAATAAGCGAATAAAGTTAACGTTTTCGGCAAGGGGTTTTTGTCTGTTTAAAATTGAATAACTAAATTATGAAGCAACTACAGAGATAAGCCGCCAACTCAAAAAAGTAACTCGATTAAGTTCTGCGCCATACTTTTATTTCTAATGGGAGTTCACTTTTTTGTTGAGATCTTTATACAGGCATTTGATTTTTCATTAGTTATATATTTTTTCTAAAAGTCTATTAAAGCTTAAATTTGTCAAAAATCTGCCTCAAAATTACTATTCGAATTACTACAAATATTACTTTAAATATTTAGTTTTTTTCGTTTGCGGCACTTAGAAGTAGGCAATGCATTTTAGCATATTTATTTAATATAGGTTGTTTAATTATGCATGTTTTGTGGCATACAGAAATATGCCATTTATTTAAAGGACTTGCAATAAATATTCAAAATATTTGTTAACAACTATGCCAACTGCCAAATTAATAATTGACATTAATAAAACTAATTTGATGCAACGCTTATTTTGAAACATATTCCCAGAAGCATATTTTCTAAAACAGTTGATGTGTGCGTGTTCGGGCAGAGTGGGGAGTTGGGAAATCCTATAAGTAGACAAGACTTGTTATAGAATTCTCAGAAGCTTGTTCAGTTGTTGTTGCTGTGGTTGTGTTGTGTTGTTGTGGCTGCCGATCAATTTGAAATCAAGGGACGCCGACTGCTGCTGGGACAAATAAATTAGATTTCCGCATAATTCGATGGGCAGCCACAGGGCACTAATGAGAGCGGCAGCAGCAGAAGCAGCAGCAGCAGGACGAGAGGGCAAAGGACACAACATGACAACATGTGTATTTGTGTGCTGTTGTTATTGTTGGTTTGCATTTATTTTTAGTTAAATAGATTTAAATGAATTTATCAACATGTTTTTAATGCATTTAATGTCAGCAGACATGCAGTCATAAATATAAATACGTTTAATGTTAGTGAAAACAACTGTCAAGCAGCAGAATGATGCAGCACATATATGCCACACTCCCTCTCACTCTCTTTCTCTCTCTCTTTCTCTCTCCCTCTCGCTCTCACTGGCCTAGCAGCAGCATCTGGCTCTCTCGCTTTGTCTCTGTGTATGTGTGTGCGTGTGTGTGTGTGTGATTGTGTGTCTGTGGCAGGCATGACGTTGATAATATCCTTGCACATGTATGACGTTGCTAGCTGGTTATCCTTGCAGCTGCTGCTGCTGTCGTCGTTACTGGCAACAGCCGCAGCAGCAATATGCCATAGCAATTGTTGTTGTTGTTGTTGTTGCTGCTGCTGCTGTTGTTTCTGCGCCCATTTGCTTGTTGATATGTATTTTATTAGCCAGCAAAAAGGAAAACTT